TATATATATATATATATATATATATATATATATATATATATATATATATATATATATATATATATATATAAGAACATTATGTGAAGCATGCCATTCTCATCGACCTGTAGCTACCCAAACCCGGAGAACTCTTCAGGTAGGGGAAGGTTGAGCTCAATGTTAAGCTCAGAGCAAACCAGCTGCAGTATGCTCCCTGTCACACCACCCAATCCCATCTTGTTCACTGTGACTGCAATCGAGAAGTTGTGCTCAGTATCACAGACTGCAGAAGATCCACCAACTCCGGCATGGCCAAAGCCCCTCAGATCGCCAGTCGTAGTGTTGAATCTCCTAAACCCGAGCCCAAACCTGCCATTTGGAATTGCCATGCCGGAGTAATCGCCCACGCCCATGAAAGCGTCGTGGATAGTGGGGCTGCGAAATATGGTTCTGGTGTTCTTCGGCCCACCGTCGTCGATGCTGATATCTGTGAGGCTGCTGTTCTTGTTCTGTGTCCACTTGACTCGCCAATTCTTCTTGGGACGCTTCAGGGGAGGAAAGGTTGGAGTGTGGACATGGCTGCCGAGGGGAGGCTTGGAGAGGAGGGAGTGCGGTGGAAGGGTGGATCCGCCATTGGCGAGGGCTGCGTAGAAGCGTGCCAGGGCACGGGCGGAGCAGTGCGCGTTGGCTGCGGGGATTATGGCTCGTCGGGTGTTGAGATTGTTGAAGAGGACGGGGAGGGAAGACATCGTATCTGCTACGTTGCCCTGGTGCGAGCTGGGCGGCGCCATTTCCTGCCTCGCCTCGATCTCGAGGAGAGTTTGCAGGTCCTCGGTGTCGACGGCGAGCGTCGCCAGCCGAGACTCCACTCCTGAAACGGAATCCACACGTTAGCGAGGCTACAGAGACATCATTCTGCAAGAACAGAGGTAGAGGAAAACACAGCACTATCATCACTGTTTTACTGTACCAGTTATTTCCTCAATGATGTGTTCTTGTGGTCAAAGCAGATTGGGATTGAAGACCATTAGGAAGTCAAAGTTAAAATGTACTTAAATCCTTCTTTGAGATGTCAACAGGATTTGGATCTCCAGAAAGGAAATATCCAATGCAAAACAGTCCCTATTAAGTATAAATAAGAATTTTTTATAACAATGGTTATGATATTGGTAGTTTCTAATGAAGTTTCTGAAGAAACTAATGAATCCTACTAAAATGAAAGGTCTGATTTGGAATAAGATTTTAAATATTGGTCTAATACCAATTTTGGGAGTTTGTTGGATTGGTATAATATTAGTGCACCAAATGATCTATAAACTTGTACTATTCAATATCTAAAAAACTAATTTAAGAATAAATATTAAGTATATTTTACATGTTTCGAGTTAAATATCGGTCCATAGATATTGATTGACTTGGATATCTCCTTCCTGTTTATTAATATTCTTACATCTTCTTTTTTTTATCTATTATTCATATTTGTATTATTTCCTAAAGAGAATCAGATATAAATTAAAAGTTTTAGCAATAATATGCTAAATATCGTCATAAATCTGTCCTACATCACTATGATGATGATGAACAATAAGTTATTTAATAATTCTACATTCATTTAAAGATATACAAAAATCAAACATTTTAACATGAGTATTGGACTTCTCAATCAAAAAAAGCATGTCCATCCACTAAATAAACAAGGGGAACCTGCTATAATATATATATACATATTAGACATAAATGGGATACATACCTGGAGGAATGCCGATATAAAGTTCTCCTTCAATGTTGAGAGGGTGAATAAAAGCCTCTTCCAGTAATTGTTGAAATTTCTTTCCAGATGCATGCTGTTGCAAACAAATATTTATAAAGTATCTCAGCATAGAATAAAAAAGAAAACGAAATCTGGAAAATAAAACTATATCTTCAAGGTAAAAAATAAAAATCAAGAAGAATTATATGCAAATATTCATGGAAGACTCTCAAGCTATTATAGCATGCACATCACATAGTACTATCCAAAGCTTAACTTTTCTTTTCAAGTTTTTAGGTACTACTCAACCTTCAAATATGTCAAATGTGGCAGCTTAAATTTTTGATGAATTTTGTAGTGATTAACATAACTTAATAAACTGATCGATAGTGTTACTAATCTGATCAAGTACTGATAACTACAAGTCACTTTGTTGTTCAGGATTATCATACTGATCTGATAGATTACGGAAACTAGCATAGCTTGTTATTGCAGTGAAGAAACAAGAAGTTACATACCTCTATTACACCACCACAAAGCCAACCAAAGGACAAGTGGTGGTATAGTTGTTGGGAACCTGGTTCTGTCTCAGGAACTGAACTAGCAATAAGCTGTAGAGATTTCTCCCAATCACACATTAGCAAAGGGTTGCTCCTCATGACATCAGACATAGCATTGTGCAAACCAGATGAGTGGTTGAGTACATGATGAACCTGAAGGAAGTTGAAGCAAGTTGTAAAGCCAGATAACAACCTGTTCTAGCTCACAAAGAATCAATCTTTTTCATGAACCATTATGTGTTCTTGTTTACCTTTATTTGATCCTTTTTGCTGCCACTGAACTCTGGCCAAATGTTTGCTATGGCTTCGTCCAGCTTGAGTTTCCTGCAAGAAGATTGTTTAGGTTTAGATATGTGTTTCCTTCCATGCACAAGAAGGCTGCAAAACCTCAAAACTGAACTTGGTCTTACCCCTTATCAACCAGCCAATGCACCATCGCAGCAGTGATTCCTTGTGTTACTGAGAAGACTGGAAACAAGGTGTCAGGATGAACAGGCCGAGGGTCGTATCTCCCCATCACCCCAGCTGCAGTATCTATGATCACCTTCCCGTCTTTGTATGCACACACCTGAAAGTAAAAGCCACAGAAGAGCACCATCAGGTCTTGGTTCTGAAGGCATCAAGCATCATCATCTGTCAGCACAAGTGAAACAAGAAACCATTATGCTGAATTCATCTTGAAGTAGAAAACCATCATGAACATGACAATTCTATGGCTTTCTAACATGCTGCATGATGCATGTTCTGGATGTTCAATATTTATACTTGTGTGTTGAAGTTTACAATTTTTTTCATATAGTGCCTACTCTTTCTCTTCAACCAACCTTTCCCTCATTTTTACATATTTTCTTCTTTTAGTCCATTTCATTTATTTCTTATACATACAAATAGTCAGGACCCGAGGACGAGTGTTCCTCAACCAAGACTATTTTCAACTAAGAGAAATATATGTATTTTTATTAGTCACTTGGCTTTCTAATGAATCAAAATCCTAGTACTGATTTCATTTTTATTTTGAGATTAATTGTACGATATTTTTGATAAATTATACTACTAAAAAGAAGGGAGAAGAGGAAAAGGCAAGATTATAATTTGGCAGACACAATATAGTTAATAAAGCAATCTAAACCTACTTGTATCCCAAGTATTTTCTCACTTCCAAGCGCAATCAGGAGCTGCCTCAACTTAGCCTCCAAATCAGAGTGAACTGGTGAATCATAGATCCATTGGTTATTCACTGCTGGTCCAGTCTTGATGCCCCTGATTCCATGAGTTCCACAAAGTTGGGAATTAGAGGAAGAGACAAGATAAATAAAAAAGGGTATGAAGATTAACAGTGAAGAGAATGCAACCCAGATAATACTCACCCTAGTAGTGTTGCCTCAGCAAATGGTCGCATGATGTCCAAATAAACAACACGAACATTTAGAGTTGAAGAAAGCCCTGAAGAAGTAAATTACTCATTCGTAATGCATTATACCACATCATCTAAGGAAGAGATGAGTCCAAACAAACCTCGAAGAAGTTCCAACACCCTCATAAATATAACTGCATCACCTGGGAAAGCATCAATCTGGGGAAGGTAGGCAAAGTTTGCATGTTGTGCAACATGATTCATCCTCTTTATATATAGTGTACAGTATGCTTGAAGAAGAAATGTTATAGAAAGAGCTCTGAGGGGAAAAAGGTTGCACTTACAGGATTAAAGTGTTTAGCTTCCTTCTTGTTCAACTTCATCTTCTCTTGAATAACCTTCCTATCCTTCTGTCTTTGATCAGCGATAGATTGCACATTTTCCTTGACAGAAGAATGCATATAAGATATCATGGTTTACTTGAGCTGAGGAATAAATGAAAGGGAAAAGTAACAGAAACAATCAATCTTGAAGCAGACAGCAATCACTCACAAATGCTTGACTTGGCAGCGCTGCAGTGCGGAAAAATATTTTTGCAAGGTTCATAGCCTGCTCTGGCATATCAAGCCGCAACTTAAGTCCCATCATTGTGAAGGCAGCTAAGAGAGCCACATGGTCCTCCTGCCACAGGGCATTCTCATGCTGTAAAAAGATAACCCTGAAGGACAAGCAGAAATAGTTTCAAAGAGAAACTATACAGACACAAGTCATCAATCATGCATAAAACAGTATTGCCATTTCAGATTTTAATACTCCAAAGTTCCAAACTCTAAGAAAAGTTGTGGTACATACCTCAGCACATGCCAGAAACATTTTTGCTAGTGCCTGTTTCATAGAGCTTGATATTGACTTGGTGAGGCCAAAGTCCAGCAGAATAGGGCGATTTGGGTGTTCCTTGCACACAAGAAAATTTCCTGCAAGAAATAGCCACCAAGAATTGATACATGATCAACCATAAGCTTTTCTTCTTTCTTCTCCCAAGACAGCAAACATTGCCAAGATCCAAGAATGGTGAGAAAGGTGGGCATAAGCAAGCACACCTGGATGTGGATCACCATTGAAGAACCCATCAACATAGATTTGATGAGCATATGCACGTGTGATCTCTTCAACAAGCTTTTGCTTGTCCACCTCATATGCTTCCAGAGAAACATTATCATTCAATCGAATCCCATCCATGTATTGCAGCAGAAGGACCATCTCGGATGACTGCCATCAGGAATTATAGAAGCACACATTGTAAGGCATCTCTTTACAGGTGAGAGTGGCTGAAGTAAGAACTATAACTGTGTAGTTCCACCTGAATAATTTCTGGGATCAGCACATCTACTCTATTCATGCCATCGAGCTCATTTTTGAGTCGCAGGTTTTCGGAAACTCTTCTTGTGTTTTCTACAGACAAAAGATGATGCAGCTTAACATGTCAAGGTATTGACAGATGAAGGATTGATAATGAAGGTACTGAACTTATCAGACCAACCGGCTTCATGATTGAAATCAAGTTCTTTAGGTGCCTCCTTGCACCATTCATCTATCATTGGATTGAAGTCATATTGTGGCTCTGCCCATGCTATCCAGTCCGTTATTGATTTGGCATTCTTCAAGTCCTGAAATTGGCTTTTGTTAATGTGAAGACTTCTAATCAACTTAATTGCCATCTTGTCAAGACTCAAATTGCAGACCTCTAAGATGACTTCCTTGATGCCCGCATGTTGAACTTTAACAACCACATCCTGCCCATCTCTCAGAGTTGCACGGTGAACTTGTGCCACCTGCAAGCATTTCTCTATTCTTAAGGAAATTCTGAGATTCATTTTTCCAGAATGAACTTACAATGTATAAGCATGTAAATGGACCAGTATATTATAATGATCTTACAGATGCAGTAGCAAGGGGTTCCTCAACAAAATGAGAGAAGATATCATTCATAGGTTTCCCCAGCTCCTTCTCTATAGTTTGGCGAACCTGGGACCAAGCAGCAGACTTATCAACATCGTAGAAACTATTACTAATATGCTCATCTAAACTTCCCATGAAATGCATATTACGCATTGTAATTTGATGTATTGTTTCGTATATTTGCAGAAGCATTTTTCAGATGCATATTGCACATTGTAGTCATGCATCTTGGCATTTTCGTGGTGCATTATGAGGATGATTGATGATGATGACAATGAAGAAGTCAATTCGAAGCAATAAAAAGAGGGCATAAACTCATAGTATTGCATCCACTTAACACCTGAGTTATCTTTCATGTTCAAGATAACTCAAAGACTGCATAGTTATTGATGGAAGCATTCAGTTACCTCTTCCAGTGGCCGACGAGGAAGAGAGTCCTGCAGCCGTTTGAGAAGACGCACATAAGCGTCTGGCAGAGCGTCGGCTCGGGTGGACAGGTATTGACCAAGCTTTACCCACAGACCTTCCAACTGGATCATCAAATCGAGAACACGCTTAGCATTCCGCTCATGTGTTCCTTCCCAAAGATCATCCCTTCTGCTACCGCTATACCAGTTATCTATCATCTGCACGGCCTACAGTAGTAGAAAACCCCATTGATTTCTGACGCTAATCAATAGATGGGAAACAAGAACGAATCCGGCGGCACAGAGCACCTTGTAGTCCAGGTAGATCAGCAATGCCGTGGTGAATACTTTGAGCCGCCGCTTGTAGAGAGTCACCCATCCCATTAGGAACTCCGGAAGACGGAGAAGGTGCGGAAGCAAACAGATGATCCGCTGATGTCTGCACTTCTACATCGACTCAAATCGATGGTGAGACGTATACATTCATGGATCGATGGGCTGCAGCTGACGAGGTGTGGAGGGAGGCGCAGCCGTAGCATATTAGAAGGCATTGCTCGTGGAGGAAGGAAGAGGTTACGGCGGAACCACCACCGAAGCAAAGAAGGATGCCTTCTCCGTTCGTCGATGGACGGTACCGTCAGGAATCCTCAAAAGCTGACCTTGTGCCTTGAGCACCAAGGTGCTGCTTTCTGGGATCGACCTCAGCACGGCGGCCACAAGCAAAGCAGGATAGGATTCCTTTTGGTCGATTCCTCATCACAGTTCATGGCTTGAGCGCCAAGGTGAGAGAGATGCTGAGAGCAGCTTTGTTTTGCGCGACGGGATGAATGCTCGTGTGGGATTTCATTACTGGTTTATTAAACCATATTAATGTGTTTGCTACTGCATGTTGAAATCTGCCTTTAAGCAATTTACATGGGTCAGAACAGTAATTGTCAAATACTTATTGGAAAGTAAAAGCTGAACTGATGTAAATACCAAAGTTTCCTACAAAGATACAGTTCGGTAAGGGTCGAAAGATCATTCTCTAGATTCTGCTTGCAAATTGAAATGAGCCTATAAAATTAAGCAGGGATAAAAAGCTGAAACAAAATATAGTCCCTCGTGAGAATCTGTTGGAAGCATGTTGATTTCACACAATCTGCAAATATTTAACATAAAAGCCTCATGACATCAATGCCAAGGCTGATATGAAGGAGGCCATTAGACACTGTAGATCTTTCATGCATCAAAAAGACTCTAGATCTTTTGATTGAGGATAACACAAGTCACTTGATCCTCTATTCTTCTGATGGTAATATAAATTATGCATTAATATCAAATATGGTGTTTACAATAACATCAAAGTTAAAAGGAAAATAAATTGTGGATCTATATTTTGTGTTTCACTGTGAGGAAGGATAGTATCCTAAAGGGAAAAACCTGTGTATATAAACTGGAGAGGCTTGTTAGTGACAAGCTGCGGCTACAGACCCAGATTGAACTGCATGTCGGGTCCCTTCTCCCCGAACCTCGAGAATTCTTCGGGCACAGGAATGTTCAGCTCAGAGCAAACCAGCTGAATTATACTTCTTGTAACACCACCAAGTGACATCTTGTTTACTGTGACTGCAATTGAGAAATTGTGCTCAATATTACAGAATCCAGTGGATCCGCCTACTCCAGAGTGGCCAAAACTCGTTGGATTACCAGCTGCAGTATTAAATCTCCTAAACCCGAGCCCAAATTTACCGTCTGCAATAACCATGTCGGAGTAATCACCCACACCCATGAAAGCATCATGGATCTTGGGGCTGCTAAATATTCTTTGGACACTTTTCTGTGCATCATTGTCGATGTTGTTGTCTACAATGTTATAAGCCTTGTTATTTTTTGGACTATTGCTATTGCTACAACCCCTGCGACGTAAGCCATCGGTCTTCTTGGTCGGTGTATCTGGATTATCTATCTCCTTGATTCTCAATTTCTTCTTGGGTTGCTTGAAGGAAGGAAATGTTGGAACATGTACATGACTTCCGAGGGGAGGCTTGGAAACAAGTGAATGAGGTGGAGGAGTGGATCCACCATTAGCAAGGGCAGCATAATAGCGTGCCAAGGCACGAGCCGAGCAATGCCCATTGGCAGCAGGAATCACGGCTCGCCGGATGTTTAGTGTGTTAAAGAGCACAGGAACGCCAGATGCGATCTCAGCTAAATTACCCTCCTGCAAGCTGGATGGCATTTCCGGCCTGCCATTGATTTCAAGGAGATTTTGTAGATCTTCTGTGTCCAGTGTGAGTGCTGCCAACCGAGACTCTACACCTGGAACGAAATCCAAAATTTAGTGAAGTTTCAAACAAATGGACATGGATATTTACTCTTTAGGCAAATAATTATATAAACAAGAGACAAAACAGGAATATGGAAAATTTTAGATGATAAAAATACAACAAAGCAATATTTTATAAGATGTCAATTTCAACATAAACTTATCAAGCATCAGGCTGTTAAGATCTTCATAAAGATTAGAAGATCTTTAGGAGATCAAATATTTACAGATTCTTATTTGAGTTGTCTATAGGATCTGAATGTGTAGACTCTAGAAGGAATATAACAGATAAGGCTTCAAATGTTGGCTGTACAGGTATGTATCATCCAGCGTTTATTGGCCTGACCAAGGACTGCTGGCAGACTATGTTTCGATACCGATTGGTATTTATCCTATGTTTCGGTACCAATTGGTATTTATCTTTTTATTATCTTTAGTAATAGAGGTGCAGGTCAATAAACTTCCAAGTATACCAGTACCATACTGGTCCCATGTCAAAACTGGTATCAGGCCTAGATTTAAACCGACACTAAAAATATGAATAATGTCGTCCACATAATAGGAAAGATTCTCAAGGGAAGATAATGAAAGAGATGCAACCTACTAGTCATTTGTGAAGGGTTTTATATGGAGGACTTCATACGGACTGGTCCTGCACCAATTACATATTCTTATTCAATAGAAGCAGACAATTAGATCCCAATTACAAAATTTTTTAAGGTGAGGATTTTAAGGTTTCAAGCACTAGATAATTTTTGCTTCTCAAAATCCGATGGAAACCAAAAGAAATTGAGGAAAAACTTGGCTGATTGTTTTCATTAACTAATATCTAAACACAGGCATTCTGCCTTTAGATAATACATAGCCATTGGCTACTGATTTTATTTTTTAAATCTAATGTAGAATAGCCTCTATTAAGTATAAATAAAGATAGTTACCAATTTATTTTTATGATATTGATGGTGTATTGAACTTCTTGAAAATACAAGTGAAGTTAACTCACATATGCCCAAAATCACATGTGACTTAACTCCGGGCATCTTCTTCCTCTTCTCTAATCTCCTTCCTCTCCAATTATCTTCAAAGTTATTGTTGCTTCAATACCAATTTTCTAGAAGATTTGTCACGTTTATTCCCTTCCCTTAGATTATGAGTTCCAGCAATGAATGCGAAAATTCTATTAAATCTTTCCATATATGTCCTACACTATGAAGATGAACAATAAGTTATTTTAAAATCATACATTTCATGTTAAAGATAATCTCGAAACAGTCAAACCTTTTAATATGACTTGACAACACAATCAATTAAAACATGTTCATCCACAAAATACATGGGAAGCTTGAAAAAAATCTGTATATGCACATATTAGACTCAAATAGGTTATGTAATAGGCATTGTGTATAGGTATAAAAAATCAGGGTCTGCCGTACCGAGCAGTACCGCCCGGTACGGGCGGTACATACCGGTCCGACAGGTTTTCGGTACGTGGACCGACTATTGCCGGTCCGAGGCACTGTAGCACTGTAGCAGTTACTGTATCACTGTAGCATTACTACAGTACTCGGTACACCTGGGTGTACCGCTCGGTATACCGTACTGTACCGGTACTGAGCCCAGGTCGAAATACCGGTACGGTACGATATTGCGAACCTTGTAAAAAATTATTAGAATTGAGACAGGTTTGTTGATAAGTGAACATAAATAACTGGCACCAATGTGCTTCAACATGGACCATCTGTAGTTTATTGGATTAACTATTTCTTTATCATGCAAACTGAAGATTATGTTGTGGTCATTTCTCATAATTGTAACTACAAGTGAAGCCACTGGGCATCACTTGTTTTTACAATAATCTCTATCTACTGTACCCAAGCACTAATGTCCGAGAGTTGCATATTTCATCAATTATTCCTTTTACATATTGTCAAGGTCTACCTGTGCCACCAAACTTGTCAATTATTAGACGACCTATTTCAACCAAAAAGAATAAAGGAAAATTTGTACATACCAGGAGGAATGCCAATATATAGTTCACCTTCAATATTGAGAGGGTGAATAAAAGCTTCTTCCAGTACTTCTTGAAATTTCTTTCCAGATGCATGCTGTTTCAAAAGATATTCATTATTTCAATATTTAATACAAAACAAGATTAAAACTTCAGGTAAACAATAAAAGAAACACAAAGAAAAATATGCCAATATCTGGTCAAGACTCTCAAGCTATTGTAGTGTACCAACCAAGGTTTGCAGTACTGTTTGGTACAATATGGTAGAAGTGGTAGCTTTCAGTTATGCAGACTAGGGACATGAAACCCTATGTCTGATAGAAGGTCTGTATCATCCAATACAAGACCTCTAGCATCTAGTACACCCTGTATAGGACATGTATCACCTCGTAACTGGTACAGGACGATACAAGTCCTGAACTGCTTGGTATAGGACGATACAGACCCTGTACTAGGTATTCTTTTTTGTTTTTTCATTTTTTCAAGCTCTTTCCAAAGTTTAATATGTATTGCCATACTAACACTCAGTACACTGGTACAAGTTGGTATGATACCAGCCTGAAGTCTTGGTACCAACATTTTATTTTTCTTTCATAATAATACCTTTTGCACATTACATAATACAAGATGAACTTTTATTTTCGGTGAAAAACAGTACTCAACCTTCAGCTATATCAAATGTGGCAACATAAATTTTGCTAATTTTGTAATAACCAAAGATTAACAGTAGATACTTGTTTCAGTAAAGTAATATGTGGTAAAATACCTCTATTACACCACCACATAGCCAACCAAAAGACAAGTAGTGGTATAGTTGTTGGGAACCTGGTTCTGTCTCAGGAGCTGACTGAGCAATACGGTGTAGAGATTCCTCCCAGTCACAAAGTAGCAAAGGATTGGTCCTCATTACATCAGACATAGCGTTGTGCAAACCAGATGAGTGGTTAAGAACATGATGAACCTAAAAAAAGGAAAGGAAGTAAATGACAAATCGAGATAACAACATATTTTTTAGCTCACAAAAATCATTTTCAGGAATCTAATGTGCCCTTCACCTTTATCATATCTTTTTTGCTGGCACTAAACTCTGGCCAAATATTTGCTATGGTTTCATCAAGCTTGAATTTCCTGCAAAAAAAAAATTGATTCTCATTAAAGCTTCCATAACTAGAACATCATTTGGATTTTTACATTGAGGATAGTGATGGCACATGCCAAATGCCAAGCTCCATAAATGTTGCATAGGATCATGTGTCTACAAACAAAAATGTCTTTCAGAAGGCTGTCACCATAATTAATTTTTTCATGCTTAACAAAGCATTTCCACGATTCTAAAGTGTAATAGGCTATGTCCTACATCAAACAAAGGGATGCTTAGACTTCAATAAGATCATGTACAAAGACTAGTAGAAATGATAATCTACAATTTCATCATTTTATGTGTGTGTGTGTCTGTATGTGCGCGCGCACGCACAGGACATGAAATTCCCCAACTCCCGTTCATAGGCTAAAAATGTGGTGCCAAAAAGTAAATGGACCTGAAATTACTCAGGACATGACTCCATAAGTGGTAGTCAAGGAATCAAATCCAGCTTATAGAATTAGCTAAAATAAAGAGTAGCACTGGACCCATTATGGATCCTATCCTATGAAAAATGTTCTGACTTGATGCTAGCAGAAAGAAATGTAAGCAAGCAGGTATAGTTGGAACATAAAGTAGATCATGAAGTATAGTTGATAGCAAATTTGTGCAAGTTAGGTTGACAAAGATCTATATTGATTTGGTCTAGCATTGCACTAGGTCACAGAAGATAACTTTAGATAAAATATTTGGTTTGATGTTGTCACTTAGTTTTGAATGACCACTTGAGCAATATGCAACAAATGTCCTTTCTTGAAATCCCACCATATTATCAACGCAATCACCATTAAAATATCTATTACAGTTTCTAACAAAACTACACTAGAATCCTAGATACCATTCAGTACTGAAAGTAAAATATATGATAATGTCATACCCCTTATCCACAAGCCAATGTAACATCCCAGCAGTGATTCCTTTTGTTACTGAGAAGACAGGAAATAAGGTGTCAGGTTGAACAGGTCGAGGATCATATCTCCCAAGCATGCCAGCAGCAGTATCTATTAAGACCTTTCCATCTTTGTATGCACACACCTGAAGATGTCAGACATTGTGTTTCAGGTAAGTAAATGAAACAAAGATGACTTGGATTACTAGACATCAGAGATCTTCTGCAGCAGAACAAAGGATATAAAAGAAATCATTAAGCTGAACCGATCATGAAATTATATCTGTGTATCGTTGCCTGGAGACAATCTTGTATCACCAAATTTTTATAGAGTTCCCCAGTTTCTAAAGCAATCTATTAAGAGTAAAACAACAGATTGCATGATAGATAGACTGATAGAATATCTCAAGAACTTAGTCTATAATCCAAAAACATGTCTAGTCAAGTCCCTAGATAGTAAGAAAACCTTCATATACGTAACAATTTTATTGCTTGCACGCTTGCTGCATAGTTTATGAACTAGCCATTCAGTATTTATACTTTTCATATTTGTAAATCATGTTCAAGAATGCACATTATTTACACAGACTTGCGAAAATTGAGAACTTATTGAGCATTATATTTTACTTATAAACAACCAACAAGCAACTTCAAAGTTCAAACCATCAAAATGTTTCATCTAAACATGAAACATTTGAAGAAGTTGTAGACCCAAACAACTACCATTTTCTCCAGCCATCTATACCTGGCAATCTTCCACATGTGCCTTATTCCTCGAAAGAATAATTATCCAACAACTCCTAATGATATGTTTCATATCTCAATGAATCTTCTACCTTATTTACAATCTATCCATCTATGCTATCACATCTTAATTCACATAACAAACTCATTAAGATACTTAACATCCATCATAGCCATGCCATTGCCACCATAATTCGAATGTCAATACCATCTGCTCCTCTTCTGTGAAAAAACACTTAATCCAACAGGTGAGAATGGTTATTAGCATCTTCTTGTTATCAGTTACCTTGATTCTTCTTTCAAACAAACTGAGTTTTCCAAATCAAACTATTTGATCAAAGGTCTGCTCCATCCATCAAAATTATGTCCAAATTAAACAATCATGATACATGGATTAGATTGTGTTGGGATGATTTTAATGTTTTTTTACTTTCAGTTTCTTCCAATATAAAGAATTCTTTTTCTGATTCAGTACTCAGGGTCATCTCAATGTTCATGATTGTCAATTACTAATGTTCAATGTACAATGAAAGTTCCTAGAGACATAGGACATGAAAGTTTGCCATTCTAAAACTGTCAAGAAAATTTAAGAAAAAGAGGCTTGATTGCTGAAACAAGCAAATATCCAACAATTATTAGAACTTCTGATAATCCAAGGCTTAATCTTTAACAAGTAAGTCATAGAAAATAGAAATCACATCTTCAAAGGGTACTAAGAAAGAATATCAGATAGCAAGAGAAATGAATGTGTCAAATGAAAAAGAATTGTTATCACTGCCGTTAGCTGAAGGAATTCCAACCCATTAAACCTCTAAAGTTACATTTATGTAAGCCAATCAGAAGGGAGAAAAGAAAATAACATTTTTTTTATTTTTTAGTCAAGAAGAAGCAGATTAATAAAGTACACTAAACCTACTTGTATCCCAAGTATTTTCTCATTTCCCAGCTCAACCAGGAGTTGCCTCAACTTGGCCTCCACATCAGAGTGAATTGGTGAATCATAAATCCATTGGGTATCCAACGCTGGCTCAGTCCTGATGCTTCTGATGCCCATAATTTCACATAAAGTTGGGAATTAGAGAAAGAAACAAGATATATAATATGACAATCCTAAGATAAGAAAATGAAATGGAGTTTAACAGTGACAGCATGCAACCGAGATACTCACCCTAGTAGTGTTGACTCAGCAAATGGTTTCATGATGTCCAAATAAACAATACGAACATCAAGTGTAGAAGAAAGCCCTGAAAAAGCATCGTTTTCATCTGTAATGCATTCACATATAATATCTAAGAGAGAGATGAGTCCAAACAGACCTCGAAGAAGATTTACTACCCTTATAAATATAACTGCATCACCTGGGAAAGCATCAACCTGGAGAAGGCAAAGTTTCAATTTTGCAACATGAATATGGTCTCTCGATTTCTTTAAAGGGAATTTTGCCTAATTTCACAAAGAATTCAAGCTTGCCTAAATGCATACATATGTCGGCATGTATAATTTGTGTAGTATATAAATCCCTAAATAACTACTAGGAGTATACATATGAAAATAAAATTCATATACATAGATACATAGATTTATGCATACACGAGATTATATATATGTAAAGCATACGACTTATTCCTGTTAGCTTCCATGAAATAAATTATCAAAAAGAACTTATAAATAGCTCTTTGGAAAAAGTACTGAACTTACAGGGTTAAAATGCTGAACTTCCTTTTTGTTCAACTTCATCTTTTCTTGAATAAACTTCATATTCTTCTCTCTTTGATCAGCCAAAGATTTCACATTTTCCTTCATAGAAGAATGCATGGGATTATTTACTTGATCTATGAATCTCACTTGAATCTTCCAAAATGAAAAGAAAAATATAAACCATCAATCTTGAAGCAGACAGCAATTAAACTCACAAGTGCTTCACTTGCTGGTGTGGAATTGCGAAAAAATACTGATGCAATGTCCATAGCCTGGTCGGGCATGTCAAGGCGCAATTTAAGTCCCATCTCCGTGAAGGCTGCCAATAAAGCTACATGGTCCCCCTGCCATAGAACCTTTTATGCTGTAATAAAGATTATTTTAAAGAATAGATAGAGACTGTTACTTTCCTGTTAACAGACATATGATGACAAAAGTATAGTAGTGCATATTTGAACTTTTAACATCTTCAATAATGCATCTTTAAAAATCCTACAAGGTAGTAGCAGCTGAAAAATGCAGTAAATCTAGTTCTATAGGGCATTTTTAACTGCAACTGCATAACATCCAAATGGACAAAATAGATTTATGCATATATACCTAAGTGTAAACATATCTTAGATGTATATATAAACAAAATTTTAAATACCAGTTGAACTAGTATGTACCAATCGGTATTTATTGGTTCACTACACATAGGTATGATCAAGTAATAGTATAGCTCAACATAGGTAGAACGTCATTCATTGAAATTTTTATTTGGTACTTACCTCAGCACATGCCAAAAACATTTTTGCTAGTGCATGTTTCATAGAGCTTGATATCAACTTAGTAAGGCCAAAGTCAAGCAGAATTGGACGATGGGGGGGTTCCTTGCTCACAAGAAAATTTCCTACAAAAAAAGGCCACCAAGAATTGATATGTCATCACTTTAGCAGATACATGATCAACAATAAGTTATTATTATTATAGGAAAAGGGAAGAGAAATGCCTACATAGATAGAACTTCCATGTCAAGCTATACCAAGATTCAAAATTTTAGAGTAGAAATGGCACCAACCACTGATAATAGCAAGGTCTGCCATACCGAATCGTATCACCCGGTACGGGCGGTACATACCGGTCCGACAGGCCAACGGTACGCGGACCGCCTGCTACCGGTCACTGTAGCAGTGCACTGTAGCACTGTAGCATTACAATGCACTGTTGCAGTTCACTGTAGCACTGCAACAGTACAGTTTACTGTTGCAGTGCACTATTATAATAGTAGTACAGTGCATCAGTACACTGTTGTAGTGCTACAGTGCTCGGTGCACCTGGGTGTACCGCTCGGTACACCGTACCGGTACTAAGCCCAAGTCGAAATACCGATACGGTATGGTATTGCGAACCTTGGATAATAGCTCAGTTCGCTTATTTGTATAGAAGCATGACAATGGATATATGTTGGCTGGAATGAACTAGCAGCACGATTATATTTTATTAAATTCCATGGTAACAGATAAATTTGTCATTGCCCGCATTCTTCTTATACAAGATTCAATTGCATCCTATGTATATAAATTTACTGGAGTTTAGTTATTTTTCCCTAGATTAAAGGAAGACAAATAAGAAATTGGTAATATTTACCAATTAGCAGAAATTTGACTGTCAGCTATATCTGCTAGCAAAATAGCATGTGACCCACTTCTCAGTTCAAAATACTCGAAAGAAAAAAGAAGTAAAATGGCCACAAGGAAGCATACCTGGATGTGGGTCACCATTGAAAAACCCATCAACATATATTTGATGAGCATATGCACATGTAATTTCTTCAACAAGCTTTTGCTTGTCCACACCATATTCATCCAGTGATGCCTTGTCATTTAAACGAATGCCATCCATATATTCCAGAATGAGGACCCTCTCAGATGACTGCTATTAGCAATTTAAGGAACAAATTTTGTGAATAAAATAGAAAATATCAGAAGGCATTGTTTAACTGATAAAAGTTATTGAAGCAAAAAATCTGAATCATAGGACTCCACCTGAATAACTTCTGGGATCAGTACATCTACTCTGTTCACAGAATTTATGTCATCATGCTCATTTTTTACTCGTAGGTTCTTGTAGACTTTTCTAGTGTTTTCTACAAAGAAAAATAAGATGATTGTCAATAAACCTGTGCTTGAAGTTTTGCTACTAAGAAGTGAAGGACTGCTGTAACTTCAAATAATAATTATATTGTCAAGGTATCAATAGATGGAAGGGATGAAAAACAAACTTCTAGAATGAACATATCAGACTAACCTGCTTCTTGATTGAAATCAAGTTCTTTAGGTGCCTCCTTACACCATTCATCAATCATAGGGTTGAAGTCATATTGTGGCTCCGCCCAGGCTATCCAGTCAACTATTGATTTTGCATTCTTTAAATCCTGAAGATCAGTTTTGATAATGTAATTACTAGATGACTCTAATTTAATGGTAATCTTGTCAAGACTCAAATTATAAACCTCTAAGATGACTTCTTTGATGCCCTCATGTTGAACTTTAACAACCACCTCTTGCCCATCCCTTAGAGTTGCACGATGAACTTGTGCCAGCTGCATTTAACTAATTTTAAAAAATCTACAGGATATTTTGAGAATTAACTTCTACAAACAATGCAAAGTGCACATAACTGGGCAAGGAAACACTTATGGTCATACTAGCAAAGACAAAATATAAGCATGTAAAACAAAAGTTACTTCTGGATCAATATATTTATAACTTAGTCGGGTGATCTTACAGATGCAGTAGCAAGGGGTGCCTCGACAAAATGAGAGAAAATATCATTCACAGATTTTCCCAGCTCCTTCTCTATAGTTTGGCTAACCTGAATAAATAACATACATGTCAGAATCATAGATGGCAGTACCAATTTTCACATCTCAACTTTCTGTGAAATGCATATGTTAACTGTAAAGAAATGAATGTTTATTCACTAAGAATGTTTGCTAAGTTGTTCATTTGATTTGCATATGCACTTGCTGGTATATATACTGTGCAGTTTACATGTGACAAAATGTATATTTACGTACTATAGTACATGCATATTCACTGAAACATTTCCCAGTGTCACTAGTCCCCGGATCCACTTAAACAGAATTATGCACAACCAAATCAGTTGAGTACTCTCTGGAACTGAAGCATACATCATTTCACCTTAGTCTTTCATTAGAAAAGAATTAACCAGTAATCAGCAATTGAATGATAATCAAGCATGGCAGCTAGATAGTGTGTTACGAGAATGATCGGTACTGATGGAAATAAAATGCAAAGCAAGAAAAAGTTATAAACTAATATCCTTGCATTTATTTACACCCAAACTATCTTCATTGCTTGTGTAAAAGTATATAGGTATTGACGAAATCATTCACATTGGACAAGTTACCTCTTTCAATGGCCGAGGAGGAAGAGAGTCCTGCAGCTGTTTGAGAAGATATATATAAGCCTCTGGAAGAACATCTGCTCGGGTAGATAAATATTGACCAAGTTTTACCCACAGACCTTCCATCTCGATCATCAAATTGAGAACACGTTTAGCATTTCGCTCATGGGTTCGCTGCCATAAGGCTTCCTTTTTGCTTTTACTAAACCATTTCTCTCTTTTCTGCACGGCCTATAATACTAGAAAATCTGAGTATTTTTTCTTGCTAAAATGGATGAAAAACGAGAATCAATTTCAGATGATAATCTGGTGGCCGAGCACACCTTGTAATCGAGGTATATCACCAATGCTAGAGTGAATACTTTCAGGCGCCTTTTGTAAATGTTTCCCCATCCCATTAGGTTTTGAAAGACACAGAAGGTGCACAAGTAGATGATCTTGGTACCTCTTGACTATGAATTTAAATGAACACCACTGATTTTTGCACTCCTACAAAAACAAAACCAATAATACAGCAGTAATTATATACATTCATTGGTCCAAGCGAAGGTACATCGTAATTAGCTGGGAAGTCCTTCAGATTAACTACTTTAAGATGGCCTTCTGGTGCAGGAATATGTTGAGCTCTCTATCTGTATTGTATTTACCCTTTATTTCCTCTTGTGAAAGTCTTTGTGGCAAACACATGTATACATCAAAGGGAAGGAACTTTGGATATGTCAGGAGCCAAAAGAGGAAAAACAACAACAACACAAAAGCAATAAAAGAATCATCACCCAATTAAAGCAACCACAAGAAGAAGATTCCGGTGAACAGCTCAAGACGCAGAGACATCAAAACCATGGCACACATCATCTTAAACAAATTCATTTCACCCAATTACTAGCCAGCAAACTTCAATAATGACGAACAACAAACAAATCGGACAGCGAAAACCACAATCGATACGAAGCCGGACAAAGACGAATCAAATCCTGAGCATAATCGGAAAAAGACGACCGGCCGAATTCCTCAACCGCAATTAGTTTCGCACAGAACGATCAGAACCCGGAGAAATCCAAACAACACCACCAACAGCAAAGACAAACATCAAACCTTGGATCGCAGGGATTCCTCGCCGAAGAGCTCGAACACCTGAATTGGGATACGAAGAGGGGACGATCGGCCGAGGGCAGGATCCGAGGGCGACGGTGCCGGAGACCTTCACGGAGATGGGGACGCCTATCACGATGGACCGCAGGGAACGAGGTGTGGGCAGAGGAACGCATCATATATGAGGACACTGTCGACCCGCGTGGGCCCGTATAGGTAGAAGATCTCGACCGTCCGTTCTTCCGGTCGTGAGATCTCGTCCCTCGGCGCCTTCCTACTCCCCTCTCTTTGGTCCCCCCGCTCGCGGTTTTTTTCGCTCCCTCTTTACTTTTTCTTTCTACCCACTTTTGCCCGTCAGCGTACCCATAATGATATTGGACCGATATAAATCCAACTGGGGGCCCACCATAATGCGTCCGATAACAGAGTACGCAAGGATTAGCGGGTAGGAAATGTGCTGTTCTTTTTCTTTTGATCTAGAAAACGCCACGTGGTCCAGGCAAACACGCACCTAAACAAAAGCATATATATCTTTGGCTAGACGCACCTAACGGCTTACCTGCCTCACTTACCCTGAGAGGCTGCCGGACGCTCTTACTGGTGGGCCCGATGGATCGGTCAACCTCGAGTCGGGTTCAAACTATGACTTGGAGGCCAAGTTTTGAGGGACTGAGAGCTTCCTGTGGGGCCCGCACCATCAACCAGGGAAGTTGATGTGATCATGACCATTGGATGTGATCATGCGGTTTCCGTGAAGTTGATGTCCATGATTTGAAGAGGCTATGAAGACATAACGTTAGCAGTCTTTTGTGCCCAAGTTTCTGATTTGCCAATCAAACTTGATGTCTTGCTTTTTCTTTCTTTTTTTTTGTCTTTATACGTCAAAAGTCAACTAGCAAGGAAGAATCTAATTCCAGTCACCTAAAATAATTATCTTAAATATACTACTTTGATCTTCTTTCAGCAATTGCCACTATAAAATCATGTGAACAAGAAATGCATCTGCAGTTTCAAGATTTGGCAGCATATTTTTCATAGGAGAAACAGAAAGAACAACCTGTGATTGGACAAAAGCTGTAGAACTTTGCCCATGTATCAGTAAAAAGCTTACAAACTATGGAGAACTCTTCGTGGAATTCAAATGGAGGGTTAAAATGCTTAACCTCAACACTGTTTTGGTGTTTGTTAGTCACAGTCTGTATGGCAAACACTGTCAGTCTATATCAAGCATGAATACTGCAAACAAGAACGAGTTAGAAAAAAAATATATCAGTTTTTATTTGATAATTCAAAAAATCTAGTAGCAAAGCCGTCGGTTTCCATGTTAAAGAATCAAAATTTTTCACCATCACCGGCACACTGGATTGAAACAGATTTCTTACACCAGACTGTTCCCAAACTTCTACTGCATCAATCTAGTATGGGTGGAACTTAATTAAAAATTACTGCCGTCCACACGCTAGCCGTATTGCGATTGGAATGAGGCTGTCATTGCAGCAATCTGTTATTTGTTACAGATGAGGTAAATCCACTTGCAGAATTTCTTTCCATGCTTCATAGAACATCCATGCAATCGGAATGAGGCAGTCATTACAGCAATCTGTTATTTGTTAGAGGCGAGGTAAGTCCACTTGCAGAATTTCTTTCAATGCTTTATAGAACATCCATGTGATCGGAATGAGACGGTCTTTGCAGCAATATGTTATTTGTTAGAGGTGAGGTAAGTCCACTTAGAGGAATTTCTTTCCATGCTTCATAGAACATCCATGCCATCGGAATGAGGCAGTCTTTGCAGCAATCTGTTACTTGTTAGAGGTGAGGTAAGTCCACTTGCAGAATTTCTTTCCATGCTTCATAGAACATCCATGTGATGCCTGACGAAGGCATGACTTTCAAACTGCTCGCCCCCCATCCTCGGTAGAGACCCATCAGGCCCTCCTCACGGATGATCTCTGACAATGTCGCTGCCATGTTGGCCGGACACTTCCCTTGGAGGGATCCAACCATCAACCTCTTTCTTGCAACTTCCAGGGGAAAGCTGATGGTGCTTGCAGTTAAACCTAATGACAATGAAGAAATTATTGCAGTCACCTAAATGTATACACCCCTACCATTACCAGTCACAAAAATCTAGCGATTAAGAGTACACACATTTCCTTTGTGGAACAAAAAATGCATTGGAGTTTTCAGTAGTTGGCGTGCCACATAAAACACCAGAAATTGTCATGTAAAATGAAATATGTGATTATTGTTACCGTAGATTTTAGAAACCTTTTGTTTGTTACCCATTTAGTGAACAATTCAAACAAAATATCCAAGTAAACCAACAGCTTTTAAACACTCACCAGAAAGAGCCCCAATAACCAGAAGCTCTGCTCGATTCAAAGATTTCTTCTGCTTCGCTTGGCAATAAGAATTCTTCATGGTCTCATACATGAAATAGTAACATGTGCTGTATGGAAGCATGCCAATTAATGTTGGTGATAAGCCAGCATACAAACCGCCAAGGCCATCATTCTTGTATATCTTACTGAAAGCAAGGGTGATGCCGGGATAGGCTTCTTGGTTCACAGTCAAACGATCCTATAGCAGTATGATGCAAAGCAAGATGAGAGGATTTGAAATAAATGTTGTATATAACATTCAATTTGATGTTAAAATGAATATAAAAGAAATAGAATAAAAAGTATAGTCACCTACAGCACTATTCTACATTTTCACCATTACCTGTAAGAGCATCACATTCGATTAAATCCATATCCACAATACTACCAAAGGGAATAAAGTTGGTTTTTTCTCATCATGCTGGGCTTAGCATCTGCTTCTGCCACTCTATCCAAGTGCAAAAGCAAATGGGCTCACCAAATGGTCCAAATCATTCAAGACATAGTTTCAACTCCCTGAACCAGCAAGGCGTCCACAGGAAAGTTAGCCAAGAGGTTTTTTCTCATCATGCTGAATTGGCCACAGTTAGTACAGTAATTTAGCTTAATTGTCAAAAGAAGATGTAAGCAGGGAAGTTTCTCTCCTAAAACATCCAGGACTTCTTAAGTTTAAAAGAAACTTCTCCATAATCCAACACTACTAAAGTGAGAAACTTCACCAATCTACATAAGGAATATGCTGATTAGCTTAAGCAGTTGAAATTAGGTGATCTGACATCAAACATCCTCACTCCCCGAAAAACACAAGGCAGAGTTTACCACAGACTTTATTCTGTCTTTTGTGCAGATGAAGTTAGATTTGGCAGTACAGGATATTTTACAATAATGCGACTATTTTTTCAGAATTTATGAGGCACTGAGATTCAGAACAGAATTTGGACCCCTATATTTTAGCCTTTTGTCCAATGTTATATGATGAAGATAGAAGAGAATCGAACATGGAAGTCAGCACAAGAAAATGGAACTACCATTTTCTCACTAAATGCACAGAAATTACCACATTCTAATACTCATTTGCCTTATGGTTAGCCATGAAAGGGAATCATTGACACAGGAAAGATCAATAAAAGGAATGCTATTCTATCACATTGTACTTTCCTTTTTCTGTCAGAGAGCTTTAGTAAAGATTGTTTGCAGCAGCAGTATATCATCTATGGGTTAAAAGGAACAATAGATCATTTGAGTAGCAGATGAACAGTTAAAAAGATCATTTCAAAGTATTCATCCTCAAGTTCTGAGTCTTCTGACAATGTCCAAACTTGATGTAGAAGACACTGTAAAAACTTCAAGCATTGCACCTGAACTGAGTAACATCTTTTTGTGGTTTGTAAATTTTATTCTTACCGATTTTTTAACAGTAATACAGGTTGTGTATTCTGTACTTGATTTTTTCCCAAATAAAATGGTTTTTCTTATTAATTAATTATATATATGATGAATAGAAAAATGAGAATGACATATAAAGTTATGGAAAACAAATCTAAGTGAATATTCTGATGCAAAAGATTGAAAAATAGTTGTCAGCGACATTGAGGACTTACGGATCTTAGTTAAGTACTTAACCTATAAAGTCATTATTATAGGGTGACAAATCAAAGATCATTAGTTTTGACATCATGATCTAATACCTTGAGAACTTCAAGAGGATGGCAGATGATTGTGCTTATAATGCCAGCAGCAGCACCACCAACAGCAACTGGAGAGATGCATAGAAAGGATAAATCTACATTGATATGGCCAATTGCCACCTTTGGGCTTCCGTGCTCCTTCCATTTCTCTTGCACAGATATCATAGTTCGTTTTACACACTCAAATGTACCAAGCTCGATAGCCTGAGTAGGTATGATGCGGAGCATGTTTACAGCGTTTCCTGCCCAAAGTCCTTGCCAGCCATGCTCGTCAATGATCTCTAGAAAACTGCCAGTAATGTGCTTGGATCCAACTCCAACAACCATTCTTGTCCTGCAACAAATTATTTATATGATTAGTAATATTCCAAAAAATGCATAAACAAAAACATGGTTGTCAAGGCCTCTTATCTTGAAAAGTTAAGTACCCTACTAATCATATCAAAGTAAACATCAATAACAAACAGAAACAAACAAGAAGTTCCTGAGGTCAACTCTCAGTAGCAGTAAAGAAAAACTCATTAATTATAAGGGATAGAGACAAATTTAACAGATCAAAGTGCAAACAGCTGAACTTGTCATAGCTTGGGCAAGAGTCAAGAATGAATCAAGTGATAATGGCAAATTCGTCTTGATGTCAAGTGCTAGCAAGAATTTGTCAAACATGTAAATATCTAACCAGAAATAAAAGGAAGAATGAAAAAATATTGTGCAGCTAAAAGTGATGGAGGATTTGGCTTGATGACATAATACTTGTTATTTTTATTCATGTGTGCTTAAGAGACCTACAGATATAATAGTTGAAAAAAGTGAAATGATTACCATTAGTGGTATAAGGAGAGATAGAAGAAGACCTAAAAGATTTTAAAGAAACCATAAATAAATATTTAACTATTCTTAACTTAACTAAATATATGATCTTTTACAAATCTCAATGACGGCAAAAGATTCATGTAGCTACCTCAAATAATTGGGATTTATGACTTTGTTGTTGTTATTATTATTATTGTTGTCTTGATCAAGCTGAATCACAGCGATGCCACAGATGTGTTTCACCATTTTTATTCATCTTGCGGATCAGTTAGTCATGTACTCAAAACAAACTTAATCATAGAAGATATAGCTCAAGCATGACATTTGTCGAACTGACAATAAATGTCATTAAATTAAAATTGTAATCAACTTTTATAATAATAGATCAAAGCTAGCATAACATCAAGTATGATGCAAATTAGAAAAGCATGTCAATCTTAGATGCAGCTGCGGTTGGATCCCAGTGTCAAGAAAATCTTCTCTCAGAATAGCACATCTATTGACATACTTGAACAAGCTGAATCATTTCTGTAGATGATATGATGCTTTGATTATAATGCATAATTGAATTTCAAAGTGGCACTGATGCTCTCACAATATTAAACCATTTCAAAGTCCCCAGGGGAGAACAAATTCACAAAGTTCACATATATATATGTATATATATATATATATATGTATATATATATATATATATATATATATATATGTATGTATATGTATGTATATGTATGTATGTATGTATGTATGTATATACACATATGTATATATATACACATATGTATATATATACACACACATATATACACACACACACACACACACACACACACATATATATATATATATATATATATATAGAGAGAGAGAGAGAGAGAGAGAGAGAGAGAGAGGCAAACCTGATGGTTTCTAGAGGAGCAAGAACTGCTTTAGTGACGGCACCAGCTAATGCTCCACTGACAAATTCACACAGTTCTCTCCTCCTAAATGAGTTCTGCAGCAAAGCATGCAACACCAATTACATCAGCAAGCCAGGTAAATCTCTCATTGGCATTCACAGTTTGCAGTTCAAGAGAAGTTGTTATCAATCTATGGACACACAGTGGCATCAGTTGCACCTCATAGATTCCTTACGGTTGGCGAGTGACAAAACAGATCCTAACAATAACAAATGTGAACTTGTACACCACTGGATTCTACTTCGACCAGAGCAAAACTAAAAAAGGAGCATTGAGGCAGATGAAGTAACAGCAACTGTTTTCTGTTCTGGGAACAGAGACGAGAATCAGTAGTATTTAAGTTCGACATAAAAACAAGCACAAAGCATACAAAAGAAAATAATCCATGATCGGTAGATTGCAAAGGTCGAATCTTTGAGAACAGATATCAAGAGTCAATGAATCGGGACATACCTACTTGGTACGGAACGAAATTAAAAGGTAGAACTCAAAACTGACCAAGGAAGGACACCTTTTTTTTTTCCGACAACCATTATAATAACACCAGCAAACTGATATATATTTTGAGGAAAAAACAACAAAGGTACGATCTTTACTGCCAGATCGAATGTCAAGGTATATACTCATAAAAAAAGAGAACCGAAACCTCGCGTAATGAGATGAAAGGAATCACTGAAATCTTGATCATTATGAGAAAGAAAGGAAACAATATCCGTCAAGTTGGGAGGTAAACCAACCGATTCCAGATCAATGAGAACCACCAAATAAAACAATCGCCAGAGAAGAAGAGAATTCATCACATACAACGGAGGAAAAGGAAATCAACCTTGATCGCTCCCGTCACATCGGGGAACCGGAAACGGAGTTCGACGGCGGCGGGGGCGCACTTTTCGGCGTCGAGCTCCCTGGGCACCGCCATGTCCAAACCGTACGCATCCGCCAATCCCAGCAACAACACCTCCCGCTTTCTCTTCTGCGATTCCGCCTCGCAATCCATTTCATCCAACGGCTCTCCCACCCCCAGTAATTAATGCGAAACCCAAAAGGAACGGAGGCCAGACTTTATAGACCCCATCAAACACTGCAGGCTTCGAGGAAAGCACCAAGGAAGCGAGGGACGAGGGCGAGGGATCGGAAAAGGAAGCAAAGAAACGTGAGAAAAAAGGGATTTTGACCCTTTTCTTGTTCATTTCTTTGATCGAGAAAGCGGTTTTGGATCGTTTTGTCGGATATTTATTTGCTTTTTTGACTCGATTTTTGTCCAAAATTTTCAATTTTGGTCTTCGTCGCATGCGCCATGGGCGACGAACGCTATCGAGAAATACTTCTATCCACCCGTTGAACCTGTACTCGGCCACATACCTCTCATGTGATTTCGCCGAAGATGTGGGTCCCATATTTACCATGTGCAATAAACAATAAGGATCGGCGAGGGTCGTCCGGGCATTAAATCACGGATGCTATGTATTAGGGTTTAAGGTTGCCTTCTAACGTTTCAAATCATGGCTGACATTTAGATAAATTTGAAACTATAATTTAAGCTATTATATAACATTGGTCAAAATTAAAATTAAAATTAAAATTTTAAGCAAGATTTACAAGCAATAGATAAAAGTATGGTAATGAACTCGATTTGATACCGAATCACATAATAAACCAACGATGAATGGAAAAAAGATTTTATCGTAATGAACTCGATTTGATACTGAATCATATAATAAATCAATGATGAATGGAAAAAAGACTCAAACTCTCGAGACGAACTCGAAAGATTAATCTATATAAAGATCAAGATTGAATGAAATTTTTAATATCATTCCTCTCACACTCATATATATATATATATATATATATATATATATATATATAATTTATTTATTGGATGGACCAGAAAGAGACTCATGTGGTGGTCCTCAAACTTACAAAACTTCATCTTTGCTATTATCACTACTTTTTTTTTTCAAATTATCAGATCAATAAATTATATTTTTTTGTAAAATAAAACTCGGAGAACTTCGTGCACGTGCTTGAAAAAGAAAATGGTTGAAGCCAAAAAAAAGAAAAAGAAAAATCCGATAGAATAATAGGATTTGTATGTGTCTTTCATAGTATAGATAGTAAAACTAAGAAGAGCTTATTTATTTATTTCCTTATCTCGTCCTCTTAGTTTGCAGTCCTAATTGACATCATATAAGTAATGATGTCAATTAGGTTGAGATAGAAATGTAAATAAGTAACATTAAAGCATGACCGAATCAAGTCATTTTTGCGTTGGATTAACTAAAAAGACTATCAATGAAAATCTTGTGAAGCAGGACGTTTGATCACAAAACATGTATGAATGTCTTATATGACTATAAGATCATGTTGCATTTTATGATATAAGTTAATTTTCTCATGTATTTTATCGTTTCTATTATTTTCAAGCAACATAATAAGATTCAACAAATTGATTGGTAAACAAGCATTTAGGTTTATAGTTTTTTTCTTCAGATATTGGAAGAAACTAATCCTCTATGTAAACATGATAAGTCAAACTTAATTTTATTACGATCAATTAGGTTTGACTCTCAATTCTTTTTATTATCAAATCTTTCTTAAATATTAAAGAAATCATATTAACCAACATCGAAAGTGGACAAGATTAATATTAACTTCAACATGTAAGAGATATAACTTCCTATAACCATAGTTATAAATATCTAATAACAATGGTTTTGAGATGTATTATATTAACTTATGTTTTAAATCATGATTTTTAAAAACATAATAATAAGTGAATCAAAGGCCACCATTTTTAGAGAAATACAAGGAAAAACATACATAGGAAATGTTTTCTCTATATTGCTATGAGGAGAGTCTTATTCTTTATTTTTGTAACGAGAGGGCTTCTTCGTTTCTACGGAGAGCATTTCATCCATTACTATCGCTAATAGCATAAGTAACTATAACTAAGGAGAGGGCTTCGTCACTAGCTACCATCGATGTCATACAAATATGAGATACGATAAAGAATAAACACATATTTTTAAGAGTTAAAAAAGTCAAATGACATATTATATTTTTTTCATAGCTTAATAAAATAAACTTTTAGGTTACATTGAGATATAATATTATGCATGTTAGCCCTATGATTCAAATATATTTTATAGGTCTTCCACACATTATTAATTAAAAAAGAAAATGGGGATAACAAATCACACTTCAATTTGATTTTTTTTTTCTTACAAAGAGATAATCGATCTGTATATTATAAAGAGCTTAATGAGATATATTGGGTTCGACTTGCAACTAAAGATATATATATATATATATATATATATATATATATATATATATATATATATTAATGGTTTACATGCAATTTAGTACGTGGTGGTACAAAATAGTGTTCATTGAATCGAGCTGCCATGGTTGCTGCAAAGCTCAACGAGCAGTATTGAGCCACAGACAAAAGGTGATTGAGCCTCTCACTGCTCCATTCCCATTCGACCTTCACTGCTCACGCGCAGTCCCTCACCTCCTCCTCCTCCTCCACCTTCGCACCAAATCCATGCTTCCGTCCCTCGCACACCATGTCAAATTTGTAGAGTATCAGAACCATGGCAAGAGAGGAGACGAGGACGAGGACGGGGCCCAGTATCCACAGCAGCACCGGCAGCGCCGCGTAGAAAAGCCGGTTGCCCACCGTGTTGAGGGCGAAGCTTCTCTCCAGGAGATCGCACACGTAGTCGGGGGTCACCGGGCAGGCGGCGTCGGGGTCGCAGGTGGTGGTGTTGATGAGGAAGTTGGCCTGGCTGACGAACCTTATGGAGAGGGAGTAGCAGAGGAAGGCGAAGAGGAAGAGGAGGAGGAGGGTGACGTACTTGAGGGAAACCATGAACTCCCCGTGGGCGCCCAATACCGAGTCGTTCAGCGGCTTCTTGACGCTGTAGGTGCTGCTGATGACGGCCGCGAGGCCGGAGCAGAGGAGGATGGAGGTGGTGGCCATCAGACTCGACCCCATTATGGTGTTCCTTATCGTTTGCACCGCCAGAATGTTCTTCTTCTCATTATCCTATCATTCCACTCACACCATTAATCCACAAAGACCATTAATATTTCCTCCGCAAAGCCTTCATCATTCAAACATAAATCAAATGATGTTCATGACACTCACAGAAAGAGCTACTCACGTAAAGTCTGCCATGCATGTAATTCTAAACTATCTCTGCTTTCTTCTTTTCAGTTTATACCTACATTTCATTCTCTCTCTCTCTCTCTAGTTTGAGGACATAATAATTAACCACAGGTTAAGATAAAACTAGGCAATTAATCACAACTAATGGTGGTAGAGAGGTTTTATCTGATGCAGGTCGAACACAGTTTGAGAGAGAGGAGAAGAGGAGAAACGCCGGCCGGCGGTGGAGCTGTTACCTTGATAATAGCAAGCACCCAGAAACGCCGGCCGGCGGAGTTTATCCCTATTATAGTGCTTAGCGGCTGCGACCGGACCTTGTGCCACAGCCACAAGTGGTAGACGAGGGGGAAGAGAAGGCCGACGGGCACCAGCACAGCATCCAAATAGCTCTTCCTCCACTCCATGTTAGCTTCTGCCCCCACCCTCCGCCTCTCTGCCGCTTCTGCTTCGACGAAGGCATGTGTTTATAGAGGATGCCGATGGAGCAAATGCAAGTTAACCTGGCGACACTTCCACACCACCGAGACGTCATCGTCATGGCCGACAGCAGCAAAATTAGTCAAGACCGATCTTTATCGAGCAAGCATGCATCCGAAAAGAAGCCATTAAAGCCTTTTGTTTTGCCTGTCACGTAATGCTCTACAACTCTTTGCCCTATTAGCCTTTCCTCATCAGATCACAAGAGTTGGACACAACTTTTCCTTTCTCTAATCACAAAGAAACTCAGAAGAAAAATCTGCATTTTTCACATGGAGGATGCTGGAAAATCCTAAAAATAATCATTCAATCTAAAACATATATCGTGAGTGGATCATGTGTTCTATTTGTGGTCAACCGAAGAACGCTAGAAATAATCATTATACTTTGCATTTAATTTTGTTTTCTTCAAAAGAAAACTTCATTAAAGTCACCTTCTCATGGCATTTGCAAATATATATCCTTTTAAGAACATAATAAGACTAATATAGTTTCAATATCTTCATATAAAAGAACCCAACAGTTCCACCATGAAAATGGTTGGCTTTATTAAGGTGGTTTAATATGCACAAACATCTACTTAATCTTCCTTCATGGAAGATGATGATGCCATTGCTCTCCACTAGTGTGAGGTTGGTGTCCTTTTCATTTAGCATTGTATTTAGGGTTCAAAGTCTAGAAAAGGGAATCCACTATGGATTCCCTCAAGCAAAGCTAATGCTCGACACCCAAATCAAAAGAGTGATCTTGTTGAGTCACCAAGACACCTTATGGGGGTATATGTGATCATAATACTAAAAGTATTCTTCTTTCAAGTAGGTTTATTATAACTTTTACATGCACCCTTAACCCTCACTGGCATGCAAATTTAATGGGACTTTGCCTTTAATGAAGTCCCCAATGGTTTGTCACTACAAGAATATATTCTAAACACTTGAATTGGTTTTTACATCATTATTTACTTTTACAAAGCTTGAAATAGTAACATCCACCTAAGGTTTCTAGATACATCTAGAAGTTTATTTCATGCCACCTATTATGTCATGCTCCTAAAATGATTTTTATACAAGCAAGCAACTACATACAAACATGTATGCATGGTTTCTAAAGCTTAAACTTCACCCTCTCTCTCTCTCTCTCTCTCTCTCTGTTGATGAGCATATAAAATTAAAGGACTTTTCCACCATTGTTCTTCAAAGTTAGGCCACTAGGCAGCTATAATCCTTAGCTTATTGCCTTGTGTTCTTATTAATATGACATCAAAACGGAAGATCTTATGCTCAAATCATCTCTAAATCACAAACAAGGTGGAAATTAGTGGTGACTAATAGAATTCTAGTGGTGTACATCACCAAATGCTAAAGAGTGGACTCTATCCCAAATAGCCAAACTAAAAGTATGTCTCACCTAATTAAAGTAAATATAAAATGATCATTTCCCATCTTCTTTCTTGACCTAAAATATTTAGTTAATTTGCTAGCTTATCAACCATCCAAAGATGATCGATCAAGAAAACATTAGTTCAGTTAAAACAATACCATTTTGGACATGTCGATGCTTAATCAAGTGCTTCGTAGGCAAATACTTTGGATGTTCCTTTGGATCAGCCACTGAGATCGACAACAAATAGCATCAAAAGACTGTACTTCAAAAAGTAGATTGAATCATATCAGAATTAAGACCTTAAAATGGACACTAAAATCACTATAAACAAGTCAAAATTATTATTATTATTATATATATAAGTTTAACTTATTATGATCCAATCTTATTTTATACTTTTAATTCAACTAAGTTAATGTTTACATACCCACTCAATTCCAAAAGGTTTGGAATGCACGAAGACAAAAAGGAGAATGGGATTGGTAGACACTATGACATCGATTTTGGCCACTTAAACACTCGATCTGCAAAAGAGAGCAAACATTTGACCTAAAAATTGGTCGATCTTGTATGTTTAGGTAGCAAGAACAAAGACATGGCCATGTCAACGAGCATATGCCAATCAAATTGGCTAGTCTTTTTGTTCCATGAAGTAGTGCCGTGCCATTGGTGGGAAAGAAGCTAACTCTTTTATATGCCTAGAGGTGGTATTCATGTATGTTTATGTTTTGGTGATATGGAATGATGATTCGAGAAGTAGCTTTATCTCCTAGTGGTCAAGTGTGATTCCCACAATGTGATGTAGTGGTGTAGGGGAAGGACACCTTTTATGAGCCAAGGAAAACACATGGTAACCTAATTTATTGGTTGCATGATGTGTCAAGCATGAAGTTTGTGGAAGTACACATACTACTAGTCCACAACTATATTTTCTTGGGGATAGAAGTGTCAAATTCAAATAATAAATTATAAGTGCAATTCAAATTAAAAAAAATATATATTTATCTCTCTCTAACATCTATCTAATGGTTCGAGTTAAGCTATTGAATTACAAAGCGAGAGACTTGGTATTGCTAACATGAATTGACCTCTATCTATTATTTCACTAGCTTTGAATCATTAACTCAAAATACATGAATTTAAATTTATAATAATGCATATATGAGATTCTTATTAGTCAATCTAAGTCTTTAGTCACTCTCGACGTAGGACTAAACTGATATGTTAACTTGGATAAAATTTGACTCAATATAATACATATCGCTAACATACATCAAATTTAAATACATAACCTCCACAATCTTTAATTTTTTTTATTAATGCCATTGAATCTAAGAATTTAAATATGTAAATTATGTATAATTTGATTTATATTTTTTAAGAAAGCAAGTAAAATGTAGAGCTTGTACTATATAAATACACACCATCATATATGGATCTGGCTTCACATTTAGCTTGGATTGGGTTTTGGGTCAGGAGTAATCTTCATCTACTGTTGTTGTTGTTGTTCTTCTTCTTCTTCTTCATGTTCTCATTATACTCTTCTACCTGCAACTCCTGTCATGTCAGTGATCCCCTTCCTGATGTCAGGTATTACACTACCTTTATCCGCAGAATCACAACACTTGAATGATAGGAAGCAAATCAAACTAATTGTTTGAAAGGTGCTGTGTGCAGTATGACAACTCAAAGAATATAGAGTGGCTTGTTAATCCTGCTGATGAACCATCCTTGGGCTCAAGTTCTTGCAGTTGACAACATAGAACAATGAGGGTTGGCCACTGAGATCATGACTGCTGCTTTGAGCTTTTGTACATGGCTTCATGGATTGAACTCTTCCTTTTTCTTGAGACCAAAATGTTGATGCGATTGGAAGAAGAAGAAGAGGTGGTGGGTTGGTGTGGCTTCTCATTGGACTTATGATTGAATTTGAATTGCCTGATTCTAGCTGATGATTGGTGGGTATGGTGACTGTCAGGTTGCAAATGATTTATGTCAGTTCCATTGAATCAAGAGGGAAGAACAAAAAGTTCTTCATGATCATCTGAGGTGCCTCAAAAGTATCAATGGTGTAGCAACTCAAGATGGCCTGCATGGAAGAGTGGATATCAGAAAAGTTTCAGTTCATGTCACATGACCCACCTTCTGCTTCATATTTTCTGCAGAAATCTGAAACTTCTTCTGATCAGTAGCTACCAAATCAGCTTTTAGCCTTCATCATGCAGCAAAATTCCTAGATGATTCTTTGCATGAGGATACCATTTACGGTAAAAGAAGTCAGTAGCAACAGTAGAACATTCAACCTTTGGCTGAGAGATCAAAGAGGCCAAAATGTTGCAGTGCCCAAGAAAAGCTATCAGTGATAAACAACACCAGGAGATGATAGTTCAGATGATGTGCTCAGAACACTTGAGATGTGCAGCAAGCAGAAACAAAATATGGACACTGAAATCTTAGAGAGGTGTGTATGGAGGTGTCCACTTCTCTGACTCCTTTCACATGCAATCATACTGGCCGAGAAAGACCACTTGGCCTGTTATTATATTACCAAGATCTAATAAGGACATGTGCAGCAGAATCACTGATGCATATAAATGCTTGAGACCTATCTCATTGTAGTTTTCTCTTTATTTTTCTTGTTAAGTTGTCATTTCAAGCCATCTGTTCATTGACATGACTGCAACAACCATACATGACAGTAGAGAAAAATGAAGTAGGAAAGAAGAAGTTGCAGGTTTTAATGTGTTCAGAGATTAGCAACTGTTTCTTTCCACAACAAAAAGGAGGAGTTCTTGATCCCCTGTTAATTTCTTAGGCAGGACTCCATGACAATCTCTGTTGAGAAGACCACTCTGTGCAGGAAATCCAACTGAAATTAGATGAAGCCTTTGCTGTGTTTCTGAACCATATAGAACTCCTTAGAATCCAAATGTGCCTTGCCAAGATCTTGTTCTTGATCAGAACTAAATACAAGACTTCAATTGGATTCAAATGAACCCTGTTCAGGTGTGTGATCCATATGCCAAACTGCATCCATCTCTCTTCTTTGTGCCCAACGACTCAATTCAGTTTTCCAACACATGTTAGATGATGAACACTAAGGTGTGTGATCCATATTCCTACTTTTCTCTTGAACTAAAATCCACAGTGTCAGGTTCTCTCAAAGGACAAATGATAAATGAGTTTTGAAATTGAGATAATTAACTACATGCTTTGATTGTAGCGTGTATGATGTTTTACTTATGAAGAGTTAGAACAACATGCTGAATAGAAACAGATAAACAATCAGCATATATTCAATTCCCAATCAGCTCAGACCAGTCAACATCCACAGAAAGTCCATTTTCATGTGCACCAAAAGTTCTAAAATAATGAAGAACTCAGATTGTTAGGTGAGGAACTGTCCATCATGTAGACTCATGGCTTAGATAAAATTGATCTCAATGGTGTTCTAAGACTGCAGATTTGGTCCCATAAATATATGTAACTTATTTCACACACTCTGTTGATTCAAAAGGCATGAGATATTTGAATAGATCAGAATCTAATTGATCCACTATCAATCTGAAAAAGTCAATAATGACAGCTCTTTTCTAAGCCATTTCCAGTAGAATAATAAGGTTGTTGTAGATTTGATTATTAGCGGCAATGATTAGTGAGCACAAAATTCCAAATTCAGCTTTGTCTGCTTCCACCACTTTGTATCCTACTTAGAGAGTTTGTATTCCATCTCGGACATTGAGCTAATGTAAGAATCATGAACTTCATGATTAATATTTTCGCATGTTCAATCTATCTATATAGCTGATCCAAAATAATTAGGACTTACGACTTTATTGTTGTTGTTGTTGTTGTAGCACAAACGGATGAGAAGATGAAAGGAAAGTAATTAAAATGAGAAGATTGAGAAGCTAAATTATCTCATCAAATTAACTGCTGGACATGAAGCTGTATATGATAGATACATTCTTCCTAAACTTAATCAAATGATTGATATTTTTATCAGTATTAGCATACACTTCACATGCAACTTGACTCTGCTATAACTATCATATTCCTCAAGCGTTCAAACCCATTCAGAAAAGAATAAAAAATGGTACTAATTATCAGAATAAGTTTAGCCTCATAGGAGACAGCAATTAGCTTTGATGAAGGCAGATGTAAAAGCAAACTGAGCACAAACAAAAAATGATGAGCCAAAAGATCAAAGTAGCTAAAATTCAATTCCCACTAAGACAGCAAACTAATTAATCGTTCACCAAAGACCATTTAGATCTTCTCTTTTGTTCAAGGATCAGAACAGCTAAAGATCATTGTTAGTTCTGACTGTTTTACAGAATCATGGGCTAACAGTTGCTTCAACAAAAACAATTACTTGAAAGTACAAATGTTTGCAGCATGTGAAGAACAGAAGAAGAACTATAGATTAAGAAGTACTGATTAAATGTTCCCAACTTGTATATATTGTCGAGTCATTGCCATTGCTGTCACCACCTCCTCAGAGAAGAAAGGCAAGCTCTTGCTGTCATTTCCCCTTCCAAACATCCCTGAGCCACCAAAGAAGTATTCCATGGATCAAAGTAAGGAAGGTTCCAAGACAACCGAGGGTGCAACACTGCAGCAGGTGCTAAAGAAGTGGAAGAAGCTCGCTGCTGCACCGAAGGACAACAGCAAGAAGAGCATTAAGTTCCTGAAGAAGACGCTCTCCTTCTCCAACGCCTGGGCGCAGTCCACCGGTGTCCCCAAGGGGTTCCTTGCAGTATGCGTGGGAGAGGAGATGAAGAGGTTCGTCATCCCGACCGACTACCTGCATCATGAGGCCTTCCAAGTCCTGCTTAGAGAAGCGGAGGAGGAGTACGGGTTCCGACAGGAAGGTGTGCTGAGGATACCGTGCCAGGTTGCTGCATTCGAGAGGATACTGGAGATGGTGCAGAAGAAGAAGGAAGGGTTCTGCTACATCAGTCCGGAGGTTGAGGCTGAGATGGCGATGTACCATCTCCCTCACAAAATGATGTGCAGATGAACAGTAGAATTCACAGGAAACAAGATCTCATTTGCTTGTTTTCTTGAACTCCTCCATGGAGCTTGTATTTGAGTAGCTTGAGTTGTAATAAACATGGAGAGCGTTGTAGTTTCTGAACGAGATAGAGGTTGGCACAAAGGAAGCGATGTGTGTATCATATGATGCTTTGCTGAGAGAACATGAATCATAATAGCACTAAATTTCTGCTCTTGAGCTCTTCATCATTGCAGTATGTGTGTGTGAAGTTGAAGCTGTAGATTTGTTTCCAAGGCATGTCCTCGAGACATGATGAACACTTTACAACACCACTTGGGACATCAATATACTGCTCCAGTGAGATCACTCCTTGTCATTATTCTTGGCAAAAAGAAGAAGAAGAAGAAGACCAAAGAAATGTTCTTGCTGTCAATTTGAAGAACTTGGACTTCATAAAGGTGGATGAAGAATGCTCGACATGGGGATGAAGAGATCAAGAGTCGGATTTGGTCTAACAGAAGCTCTCCAACACTCCCCCCTCCTCTGGTCTACAGTTGGTGGTGGTATTGTTTGGCTTCAAACAAGTACTGATCAAGGTTCTTTCTGTGGATGTTCTCAGGATACAATGGACCATCATCTGATGATGCTTTTGTCTGTATTAACGAGTTTGTGATGTTTAATCTGCTAATTTTGTGGTCTCTGTACTCATTTTTCTGCATCATATTATTGTGCTAAAATAGGATTAGTTTGTTGCTTTGCAGTCCGACCGATCGATTAAGATTCGAGTCACGAAAACAATTGAATGCTCACAAGAACCAAAATTGACTGGAGCCTCCTGCATTATTGAATCGTGGCCTGTTGCCAAGTAAATAGATGATATATAAGTCTCCAGTGACTACCCAAAATGCTCTCTGCACTGACAAAGGAATGTATGGAACACATGGAAACTGTATCTTCAAGAATTAAGGAAAGATTACTCTCTTTAAGAAGTAGAGCTTCTCGGAGAACCCTCGTGCAGACCATCATATATGGAGGAAAACCTGCAGCATCCAAATTGCACACACAGAGAACCATCCAATCTATAAACAGTGTCATAGCAGTTTATCCAATCAATAGAGACAGATTATTAGTCTTTAATTGGAAATGCAATTATTTTGATACTCCTGCTAAATTGTCGACAACCAAAGGCCAAGTTGACTGGCTTAGGGCTTGTGCAATCATAAAGTTGAAAGTTTTCAACTCTTGCACAATTGGAAGGGGAGGGGAAAAGAAACAGTCATGGGGTGTGTAGACCTTCAAACTGTTCATGGGAAAAACTGACCATGTAAACCAGGAGCCAAATTTTGGCAAAGATCATCCACTCCAATACAACACGATGAATGTTTATAAGCATCACGATTCGACAAATTAAGCTGCTCTGATTCCGCATCAGAATAAAAAATACTTGGAAAACCTTCTTGTTTTCCAGAGTCCTCGACCAGATCTAGGTACGAAAAGAATGAACAAATGGGATCTCCCATCTCCATGACAACAGAAACAAAGATTCCTGTATAACTAAACAAAATGGTGGAAACCATCATCCTAAAGGAAATCTTATAAGCTTCCAGTTGGGAAAAACTTTACACTGACGACATCTACAAGGGGCCGAGAGTTCTGGCCCTCCTTCAGAGTTCGTACGACAGCTCTAACAGCCAGCAGCCTTCAGGAAGTGGTCATATGGGCTTGAAGCCGGAAGCCTGAGGCACTGGGACTGGTATAATATCATATTGTTGCCACCAAACTGATTCTGTACATCTAAATTCAATTTCTCATCAAGGAAAGGATTGTCACTCTGCACCAATAAGCTTGACCTTTTAGTTTGACAGGCCAAAGTATAAATGTTTATTTTCTCATAAAACAGAAAAGAGCTATTAAAACATAGAGTGAACAAGACAGAAAAAGAAGTGTATGACCATGCATAACAAAGCATGCAAAATTATCTAAGATGAATCTACAAAGATATCCTGGTAGTTCCCAAACGATAGAAACCTGTCTAAATCCATAAACATAAATTTAAGATCATAAAGAAATAAAGTAATTTTCAAGGATTTGGTGTTAGCATGACATCAGAACTAAATGTCATGTGACAGCTAGAAGTTCTGTAGTTGCAAAGGTAACATCTCAAAGAAGCAAACCAGAAAGTATATAGCATCACCATTCTTTAAAATAATTTAAATCAGTGAAGCCAGAAAAGGAGAATAACAAGATAAATCATTATCATCACTATCTGTCTAGGTTTCCATGTAAAGTTGTTCCATTCAATAGTTTATAAATCAATTTGTGGTAATACCTTTCCAGGTTGGTCAACATTGAAGCATGAGGACATCTTGTCACCATTTTGATCTGTTGAGGAGCCACCAAGCAAGATATCATGTTTTTGTTGAGCACCTGTAAGAACAGACATCTTCTGATGCTTTCCCATCACAAGAGCCTTGCAGTGACCAGCCATCTCTTTGAATGGTACGTCAGAGGTGGTTGACACTGAAAATCTTCCAACTTGTAATGTTGTATCCGGGACCTGCACAAATGAAATCATATAACCAACACAGTACTTTTTTCAAACAAACTTCATCTAGCAAGTTAACAAGGGGGATGCAAAGAGCACAAGAGGCAAACTACGACGAAAGAGGCTAGAAAAGCAAGAACCCATAACTTCAGCAAAAGAGCAGAAAAAATGAGATGTCACTATGGAATCATTATATTAGTTCTTTGCTAGTGATTAATATTAGAAGATGTCCTGCACCATTCGTTTTCAGTTTGGATATGCTTTCTTGGAGCATGCATGCATGCATGTGCACGTGCATGAACAAATAGAGAAATCAGGAGATTTGATGACATTATCAAATTTATGGAATGAAAATATCTAAACATCACCCTCACTCTCTCCCACCACCCAAAAAAGTGAGCAATGAGATAGATTGATATAATTGAGGCTGCCATCAGAATGATCCCAGTCTGTGGCAGGGAATAAACAGTGAGTTCTAATAGGCCTAAAGAACCTCCACAATAGAACCATGAAATTTTTTTTATGCTACAAAAAGATTGGCAAGAAAGTGAGAAATATAATTCAACATGAACTTACTAAAAAAGGTAAATCCAGACTCATGAGCTCAAAATGAACTTAGAAAGTGAACTACCATCATAAAAATTAAAGATACTAATCGGATATTGTGATATGGCACAAACACACATATGAAGTCAATTGATGCATCCACAAAATATCATTAAGCTGAGGAAGTGGGATTAAATCAAGTAACACTTAAACATAATGTTTTATAAGGATGAAGTATGCCCTCAGGAATTCAAGCTTTATATTTTTCTAAAATATTATGCTCATATATGTAACAACAGACTCTTGTTCAGATAGTAAGGCTTTATCATTAAGGATAAATAAGGAAACTAGTGAGCAACTTCTGAAAGTAATCAGTTTAACCATGAAATTGAAAGAGAAGAGTCTACTAGTATCCAAAACTTATATAGATTTTGCATAACAAAGATCGCTTCTATTCAATATTCTTAAGTCATATGAGAAAGAGTTGGAAAATGCATAAATGGAAACCATACCATCTCTAAAAGTTGATCAACACTGAGAAGATTGGATGAATTGCTGGTCAACTTTAATGAGTCTGGCACTGTTTCAAATGCTTCAGGAAAGACATCATCAACCAAAATAGTTGCAGGTGTGACCTGTAAAATTAAATCCATTTGTTTTGGTGATGGAACTTCCTATGTCCAGCAAAACTACAAGAGCATTACCTCTTGAGTGTTCTCCTTTTTAGACTCAAATGGCAATTGTCTAGATGTTTCCATGAACTGTGCCCCCAGTGGACAAATATCATCCGGCCAGAAGTCGCTTAGCAGTTGATTTCTTACCATGGATATTTCTGACTGCAGTAATGTGCAAAATTAAATGAGATACAGATGCTTGAAAGTTGAATGTATGGTCCTGCATATATGAGGATTAGTAATAGTGCTTAGATAGTTTTATAAGGAAATTACATCTGATAAATCACTTAAGCTGTTCATGATCTGTGAAACAATGAATTCTCTAGACTGGCTTTCTGTTAGTTCTACAACTTGAAGAGATTTTAAGGCATTGTTATCATCCTCTTGTGACCCATAAACTCTTGAGCAATGCTCAGGGGCAGCATTCACAGCTTGGAGTTTACTGTCTTCAACCAATTGGAGATACGGATCAACCTGGACAAGGACAACAATTTATGATGATTAAAAGATTTATAGCTAGAGTGCTTATTTTGGTGACAACTAAATCAGCATTTGTCCTGCAGACATTGGTTGGAGGAATTAAAATAACAGACCATCATGATATCAAATCTGCAGCTCCAGCATTGCCATTAGCTAATGTATTTGCTCACACTGACTGATGGGAAGTTGTTGGTCACAAGTATTACCATGATCTCATATTACAACAAGACTGTTTGTTTAAATGCATATTTTGCTAATCTTTTTTAAACAAATTAGTAATCAGGGTGAATATATGTGCCCTTAGTACATAAGAAGAAAGGTAAACAAGCTATAAAAAGAGTGCAGCTGCTGATGTGCATACCGTTTTCTCATTAAGAGGTGACTTAAGAATTGGAATAAGAGGCCCTATATTGAATGCTTTTGAAGAAAATATGAGCATAGCTGTTGCGAGAGTATATAGGGAACGTCGACGTGATGGTGGAAGTGGACCTACAAAAGATCATACACAAAATCAAAATCAACAAGTGGATTTTGCTAACAGAATACCATAAAAAGTACTATAAGATGGCTATTCAAAACCATGTACAGTTCATGTACCTAGACTAAATTACCTACAGTTCAAAACCAACAAGAACCAAATACAACAACCAGAATAGGTTCTCATTTCGTGCACTCTGAAGTCTAACACAAGAAAATAGGCATCATAAACCCATCAAAATGAACTATACTTGCCACATGAACATCCATAACAACTTAACTTCGCCTCATGTCTATTTGAACAAGAAAGTGGCAATTTTATCCAGATGATCATAGATTATAAATGAATCAAAGATGCATCTTCTCAATTCAATAGCTAAGAACCAAAAGTCAACTAAAAGTGTAGCAATCAAGTCCTGAAAACCACTACTTATAATGGTCCAAGAACTCCTCAAAGCACTCAGACTAGACGGAATGGCCATAAAAATAAATTCACCCACATGCACTACTTTGAGTGGATGGATGCTAGACAACCACTTAATTTCTTGTGTGAAGACACTTCATAGTTGTAGATGAATCAAACTATTTTTGGTTACTGGTCTTGGTATATGTAACATGACACCACCATATAATTTGTTAAGACCTTGATTTCTCCACTGACACCTTCCTCTAAACCTGAAACTTTCAAATCAGCAATTGAATAACTAATTAAAGGTGGTAGCTCTCTCAACCACCGCAAGTTCAAGATTGTTTTCTTCTGGTTTTTCTTCTTTAGTACTTGCATTTTGTTGTTTAATTTTCCTACAATAGTAGGTTTGTTTACTTCAACAGAGTTGGCAAATGAAGCTACAGCAGATACTTCAGTAGATTTGATTCTGGCTGTCCCTGCATTAATTACAATGGGTAGACAACCTGGAACTCTAACTAGCCACATAGTGCTAGATGACTAATGAGACGTGGGTCCAGTTACTAGAAACCAGTTGGGTCGGTCGGTCGGACTGTACCAGCTGATATTTACCAGTCTGACTAGGTTCCAACATGCTGAATGGGCAAAACTGTCCAATGAAATTTCAGACCGTGCTTACCACGCCTTATCATTACAATACCAGGCACACTGTCCAGTTTTAGGGGTTAAAATGGGGAACCAAGGTGTTAAGCCTACAATCCTGTCATGGTCATTGTGCACCCACAACATTTTCATCAACGGACCATTCGTCGCTTTAGTTTGCTTGTACATATGTTTGGCAATATGTTTTGCCTTGTTTTTGTGTGTTTTTACTTGAAAACTATGAACAGGAATAATTTGTAGGGCTGCAGAGTGACCACTCACCAGAATGGGCAAAATTGTCACAAAATGACCTAGTTTTCGTGTCTTATTTTCTGTAGACTATGGTGCAGTGCAAAACATCAGCCATCTCAACACCCTAGAACCACCAAGGTGGCACAGGGTAGGATGGGGGTTTGGGATAGTATTGGGTATTGATTGGATTCACAAGTTCGCACGTAAAGCCTAGGGGAACTTACCAACATGCCCGACACCCGGTGAGTAGTTGTTTGTAGACTTGCGACTGTTCATTTGTCTTCTAAAGATCTTGCTTTCTTCTTTCTCTTTTCTCTCTTGCACCCCATGTGTTTATTGAATTGCTTGCAAAGCTATTATTTTTGTGAGACGTTGAGACTTGTTCGTCGTTCATTTTTTGAATTAATCATTTTTTTCTTTTACAAGTCCTTCGGTACCTGAGTAAGGTTCCAAATAGGCCGACCCTTTGTGGACGGATAACGCAAATGTGCCTCACGACTTGAGCAATTTCAACTAAGTTCGTGACTTTTAGTATCAGAGCGAGTAAGCGATTCAAGCAAATAGTAAAAGTTTGCAATTTCACCATAGCAAAACACTATGACGAATCAAGCAAGACGAGGCAAGCTGAATTATTGCCCTAAGCAGCCGTAGGTGGGCTGCAAGTGCAAACTTGCTATTTGAGCCGATCAAGAGGAGCACGGCAACAAAAATGGCGATAAAAAAGTTAGCTATTCTTCGCGAGCAAAGGAAGTGCAATCTGGAGCGCCAACGGAAAAAAAAGTCATGAGAGGCTTCTAGCTGCGGAAACCCACCTAGATGTCCTTGAAGCGAATCTAGATGTACTTTACCAAGGCCAGATAAGGCTCCTTAGGTAGAAAACTCGCAAGAGGAGGCGGAATCTCGGATCGACAAGGTCGAGTCCCGAGTCGATCAATTGATAAAAGATACCAAAGACTCCGTGCAGCATCTAGACGATATCGTGGTAGATCTCACAGACAAGATCATATTGCTTACGAGGGCTCTTAATACGGGAGGGAACAACACTCGTATTGCTCCGCCACAAAACTTGAGGACACCTGAGCTGCATTGCTTAGGGGGTGCTAGGGATGCAAAGGAGCTCGAGAATTTTCTGTTTGATATGGAACAGTACTTCTGAGCAACGAGACCCAATTCTAAAGAAAAAAGAGTTTTGATAGCAACTATGTATTTGAATGGGGAAGCAAAGCTCTGGTGGCGAACACGGTGAGAAGAGATCTAACAAGGTCGATGGTTAGTTGACTTATGGGACGACTTAAAGTTGAGATCTCATTTCCTACCTAAGAACACTGAGTTTGTTATAAGAATAAAGCTAAGACAACTTCGCCAAAGCACTTCCAATTGAGACTACATAAAATAGTTTTTAGCATTGATGTTGGACATACAAGACATGTCCAAAAAGGGCAAGTCGTTCAACTTCCTCGATGGCTTGAAGCCATAGGCACAATAGGAACTGAATCGAAGGAATGTTATTGATTTGGTCGAGACAATCGCAACTACAGAAAGACTCACAGACTTTGTTTCTACGGAAGACTCTAGGAAGAAGAAACAATCTTCGGGAAATCACCCATCTAAGTATTTCCGAGGGAAGGAGTCTATAACCGAGCAAAAGAAAAAGAGTTTTTTACAAAGGGCTAAGTTCAAAAGACAAGGTCATAAAACTTGGTGAATGCTTATTGTGCAAAGAACCGCATATGGTGAGGGAGTGCCCACAAAAGCATGCACTCAATATGTTGACAACTTCAATCCATTTTCTAAGACCAGACAAGGGCAAGGCTGTCGCCCTTAGTTCGAGTGATTTAAAATCCAGCAGCGATGATGAGGAGTCACAAGAACCTCGAATGGGAGAAATGCATTGAGTGCCCACAAAAGCAAGCACTTAATGCGTTGACAACTGCAATCCATTGTCCAAGACCAGACAAGGGCAAGGCCTTCGCCTTAGTTCGAGTAGTTTAAAATCCAATAGCGACGATGAGTCGCAAGAACCTCGAATGGGAGTAATGCATTTGTTGAATGCATTACGGGGTCAAGTGGGGGAGAATATGGAGACGAAGCAATGAAAAACAAAGAGCAGTGAGTTGATGTATGTGGACATCAAGCTCAATGGCTGAACTCATGCCATGGTAGACACTAGCACTAACCACAACTTCATCACCGATCGTGAACCAAGGCGACTCGGGACAATGAAGAATCGCAAGGACCTCGAATGGGAGCAATGCGTTTGTTGGATGCATTGCGGGGCCAAGTGAGGGAGACTATAAAGATGAAGCAACGAAAAGCAAGAAGCGGTGAATTGATGTATATGGACATCAAGCTCAATGGCCGAACTCGTGCCATGGTGGACACTAGCGTTAACCACAACTTCATCACCGATCGTGAAGCAAGGCGACTCGGGCTGAACCTAGAGAAGAACCCAAGTCGGAATAAGGCTATAAACTTGCAGGCCAAGCAGATCTCCGAGTTGGCAAAGGGGATCCCTATCAAAATGGAGACATGGAGCAAGGTTTTTAATTTTGAATAATACCGCCCCTACCGAGCGATACGTACCGGTCCGCCAACAGACCAATACACGGACCGCCCACTACCGGGCAGTACCGTCAATTGGGGACTGAGGGAGAAGAAAGAAGAGAAGAAAGAAGAGGAAGAAGGGGAAGAAAGAATACAGAGAAGAAGAGAACCTGGAGATCAACGCTTCTCTCCCTCCTCGTCTGTTGGCAACTTCTCATCCGTGCGGGAGAAGAGTCCTCGGTGTCACAAGGAGAAGAAAGGCGACATCGCGGCGAAAACGATTTTTTTATCGTTTTTCTACGACATCACCTCGACGACGTCGCACAGCGTAGGGAGAAAGAGAGGCGACGCCGCCTCGTTTTTCTGCGACATCGTCTCGGCGACATCACCCCGCATGGGGAGAAGAGAAGCGACGTTGCAAAAAAAAAAGATTTTTTATACTTTTATCTATATATATATATATATATATACACACCGAGCGATGTACCAAAATATATCGCTCGGTATATAGTACCGTATCGTACCGAGCGAATCTCAAAACTCCAGTACGATACGAAATTTCAATCCTTGACGTGGAGCGAAAGCACAAACATGATAGCGATGTCATTGGATGACTTCCAAGTAATCCTCGGAATGGAGTTCATACACACGGTGAAGGTGCCAATGTCGTTCTTAAACTCCACCCCTAGATGAAAGGTCATGTTATTCAAAATGTTGGGATCCAAGTGATACTTCTCCATAAGTCTCCACCCGTAGACGAAAGACCAAATTGAAAAAATAAATTCGCCCATTGAGCAATATTTTCAGCACTACATGAGTGTCAACCAATGAGATTAGGTGAAGTTATAAGACATAACCCAATTCTCCTATAACTTGCAGCGGAGCTTTGCATCCAACAAAAGCCCCTTTGAGATCATTATAGGACAGTAGTTGTGAACTCCACACACATTGGCATTCGGTTATACTAGAAGTAGCCTATCGGCATATCACTTTGCAAAAGAATAGCATCGAAATACAAATATTACACGGGTATACTTGAAGAAGGTGGCAAAAATGATGAAGAAGTGAGCTGATATGGGAAGGCGACCACAGGAGTTCAAAGTTGGCGACTTAATGTTAGTGAAGCTCCAACTAGCATCACTTCAGTTCTTTAAGCACAAGGTGCACAAGAGACTGGTGCGCAAGTATGAGGGGTCATTCCCAATCATCAGTAGGATAGGCAATGTCTCATACAAGTTACAGCTACCGGCATGGCTCAAGATTCACAATGTATTCTATGCGAGCAACTTGAAAGCATACCACTCAGATCCGCAAAATGCCTCCAAAGCCTTGTATGAAAAGTGAGTTGAAGTCATTTTAGCGGATTGCAAGACAAAGTTACCCAGTGAAGTGGAGCAGATTGAGTACTTGGTGAAGTAACGAAATCTTATCAAAACAGAAGTTAGTTGAGAGCTCGAAGACGCCCTGCGACATGAAAAAGCAGTCATCAAAGCCTATCAGCAAGCATAGATGAGGGCATCAATTGTTTAAGCAGAGGAGAATGTCACGGACAATCGTCGTGCACTGCAACACCTTCGACAACAGACCATTCGTCACTTTAGTTTACTTATACACATGTTTGGCAGTGTGTTTTGCCTTTGTATTTGTGTGTTCTTGTTTAAAAACTGTGAGCAAGAATAGTTTGCAGGGCTGCAAAGCTACCGCTCACCAGAATAGGCAAAACTAACCCAAAATGCCTAGTTTCACATGCCATGACCTGTTTTCTACATCCTCCGGTGCGGTACGGTGTGAAACATCAACCATCTCAGCACCATAGAACCACCCGAGTGACATAGGGCTGGATAGGGGTTTGGGGTAGTGTTGGGAGTTAATTGGACTCGCAAGTTCAAACCTAAAGCCTACGGGAACTTGCCAATACGCTCAATGCTAGTCATAGGTGCCCAACAAGCCAATCACGTGAGTGATGCCACGTGTGACTTGACATGAAATCTTTTTGCTTATTATATTTTGACATTTATCACTTTATATTAACTATTGTATGTATACATGTATATATTGTGATGTCCTTGGATCTGTGCAATAAGAATCGGATCGTGATGAGATCACGATAATGAGATCGATTCATCTTTAAACACAGATCCTAAATAATCCCGGTCATAGGTTACTCGAGAGGGACATCGTGATAACCGAACAGACTGGTGTGTTGTATACCCGTCCATATGATGGATGCAGCTGGTCTCATAGCTACTCGTGTGGGGACACTAGGGATACAGTACAGGTGCTCATTGGAGAATGAGTTCACTGATTGATCCGCTTACGGAATGCTGGATGGTTGATGATGCCTTATTGTCAGACAACAATTCCGTAGTCCCAATGGTGTATCTAGTACTTAGACTTGAGACACCAAGGATGTCCTATATGAGTGCTCCACTCTTTGATACCAGACTTATAGGTTTGGATGTCCCAGATCTAGTACAGTTGGTCATTGGGAATGACAGTTGACCTTACGATGGCTATTGAGTGTCGATAGAGGATCATCCACTCTCGACATTATGAGAGGAATATCTCATATGTTCTTGCTCAGACAAATCCCTAGCCAGGGTCATTCGGATTGAGAGGGAAAGAGTTCTCCGAGAGAATCCAATTAAAGCGAGACTCGAGAAAAAACCGTATGGGTTTGACAGCACCATGCTCGATATACGATCTTTGGGATATTATATGGATGAGGGACTATAGATATACGGTAACTGAGGACAGACAGGTCCAATGGATTGGATTCCCCTGTATCGTTTGGGGACTACGGCGTAGTGGCCTAGTACGTCCGTAGTCGATGAGTCGAGTGAATTATTATAGAGATAATAATTCACTAAGTTAGAAGGAGTTCTGATAGGTATGACTCACGGCCAGCTCGATATTGGGCCTAGAGGGTCACACACATATGGTAGGCATTGCGATAAGTAGAGGTTCTGATATGAGATATCCGCCGGAGCCCCTATCTTATTGGATATCCAATAAGCCCCTGAATTATTGGATCCCATGGACGAGATCCAATAAGAGCCCATGAGAGATTATTGGATAGAGATCCACTAATCTAAAAGGCTTGGGTAATTGGATACAGATCTAATACCCACTAGGGGAGGATCCATTAGGGTTTGACAAGGGACCTCTATAAATAGGAGGGATTCAGAGCCTCATAGGCTAGAGCCTTTGCTTGCCTCTCCTATTCTCCTCCCCCTCTCCACCTCAGAGCAGGCCTGGAGTTTTTGAGGAGCGTCATCGCAGCCCTGCTATGTGGATCACCGTTAGAGAGAGGACGATTGACCTCCTTCACCCTCTCCTAGAGATCTGCAAGGAAACAGGGATATACGATCTCCCTAAGTAACACAACATATTCTATACGCAATTTGTTTCGTGGATTTTTGTGCACCAATCTTCGCACGACGACGAACATCCTTTTGGGAATTGGGGTTTTGTTTTCTTGTTCTTCCGCTGCGCATGTGATGTCGCCCCCAAGATTTCCCAACACTCAATACCCAGTGAGCAATCATTTGTGAACTTGCAACTGTTTGTTTGCCGTTTAAAATCCTTATTTTATCCTTTCTTTATTTTCTCTCTTGCACACCAAGTGTTTACTGAATTGCCTGTAAAACTATCCTCTTTGCGAGATATTGAGACGTGCCCACTGCTCGTTTTCTAAACTAATTAATTTTCTCTTTTATAGGTCCTTTATGACTTGAGCGAGGTTCCAAATAAACTGACCCTTTACGGATAGATAACATAAGGGTGCCTCATGACTTAGACAATTCCAACTAAGTTTGTGATTGTCTGATACTTTCATCTGATTTTTTATTTCTTTATAGCTAGTAATAGCTATCTTTTTTACTTTATTTTTCATCTTTATACTTTCCTCATGCTCTCACTCTCTAATTTTTTTCTCAAATTCTCTCTCCTTCAGGCATCTCTCGCTACTGTTGTTGTCGATACTCCTCATCCTTCACCGCTTCTGTTCTTCCTTTATCTCTTTAAGTTTTTCCTTACTCATTGTAACAACGCGAGTTTAACCCCACATCTTTAAACAATGGCACATGCCATGTCAAGTCAATTACATCTATTCCTTTCAAAAAGGCAGATATGCTGAACCACAATAGGCAGCAACATAGTTGAGGGTTAAATAACTATGCAGTTGACTAGCCTGGTATAAGAAAGCATGACAGAATTTTTAGAAGCTTGAGCAAAGAAAAGTCCATTTCAAATGGCAGATCCTTATAAAATTTGGAGCAACTTCCTATTGCTTTGTGTAACATAACTTCAAAAATATCTGTATGCTATTGAGAACCTAAAGTTGATTTGAGTCAATGGATACTTCAAGTTCAAACCATAAGTGCACACGAAAACATAATCAGACCAAAAAGTTATACACGCTCTTCTAGGAATATTAAGAAAAGAAATTGTATTAACAATGTTTTTTATATGAGACTTCATGTGGTATAGAGATAGGTTACACCAATTAGATTCAGCTACTCACTTTTCCACATAAATTACAAAAAGCAAACCATACCTGCTGCAATTGAAGTGCTTCTTAAAGAGAAGGCAAGCTGAAAACTCCGAGTAAGAGAGTCAGGCATTGAGGTCTGAAAAAGTGGAAACAGAAAATAAACTAGGGAGAGCTAGACAATAAAAGTTGATGAACAGATAACAACTGAGTAGTTCAAAGCCAAATCATGAAATGTTTACAGTAATCCTGTTAAAGTGTAAAGTGATAGAAGAAGATATTTATGTGGCATCTAAAGCCCACAATTCATGATGGGAAGAGGAAAAAGAAGCTACAAGCATGGTGGAACTCATTTACAATGACAGTTAAAAATCAAAACCCTCCTCTGGATTTCTAAAACTAGTTTCATATGGAAGCATAAGGCCGTCAAATGATAATTTGATCATACTTTGCATTGATACCATGAATTGTTTTGTTTTCATAAAATTTACAGTTCTTCCTTTGATTCAATGATACATTATTAGATTTACTGATTAAACTCTGTAGAGAATTCTGCAATTTAGTGCCTAAAATATCGATGGAAGGAATTCTAAAATTGAAATGAAGAGCTTAAGAAACTGAAATTTAGGAATCCTTCAAGAGGCATGAGATAAATTGAATCATATCTGCAAAACTGGATTCTTTATTTACTCCTAGGTCCTAACAATATCCAATACTGAATACTACATAACTCAGAAATCTAATATTTTTTTAAAAAAAAGGGAATTTTGATGCAGCATACAGGTTAAATAACAGGAACAAGTTGACATTATCAAAGAACTGAATCTTACTAAAATACAAACACAATTGCTGACAAACAACATGCATGTTCAACCTAACAAGTTCCAGAGATAAAAGCATCCATCAGCTATCAAAACCTTGTAACATTTTCGAGTTGGGCAAAGTGGCAAACCATAGATGAAGCTCTATCGATCTAGAATGCTTATCTAAGAGAATTACAAATAACTAATATGCCGAAGATGGTAACTTGTCTGAACAAGTACCAATTGTCTTACATAAGTGGTCTACAAAGTTAATTAGTAGGCAACAGTCAAAAGTCTCATCTAGAAGTCATTAGACTGTAAGTGACAGTTTAACAGGTCAAATGCTCGAATTATAGCCCACTCAGAAGCACTACAATGTTTCTTGAGAGAGAAGTTTGATCATTATGGTGCAGGAAAATTTAGCATCATGATGGCTGTCAACAATTGGTTGAATCAATATCATCAACAAAATAAGGGGATTATTGAAGAGTCATGTCATTCACCCAAAAAGAGCAGAATAGGAAAAAAGTAACTTTTATGCCTTTTAAATGTAAAATTTCACATATATAGCAAGATAGAGGAGATAGAGAGGTAACCATTCAATTGCAACAAAATATTAAAAAATATGCCTACAGTTGGGGGAAGTTTTCACTTAGTTGTATGATAACTGCTTTGGACATCTATCTAGTAAGATACTGCACTCAACCAACTGTAGAAAAACATGAAGACTGTCAGATTATAGGAACTAAGGGAAGAAGCCTGAATTTCTGCTACAAAATTATGAATGTTGCAGTCCATTATCAGATTTTTGTTAACTTGTGATTGCTTAATCTAATCACAAATTTTCAATCTCTAGTAACTCCATGAACTCCTAGAGCATTATTCTTTGGCACATCTCAAACCTAACTTTGCTATGGCATCTAACCATTCAAAATTAAGGTCAATATATATAGACCTACAGCTTAAGTGAAGTCTTAAGTTGAAGTTGCAGGTTTGATAATACAAATTTAGGCTCATGTAGATGCAGACAAGTCCCCAAAATTTTCAGTTATACACATGAATCCACCGATCTTGTTTCTTATGTAGAAGTCTCTATATATTTTTCTGTTGTGTTCACTAGTCCCTCTGTCTGCCTTTCTCTAAATATGGCCATACGTTGCCAAATATTAACCAACAACAGTATAAAAGGGAAGTATAGAGAAGCTGCAAGGTAGAATCTGCATGCCAGCTCCCGAGTCAAAGTATTAAAATCCAAGATGTGAAATATTACAAATTTACAACTAAAGGTACAATTGATAACCTTGGAAAGGGTAACTGGCTGCTGCTACTTTTCCCCATCTTTATTAGAAAATACTCAGATACATAAAACTCAGTGCTACCTTGGAGCATGAGTTCATATCAAAAATTGCAAAAAATATATGGCACCAACCAGTAATAGAAAGTTCAACTTAGTAGTGGCTGAAGATAATACAGAATTATATGGAATTTGATTACCTTTGCTCGAGAAAACAACAATGCTAGACTATAAGAATGAGCTATTGCTTCATAGTTATCTGGCATGTTTTCAGGGGACATGGCCTGAGCCCAAATTGATGAAAGAAGTAGCATTATTTGGCGACGGCTCAATCTTAAAGGAACTGAGTCCTAAATACACAAAAAAAAAAAATCAATTTGTAGTAAGTGAACAATCCAAGAGCTAGTTCGTTTTAAGATGGTAGCTTACTAAACAACAGCTAAAAGACATCAACCTTATATGATTTGTTCAATATAACATTCTCTGCAATTACTAGTGGAGAGCCCTTCATGCTGCAAGTGCAGCTTTGAGATGACTGCAGCTTGAAAAGCTTTGCCTCGTTGCCGCTATTATCTTGTGCGTCATAACTATATGGAACTCTGTTCATATTTTGTTGGTATGTTTTTTCTGTTGAGGAGCACTTTTCCCATCTTAGTTTCTCAAACAGAGCAGCTGAAGATGAAAAGGCAGAAACTTTTCTAGACAGTGTTCTCTGGAGATCAAAGTTCTTGAGTAACTCTGGAGTCACCGAACAAGGTTGGGGACATACAGATGAAGGAACAAGAACAACAGAGAATACACGGTGAGCACCAACACGTGTTTCATGATCAGGGTGAACCATTGCTAAGAGCAGTTGATGAAATAGAGTTTCAGGAAACGCCTGTGAGGTATGACCAGAGAATTAAATCTAAAATAACTGAGAAAATTACTCTAGCACATGTATTTTTGTCTGACCTTATTCTGATATGACAAATTTGGTACAGATGCAATTATCTGAGCCATGCGATATACAGCAGACATGGTTGACCTAGCCATGGACACATTGGTTGATATATTTTCCAACACTACAGCCATCATGTCAAGAACAGGCCCAGCATCACCAATCTGTTTAACAAAACAGCAAACACTTGGTCATGAAGAACTTCATGATTTCATGAAAAGGTCACCGCAAAGCCCAGTTGTGATAGATTTATAGTATTCAGCATATCAGACAAGCAATACCTTTTTCGATAATTGAATGATGCACTCATCTACTGCTGCTCGAAAATTGTTATTCCATTTGATGATGTCGTCACCCAAGTTTTCACTACCAAGTGCACAGTGCAAGGATTTTCGCAAATGTTTCACCATATCACTTATTGCGCCTATAATTGCTACAGAAGCCTGAGCTTTCGACTGCTCAGCGAGACAAGCAGTAACTTCAACTATACTCAATTGAATGTCAGGCTGTTTTAGAACAGCCTTATGCTCAAGATGCTTGACCAATATTGATATTAGCAGATGTGTATTTTGCCCTGCAAGGTGATAACCAAAATCACCCATTAAAAGATCAGTAACAAAATATATATATATGTATATATGTATATATGCATATATATACATATACATATATATATACATATGTATATACATATGTATATGTATATACATATGTATATACATATGCATATGTATATACATATATACATATGGATGCATATACATATGTATAAATATATATATACACGTATGTATATATATGTGTATGTATATGTATATGTATACATATATTCAGACATATATATATATATATATATGAAAAATAAAATAAAATTCTTACCGGCCTTTTCCATCAATAACTGCATATCCAGTAAAATATACCGAGCAAGACCATTTTGCCGAGACCATGAACTATTATTATCAAAATATCGAAACAAAGACTCCAAAATGCGTCGTACAGTAGTGGCTTCCTTGGCTAGCTTTGCCATGTTATGCACACAAACCCTGGACCAAAAGTAGGGATTTCTTGTTTCATCCCTGTAAAGTGTATATGAGTATATTAGATAACTAAAAAGCATATAAATTTCGAAATGAGGAGAGATTATGTGTCAAATTCTTACGTAGTCAAATTAAGTTCTCCTCTATCATTTACAATGCTTTTCCAGGAAGGAACCCTTGCCATGACAAAGGGAGAAGGAGATACATGACCCTCAGTTTTAAGGACTTCCTGTACCCACCGGCTCTGCGTACCCTCTTCACTTTGTTGGCCATTCTCTGATTTCTTTTTGGGGACTCCATAGTTATCCAAGACTGCAGAAACAATCTACAGCAACAAACATTAATTTAAAGGAACAGAGTAAAGGTTTATCATTTTCTAGTGCTTACTAGATAAACATTTAAGGCCTTGAATAAAAATGTAATGACTTGAGTGGTGGCTACTTTTGAGCACTCGACAATTCAAACAAAGTTATTCAACGAAATTAAATTCAAATTTTAAGTGCAATTATGCTTAACATAACTGACCACTTTTACAAATTATTTTCCATGAGCTTGTCTTCAGACTCTTCAATACAAAATTTCATTTTATCTTAAGCAGTTCAAATTCCAAAATCATCTCTCCCTTTATGTTCCCCAAGTTCTTTATGGCGCATGCCATGTGCAGATTACATATAATTTAAATTTTCTAGCAGAAAAGTCTCAATTAGATTTTTAAACTCTCAAATTTTCTTTTCATATTTTTACCAAAGTTTAAATCCTCAATCTAATACCAGCTCCAACGCATTATTAGATAGACATAGTACTAGTATATTAGATGGTGTATGTCTATGACCTACCATCGGACAATACTGAAAAAATAATAAAAAATAAATATTGAAGTTACAAGGTTATGGTTATCATTGTATTTCTTTTCTAGTGGACTTCAAAAAATATAAAACAGTCTCATATTCAGAACATAGAGAAAAACATAAAAAATTTAAAGGTCCTGGGAGCAGGGTTTCAAATACCAGTCAAATTGGTTTTTACCAACAGTTATTTATCAATTTGAGCTAGAACCAATGGTGGACCAGATAGCCTGATACCTATCAATATTTCATTTTTTCATTAATTGTAGTAATAATGGGTGGTACAAGTTGGTACTTCACCAAATATACGAGCTTCATACTTCTCTTATGAGGTGTCAAAATGGCATCAAACAAAGATCTTAAATCTTGCTTTGGAGTTTGATTTTTAGGTAAAGAGATGAAATAGTGACTAAGAAAATGAGTTTAAATTGAACTAGGAATTGGTTAAGCTACTTTAATATTTTTCTTGAAATTTTTATTTATTGTTTTCTTAGTTGGTTTGTGATCTCTTTTAAGTAGAATTGCTGTTTATTAATCCTACATTAGTTATACTAATCAAAAGAGCTTTAAATCTATAAGAAACTTAAGATATTCATGGAATTCCAGACTTTCATAAAATTTATTAGTGGGGAGGTCTTAAAGACCTATACAAATGCTCTTTCTGCTCTATCTATCTCGCTCTCTCCTCTGTTTGTTATAGAGTTGAAATTAACTGATCTGCATACAAAAAAGTGCCCAAAGACTTGATATCTTTCTTGTCTCTGATGCATGAATTTGTGATGTGACACTACCAGCTGTAAATTGCACTGTTCCACCCATGATTTCCAAGGATTGAATATTTGCAATCTTTGAATTGATTGAAATCTGCAACTTATTTGTTTCTTTGCTTGGAAATATTACATGGCTTTGGTAAGTGTTGTGGATGAATTTACACCTAAACCTTGATGACCAGCCTTAGATTAATCAATCATAGGATTACAAACAGAACCTTCCTAGAGGCCTATTTCCTGGCAAAGACCCATAAAAGTCAATCTTAAAAGTTAAAACGAAGTGGAAATTAGCCAAAGTTCCTGTTTCTGATAGTACTTACTAAAAAAAACTTGTAGACTCTTCCTTCATAAGTTCCAATCAAAAGTTTATGCAATTGGCTTAGACAGTCATAAATTTCATGTTTGATGCATTCCCTTGAGAATCATTTTGACTGATCCAAGTTTTCTTCATACAAAACCTTGCCACACTAAAAGAAAACATAAAAACTAAATGGCAGTCATTACACCATAAAGAAATTAATCCAGTACCTTGGAAAACCACCATAAAGAAATTTCTGCTTAAATTTACCTTGATTAGAACTTAAAAGCAGGGTCTGCCGTACCGAGCCATACCGCCCGGTACGGGCGGTATATACCGGTCCGACAGGTTGTCGGTACGCGGACCGACTGTTACCGGTCCGAGAGTACTGTAGCGCTGTAGCAGTATACTGTAGCGCTGTAGCAGTGCTACAGTACTCGGTACACCCAGGTGTACCGCTCGGTATACCGTACCGTACCGGTACCGAGCCCAGGTCGAAATACCAGTACGATACGGTATTGCGAACCTTGCTTAAAAGTACAGCAACAATTCTCAAAAGTAAGTGCTAGACAGTAGAACCTGCACATCCCAAAGATCCTCAAGCATTTTTAAAAGTTTTAATGATGACTATATTTATAATTGGACCAACGATCAAAACAAAAAACCTACTTTATACTATAAATGAAAAGGAAGCCTGAGTTTATCACAAGTTATCTCTTCATCCCTGTTCCTGAGTCTCTATGGAACTTTAAGGCCTAATTCTTGCTTTCATTAATATTTGAGATTTGATCGCAAAAACTGTAAAGTAGTGGAGAAGTTACACTTAGCTTCATTAAATTTTTTCCACAGTAAAAGTAGTTCTTCAAAGCAGGAGAACAGAAACAGAGTTTAGTTGGTATCAAAACAATTCAGCACTAAACTCTAGCATCAAAAAATTCAGTCTTGAGCATTCTATAGTACCAAAAAGGAGTCAGTTTCGACATAGTGATCTGTATTACAACAACAACAAAGACATAAAGTCCCAACTTGTCTATTGAAGCTAGGACCTGATTAATTTAGTAATCTGTATTACAACAACAACAACAAAGTCGTAAAGTCCCAACTTGTATATTAAAGCTAGGACTTGTATTGCGTCGAGATATGGCCATTTTGGTTCTTAAAACCATTTAAATTTCCTTTTGCATTTCAGATGATGTTTCAAAGAAAAAGGTAACTTTTTTCATGATTAATTTAGTGGCTGTTTTGATAGTAACTGTAGTCTTGTTTCCATTGGCATCATACTTGTGAGTTCTACGCTATGCATACATGGTCAAGAAATATTTGGAAAATCCTAGATTTTATTCATAGAGGGAATTTTATGGGACTAAGAATTTCTAAAACAGAAAATTCCTGTGACTATAGTCCCATAACATTGTGAATTTCCTTAAGAGTACAAGAATATGGGTCCAGAAGCCAATACATATGGTTAATACATAGCTTTGATCTTTATGATTACTTTTGATTTATGAAATTAAGATTCATGTAGGCCTTCATCAAGCACTCTCTTTTCCTTCCATCTCTATTCTTTTTTTTCTCCATTATCTTAATTCAATTTTCTATATTGTCATATTCTAAATTTTCTGCTGTGTTGTAGTGATATATCATAATTTTCTATCCAAGATTGATTCTGTAGTGTAGATTATTTTACTTTCTTATTGTTATAATTAAAATAAAATATACCAACTGCCATAAAGTATTAAATTGATCTAAGATGTGAATTAATCTAGAGTAAAAAAATTCTTCATATATGCGCGTTCATTAGATTGCTCACAACCTTTTATTCTTTTCTTATTGAAACTTTACCATAGATTAAATTCTTGCATGCAGTTTTTGTGAGCAGGAAGTTATTGTCTAACAGATATGAATAATATCTAGCTGTTTTTTATACATCAATTCAATATTACTAAATTCAATCAACTACTTCCCTTTTGGTTAAGGTATAGATGGGAGGCCAATCCTGATTTTTCCTTTGCACTAAACACTAGTTTAAGGAACATCATGGACCATGGTTAGTCTTATTTATTGTCTTAAAGGTAAATTTAAAGGAGCCATCTTGAGAGAAGAAAGGATTGTAATACTTGTTTAAGATGGATATTAGAAGGCACAAAAGAGTATATATGTTTTATGCGAGCAATCATTTGACAGGCATCTGCAAGAATCGTGTTATTCTATGTATCCAGTTTATGAGAAACTAAAGCTTAATTCATTTACTAGGAACCTGCAAATAGCTTGCCAACTGTGTAGGCAACTTGACAACTGCAAAGGCCTTGTCTGAGACCATCAATGATTGAAATCCAAAAAAATAACTGCCTCAAAGTTCAGATAACAACTCAACCAGGCGGAACTCAAAAAGTTGGTTTAATCAGGTCTCACAATTAAATAATTCCAAGACATGCAAAATATAATTTAAAGATGTAAACAATAAGGGATATAAATCCTGTATCAATTTTCAGTTCAATTGAAAATAGAAAAACATATAGGATAAACATGCTTACACTGTCAAATTCTGCTGAGATATGCGAAAATTCACCCATAAACCAGACCTATGTGTCATCACAAAGTGAAGAAACATAAGCAAATGAGCCATCCAAACTTCAATAGATGATCAGCAATATGTAAAGGAACTAATAAAAGAAACAGACACGTATACATGAACAGTAAAAAAGCTCTCATTCATCTGCCCTTTACCCATTTCACATGTGTAACTACTATCTATCTTCATTTAATGGAAAATAGTGGCATAAAGCACCCGACATTTCCTATAATGTAAATGGAGCATCTGGACCTTTTCTGATCCAAACTAAGAACTTGATAACATCTGGCATTACCTTCATTCTTATCAGGTGTAGTCAGATTTCCATGCTTATGACTTTTGCCAATCTAATTATCTGCATCCTTCTAGCTTTATGAGCTTTACATCATCTTCTACATAGTAGACAGTACGGGGTTGCTAGACTACCTCTTTTTCAGATATGTGCCTTCAGATGTAAGATGTCTCCATTCTCCAATGACATTCCTTGGCCTTCCCATTATTATGCTTGCCATCAACTGTCTCATCCAAATCCATGATAACACCAGCTGAATTCATAGACAGTGACAAATTCATCTACATCACTTTGCAAAGGCAATCTCTTCAGCTTGAAATTCGACATTGTGGAGGTAATTGTTAACATTCTTGTTTCTTCCAGTGTTATGTAGTTTCTCCAAACTAATTTCACTAGTAACATCTGCACTCATGAAGGAAGAAATAAACAGTTTTGAATCTCAGACCATTTCACTTATTGAAATGGTTAGACATTGTGAACAAGTATATACTGGTCCACAAATCGGTCTAATAATGGATCAGTAGCCAATGGGAATTGGGAAGCATGATTGTATGTATCAGAATTTGAATTCTTCATAATAATTTCACCCTTATGTGACTTTTATCTCAATTGCCTCTACTATTTTGGTTCAGCATACCTTGCTTGTGCTCCTCTAGAATCAGCATATGATAACAATCAACACATTGTTCTCAACTCTTCACTTTCTTCAATTGCATGCACTTTTCCAATTATAATGGGTACCTTCTCCGTAGACTATCCTTATTTGTAAGGTACGAGAAAAGAATCAATAGCTCACTGCCTACAGTTCAAGCTATACATTTTCATACTAGGATCAATTTGAAACATGAAAAGAGAAAAAAGAATGGGAATGGGAATGGAAATTATTGAATCTCATTTTTTATGTTTGGAATAAAGGTAACCTCATTCCACTTTTTATTACCATCAGGAATCTAGTTACCTCTAGAAACCAAATTCTGATTTCCAACACTCCTCAATTATCTTTTAAAGATGAAATTTTACCTCGTTTAGCAGACAATGACATATGCTTAAATTATTATAAAATTGAAATAATATAACCATAAAATAATATTAATATCATAATATATAGATGAAGTATAACTATGACATAAAAAAGGTATCAATAAAAGTTAATATTGACAACCATAATAATAGAAAATATAAATAGAAAATGTAAAAATTTAATAATATAAAATATCATGAATATAAATAAAAATACAAATAGTAATAATGTAATATAAAAAGTAAAATAATAAAAATATAGACTGATATAAGTATCAAATGGTAAAGAAGATAGCCTACAAAATAATTAGAAAGAATAAAAGAGTGTGAAATAATATGGATATAGAATAATATAAATAATAAAAAACATAAATATAAAAATTAATACAAAAAACAAACTAACATGTCACAAAATAATATATTAAAAAATTAATTATAAACATCTTTAATTTTATTATTAATTCTGGCGTTAAAAATCAAACATGCAAAAGAACTTGACTTTCCAATAACATTTCAAATGGATTTCTGTGTGATTCTGATTTCAACAATGAACAGAATGCCACCTTAAGGGAAGGCAACAGAGAAGTTCCAATTTAAAATAAGGCATGATATTAAATTACTAAAACAGAAGTACTAGGATATATACCAAAGACGAGAGAGCTTGCAAGCCTGCTGCTCGTAAATAGCATGCATTCTCATCCTCTCCCATTTCTTGAGCTAGACTGCACAATCTTGGAATCAGGCCTTCTAAATTGAACTGGTATGTACCATCCACCTAAAATAAAGGGTAGCATCAAGATCTTGGTTCTCTTACAAATAGGAAAATGTAGGATCAAAAGGATATATCATTTACTATAACAAAATATGTGATCCCTATCAACCAAGAAACGAATTTACCTGGCTATTGACAAAGTCAAAAAGTGTATGGCATCCTATTATTTGCATTTCATCATGTCTTGATTGATCAAAAAGAGTGTGTATGATGCTCAATAAGCTACTTGCAAACAGTGGCCTGTAAGACATTATCTTCAGATTATAGGTCATACTTCAAACTCAATGTCCTTGATGCTTAACAAGATTATTTAAAATTAAATAAACAGACCAATGTAGATAAGATTCTCTAAAGTGAATCACATGACATAGTACCAGACAGATAACCAGTAGTAAAGTAATAAAACTCTCAAACAACTCAAACTTCTAATCTAACAGACAATTAATAAAGGTTATAAGAATAAATTCAGCGGATTAGAAAATGGCATTGAGAAGAGAAAAAATAGAATGCAGTGATTGTGAATCTCACATTTGCTCCCTGCAAGCAATCAATAATTTCCAGTAAATACGCATCACAACTTTAACATAGCCGAAGTGTTCATTTCTCAGCTCTCTGTAACATCTCTGCTCCAAATAGTTTGTTATCTGCCAAAAAGGCTAGGAATAAGTAAATAGGGTAACTAGAATAAATAGGAATTGAGTGATAATTCAAAAAATAATACAGAAATAGAAACAAATGGAATCAGGAACTAAAATCACAAGCAACTCAAGTGTGACTGTATTACCACCTATATATTTTTAACGGACAATCAAGGGCATGATTATAAAAAAATAATAGAAACTTCCTACAAGGATCTGAGAAGTGAAACCAGTCTTAATCATCAATTGCACTGGTCATATTTGTTCCAAACGAAAAAGAATAAGAATAACCAGTTTACTCAAACACCAACACGAATAATTTTGCATCTCTTAGGAATCTATTAACAAGACTCCTGTATTGTCAAACATCTAGAATGCTGCTTGAGGAAATTGACACTCTTTTTCTGCTGTTCATTACAGTGAAACTCTGGAAGTACCAGACCATTGCTTTTGATTCATAAACTAGTAGAATTAAGAAAAGAATCCAACATGGTATGAACCTCAAATAAATCACTGACACATTTCAGAGTGTTCATGCTTTATTCCATAACAATATTAAAGCAAGACAAGGTGGTGCATAGGGTTAACAATGTTCTCTAATATGATATATGACCAAAAAAGTTTACAATTATGATCAGAAGAACATTAGAAATAAATGTTGGAGTGTGAAAACACAAAATCAGATGCATAATCAGGAAGAAAGCATAAAAGGGTAAAAAAAGATAATTACAAGTGTAACCAACCATTGAAAATCCTTCGTTTACAAAAATCAATTTTAATATAACAATTCTTCAAAGCATATTGAGACTCCCTAAATACAGAACAGGACCCACTTTTAGGTTAGAGGGATTAGTATTTCTCATTTGATTTATGCTGATAATGTGTTGCTTGCCATTAGAGGTAACACTATGTCTTGTAAAAAAGTTGTGAAAGCCCTTGATCAATTTTGTATGTTAACCAATCTTAGGATGAACAAAGATAATCTGAAGTTCATTTTTTACTAGCTATGTACTGCCGATTCTAAACACATGACATGTAAGCCTCTAGGCATTAAAGTGGGAGGGCAGCCAATGAAGTATCAAGGGGTTTACACCACTTTAGGAAGATTTATTGATAGATATCAGCAAATAATGGCTGATAGACCAACACAAAAAATTCAAGGCTGGTACAATATGTTAATTCCACAAGCTGGAAAGTTTGCCCTAATTAATTTTGTGGTCAATGCCATAACCACGCATACTTCATTGAACTCATAAGTTATGGAGAAGGTTTTGAAGAGGATGGACAAGTTGTTGAGGGAATTCTTTTGGAACTCGTAGAGCTGATACCAATAAGATTCCTCTGATTAGTTGAAATAGAATTGTCAGCCCAAAGGATTTAGACAATTTGGGAATTCAGGAATCAGGATACACATGTTTAAAAAGACTGTTGGGGCTAAAAGGTTAATTCCTATATTGAACCATGAAAAATCCCCATGGATTCAAGTACAAAATGCCAAGTATGGCATGTTGAAGCCTTGGATAAAGCCTCTAGGATTACTTGACAATGTTAAGAAGTGGCAAAGGAAATTTGTGGGTAATGAAATACAACCAAATTTCCATCTGACCTTTGGATTTGTAATTACCCCATTTCGCTTGGCCGACCTTTACTAATGTGAGTGAAATGGCATGTTTTCAGCAGGTGGATGAGCTTATATACAGAATATAAAATGGAAGGACACTTTAAACAGATTGTTTCATCTCTTACTTGTTAACCAGATCCTCGAAATTCATATAGAGCAAGAACCCAGTGAGGATTTCTGGATCTGGACCCAATCTGATCTGTGTATCAAATGATCAAAAGAAGAGCTTTTGCGCTCAGGAGGAGACATGGCCTGGTTGGAAGGAAATGTAGCAGTCGGATTCTCCACCCAAAGCAAAATTTTCCTTGTTGAAATTATTATGGCATAAACTCCCCACATCTGAATGGATGACAAGGTTTAATCACTCTCCCCTTTCAGCAACATGTTCTCTGATTCCATTAGACATGTATCTGGCAGAACTGTAAAAGTACCATTTTCACAACCACTGGGACATGCAATTCATTTGGTGTAAAGCCTCGGCCTTCATCAAGGACTACACCTCTCAACAAATTCATTTTGAGGGTTAATGCAATGAGAATCTGGTTGTAGGCAAAGTTAGAAATGAAGCAATAGAAAATTTTATTGGATGTGATGGGTCCTTATATGCTGATATTGATTGTGCAGTTGTTGGATATGTTATCAGTAATGCAAACAGGGGCTTGGTGGCTGCAGGTTCCACCAGCTGCAAGGCACAGAACATTAAACAGGCTGAATGCAAAGCAATTCTTGAGGCACTTATTAGAGCGGAAAAGGAGCATTTAGACAACATTTGTGTCAAGTCTGATGTTTGGAGATCACTCAATACATCAACAATATCAAGCCTTGGCCCTGGAAGCTTAAGGCTATAGGCAATGACATTGACATCAAAAGGATTGTTTCTTCAGTAAACATGATCGCTGTTGTTCACATCCCTCGAGATCTTAATATTTTGTCGCATAAGTTTGAGAAGCTTAGTAGCAGATTTCAGTATTAATGCAATTGGGGAGCTGAAGCTCCTGATTTTTTGTTTTCAGGTGCTTTTGCTGTCCTCCTGGATTAAAATTGAGAGAATTTAATCAGACTTTTCTCCTTAAAAAAATAAAGATCAGGTACCTCGAATTTCTTCTAACTTAATTAGGGCTTTCAACCAACTGGACAATATTTACCTTCTAGCCCTGTCAGCTGAGCTATCTTTTTCCAATAAAATTTAGCAACTATACGACTCATCTAGGATGACTTATTTCAATCATGTTTCCCCCTTCTAATTAGACTTCTAAATCAACTATAACATGGCCCAGAATATGACAAAAAATTCTACAAAAATAAGAAAACAATAGCAAAACTAGACTAACCCTGCTACAACAACTGAAATCTATATTGTACTGTAGTGGATTCAACAAAAACTAACTACATTCAAATTGGACTGTGACTAAATCATAATACATCAACATCCTTTATTCCTTGGTTTGTTTAAGTTTCCATAAAATCCAAAAAGGGCCCCAAGTGCATCTCCTGATTGCCCAAAATATAGAATGAAAGAATATCTACAAGGTCATACCAAACAAAAAGGAAGAAAATGTACCTTTGGAATGCGAAGTGGATTTCTAGAAGTATATTCACATAACTTGCCAATTTTTCGATCATTTGGTTCTTCATCCTGCAAGCCAGTATTTGTTTTTAGGCCTTTATGAACACTAGCTTAAAACTGCTTCGGTGGAATTTAGCAAAGCAAAAAACCTGCGATATAATTATTCCATAGATATAACTACTCAGTAAACTTGTATGTAAAATATAATCTCATAAGCTTTGAGAGACTTTATTCTAAGTTCTAACATATTTTTTATGTTGACACAAGTCACACAAGTATAATAACATGGCATAGGTATCAATATTCTGTAATGGCAACATCTATAAACTAGATATGGAAGAATATATAGATATAGACAAGGGAAAGAACACACATGATTAGTCAATCAACACAAAAATGTGCTTCTGTTTTTATATGAGATTATTCTGTTAAGCATGTCCATCAGACAGTTCAGCATGCTTGTGCAGAAGGGTGTTTGAGGATCTAACTGGTCTGTGGGTTAACATCTCTATGTCAAACATCTAGTTCCCCAAAGCTTGCAATTCTAGCACGAAGCATGAGATTTGTAGTGTTTTTGGTATAAAGGAGGCGATGTGGCCTTTCAAATACCTAGGTACATTCATTGGTTTTGGGAGACTACATGAGAGATACCAATCTCTTTTGGCGGAAAGGGCCTTAGGAAGAATAAAGGGCTCATACAATGGTTACCTAACTCAAGCCGATAGAATGATCTTGATCAAGTCTGTCCTTAATGCCCACCCTACCCACACCCTTCTCAGTAGTTGGATATCTGAGAAGATTCTGTTTTGTATGTCAAAGTTTTCTAGGGACTTCCTTTTGAATGATAAATTGGATTCCAAGAGATTCCATCTTATTAGCTGGAAACAGCTTGTAAGGACAAAGAGGAAGATGGACCTGGTATCAGTGACCTTTCTATTGTTAAAAAGGCTATTTGTGCCAAAAGGATCCTACCTCTTCTTAATAAGGATCACTGTCTTTGGGTCAGAGTCTTACACTCTAAATACGGTGTCCCCCACCTGTGGAGTGACTTAGCTCGTTCCAGACCTTCAAGGTCTATTAGGAGTATCCATAATATGCTTAGAGAGGTGAGAATGGGTTTTAAAATCATTATTAGGAATGGTTTCAAGACTTCAGTGTGAGCTGACACTTGGATTAATAACATTCACGTTAACTTTTGGCCCACTTTTGTGAATATGGATTTGGTGTTGCAGTGTTCATCTGAGTGATTTAATTTCTGAAGGTGTTTGGAATGTAAGTAGACTTGGATTGCTCTTTGGTCCTTTACTGATGGACTGTGTTTTGGGTAGTTATTTCTCTGCATCCCCCAGTGATGACATGTGGGTTTGGACAGAAAACCCTGATGGGGTGTTGATGGTGAAAGCTGCATATAAGGCTTTAGCAAACCCTATGTGTGACAAGGAAGTTAGTTGGCCGGGCTCGAAGGTTATTTGGCATTTGAGGGTGGCTCCTAAAGTTAAATCATTCCTGTGGAAATTGTCCTGGAATAAATTACCTACTTCTAGTTGGTTGTCTCCTCTTTTTCAGTTTCAATGGGACTTTTGTTTTCTGTCAGTTATATGAGGATTCGCCCAAACATATTTTTTTGGAATGCCGCCTTGCTGTGGAATTATGGTCTTTTGTCCAATAGCATCTCCTTGCTTCTTTTATCTTTATGGATTCCTGATTGTGTGGGGATTGGCTCCTTAAGGCAGCACATATGGACAAAGCTTCAAAGGAGTGAGTTTTATCAGTTATTGCTTTTGGATTGTGGTTCCTTTGGTTAGCGGCAACGAAGCCAAGTATAGCAACCGTCAGGTCAACCCTACTTCTGTGTTACACAAGGTTTGGGCCAATGCGTGGGATTACTACACTTGTGGGCAAAAACCTGAGGGGAGCACGCAGATGACTGTTGGGAGTAGGCAACCCCAACAGATGGATTTTGATTACATATTATAAACTGGTGGTTCTTTTGTGGTGCAGGATGCTCAGGCAGGATGGGATATATCATCAAACCTAAGGACAACTTGATCCTCGGCCACAGTGGCAAACGTTGCCAGGCGGAGTCAGCGGTTATGGTTGAATGCCTGGCTCTCCTCTTGGGTGTTCGCAAGGCAGTGGAGCTCAGCATGATTAGAATTCTGACCAGAACATATGCAAATTGAATATGCCAATATGTCCAAGGAAGTGCTGTACTCTGTGTGTGATCAGAGATCTCGTTTCTGATGTCATTTCTTCCTGTAAAGCTTTTGAACAATTCCATTTAGTGCATGTTAATAGAACAGGAAATCAATTGGCTGACAAAGCAGCCAAGCTTGGGAGATCACTAGGATCTCTGTTTTTATGGGATGGTGCTGATCCCAGATCTGTTCAGCGCTTACTGGGTGAGTGAGTAATAAAGTTTTCCTTTTTTTGGTTTCAAAAGAGAAAAACTTTATTGATTTTTGAGGCAATAGCTGTCTGAGATGCTAAAGAAAGAAAGGGGTACCAGTTTCTTATGCTAAGTAATTGACTGTAGTGACCATGTCAAATGTGTCTCCAGCATGCACCCATGCCAATTACTCATATACCATGAATTGCACAACTAACATATATCATAACACATAGCAAGAACTATTTTTGTGTAAAATTATACGAAAAATTTATTTTGGTTTGACAATATTATTATAGATGACAATATTTATTCAGCTATGCATATAATCACTGCAGGTAGGTAACATTTTATAGATGACAATATTATTGTAAGAAAACAGGGACAAGTGATCCCAAAATAGGACGCCTGATACTAGTCGCAAATTCAAGAAGGAAAGACCACATCTTGGAAGGTATAGAGCAAGAGAGATGAGAAAAATCATCCTCAATATGTGATCATAGATGTTTGCACGTAATAAACCTAACAATAAATACAGGAATTGCAGAGTTCTCTTTTGCCTTCTAATTCAGGTTTCTTTTTTCTATCACATAAAGCATTGTAGGCTGGAAACGTTTGAGGGAGGAAGTAGATAATTTCAATGCTTCAAAGGATAATAAATATTATAACAAAAAGAAACATGTTACAGCAGACATACCAATGTTAAGATTACTTTTAATGTACAACTCAAATATTAAACAGGAAACATCCAAAGTGTCACTTCACAAGTTCGAATTTCAAAATTCAGGATCAAATCAAATGAGATGAAATGTGAAGGCCACAAGAATAACCTGAGAGTGGGGAAAAATATCAGCTAGCAACTTCTTGTACCGCTTCACTGGTTGTCTAGATCTTGCTCTCAGTGAGGGGCAGAAAAAGCACAGATTGCCGCATGCAGGCAAAACCTTCCTTGACATCACCCCCATCTTGTACACTATAAGCGATAGACGATAATTTCAAGGTCGTGCCTTTCCAATTCTTCAACTCAGTGAAGATCAAACTTTTTCACTATCCGAAATCACAGGTTCCGGTTTTCCAACTTAAACGGCATTGTCTAACCGCATTGTCTACCTAGATAGAAATCCAGTTTTTGACCAACGAAGATGAAACCAACACATTCGTTCCCGATTAATAGCCAGGACAAATCGAGCTAAAATTAAATAGTCAAGACATTGAAATGCCCATGTTAGAGCCAAAGAAAAATGAGTGTTCTCCAGAAATTTGAGACAAAGATAATACAGAAAGAACATTGGTCTCCGGAAGCAAATTAGGGTTTTGTTTTTCCTCGATCTAAAAGAACCATTCTGTACCTCATAAAAGGGAACAGATTAGGATAGAATCACAATATTCGACCACGATTGAGAGGAGAAGATCGCGGAAGATGGCGTAAACCCTTAAAGGAATCTGACTACGAAGACGCCGGATCTCTGATCTCCTCCGCCGACTCCTCGAGAGACGAAAAGAGAAGGCAGCGATCCCCGTCTCTCTCTCTCTACCCGGGAGTACGTTTCCGTCCAATAATAACGATCGCAATAGAGAGAAAGTCGCGGACTCGGTCCGCACAGGTCCAGCGGCACGAGCCGAGCTGTCGTGGCCTTCTCTATGTGGATTCAGTAACCGGGCCCCACCCGCTCACGAGAGCCTTGCATGATTGGGTAATCATTTTTGAGTCGATTTTATTTTCCACAAAAGTCTTATATTATAGACTGCTCATTAAAATTACTTGGATAATTCTCCATTGACAAGCTACTAAACTATACTTAAGTTGCTGCTTGATCTCTCTGGTGATAGAGAGATTAGCCCTGCAGATGATTAATTAATTGGTTGAATCTTGGTTTAGCTGCCTTAATACTTAGTAAATGATAGATTCTTGATTGATTTAGCTTAGTCAAAATGGTACTAATCATTGACGACTAGTCTACTGGGCTCGATTGCCAGTTGTACAAATCAGTTACTATCGACTGGGCTCGATTGGCTTCATATATTGCTTATTGGGCCAAAATACAATGGCCCCAATTAGACTGTCTCTATATATACTGCTGCGTACTTTCGCTCGGCTTCGAAACCCTAATCGAAGCCGTGTTTCCAGTCTCGGAGCTCTTCTTCCGCCGCTGCAATGCCGCCCAAGTTCGATCCGACACAGGTTGTCGACGTCTACGTCCGGGTCACCGGAGGCGAGGTCGGCGCTGCCAGCTCCCTGGCGCCTAAGATCGGGCCACTGGGGCTCTCCCCGAAGAAGATCGGCGAGGACATTGCCAAGGAGACAGCGAAGGAGTGGAAGGGTCTCCGCGTCACCGTCAAGCTAACCGTCCAGAACCGGCAGGCCAAGGTCACCGTCGTCCCCTCCGCGGCTGCCCTCGTCATCAAGGCTCTCAAGGAGCCCGAGCGCGACCGGAAGAAAACCAAGAACATTAAGCACAACGGCAACATCTCCCTCGACGACGTCGTCGAGATCGCCCGGGTTATGCGGCCCAGGTCCATGGCCAAGGATCTATCTGGCACCATCAAGGAGATCCTCGGCACCTGCGTCTCCGTCGGTTGTACCGTCGACGGGAAGGACCCCAAAGACCTGCAGACGGAGATTAGCGACGGCGATGTCGAGGTTCCTCTCGAGTGACCTCCGTGACCGTCACTATTATCAGTTTAGGTTTTCTCTGCGTCAAAACTTCTCTTTTTTGCTTCAGTTGGTAACTTTCATGTTCTGAGACTCTGGATTTGTGGGTGGAGTTCGAATGCGATATAATAGCTTTATGAATCATGGATCTGTTTATGTATGGGTAAACATCCGCTCTTTTTGCAATCAAAATTTGATTTTGGTAAAGAATTCTGGGAATTGTTCGTCGCTTTGGCTGATTTGAGATGAAGTATGATATTTGCTTAAAGGGAAAATATCTTATCTGTCTCTTTTATCGGCATTTCCTGCTTAATTAAATCTGCAAAATTTCAACTTTTGTTCTGCTGTGTTGCAGTCTGCTCTTTAGGAAACTGCAGTGTGACATTGCTTCACCACTAGTTAGACACAACTGAAATGCAGTGTTTTGAGGAGGGTTAGAAGATCATTTTGGATAACTTAAACTCATTTGGTTTTGCATAGGCTTGAGTTTTATGTTTCTTCCCTGTTGCCCTTGCAAAGTTGCTTCCCAAATCCAGTTAATGGTGTTTAAGATTTCTATTCATTTTATTGAGCCTAGATTGCATATTAAAATTTTTTTAATTTATTGGTATCTTGAATCCTGGTCGCCCAGGTTGCAAAAGGAGCAATCTTACCCTTCTTTTGAAAGGGGAAGTAGTCTAGTTTTAGAAATTGTACCAATGAAAAGAGAATATTTTATGTTAATTTCGCTTTTGCACACAGTATATCAAAAGTTGTTGATGAACCTGCTCCCTCTAGCAACAGGCTAAGGATTGGTTAATGCTCCTTTCTCTGTGAACTCTTCAACATCTTTCCTACCTACACCACTCATGACCACTTCACATTTGGGATAATCAACAAAGTGGCCTTATTTGAATTCTCAGTTTTCCCTGCCCAAGACCACAGCCCAGCTGAAGCATAACAGATCCTTCTTCCCAAAACTCTCCCCATCTTGCCTCACAATGACCAGCCCCCTTCCTTTTTCTTTGTGCATGAGGGACATGTTGAACATCACAAGTATGTTTACTAGCGCTGGTGTCAAAAAGGTTTATGAAATGAAAGGGCCTGGGATTAATAGACATTCCGATTAGTCAAAGTGGGCAAAACTAAGAGGAACTTATAAAGATATGACGAGTGAATTACTATCAATTTCAGTTTAATCATTTTGATCAATTGTTGATCAAATAATGTTGATGGGCTAGTTAGCCTATTAGGGTCTGATAGAGGGTTCAAGTAAGAAAAGATTACTCGTTAACGGAGTCAAAGGACTTATCACACCATATTAGAGTTTGATCTAAGTTATATTGGATCTTGACAAGAACGACAAGCCCTTGAGTAGTGAAAATTATGATACTTTTGATTATTTTTACATCGAAAATGGATAATTTTAATATTGATTTATAAGAATCGGATAGATATATTATTGTTAAGTTTAAGTATTTTGATTGATGATTTAAGCCAAATGAAATTGATTATTTAATTGGCTATCATCAAATGACACTATCCTGAAGCTCATCAGTAAAGATCTTTGCCATGCAGCCTCAGTTCGAGCCTTGACAATCTAAACTAAAACTTATTCTTCTGCCAGTCCACTCATGTTTACTTCTAAGGCATCTGCGCCTAGGGCTATTACTGGAAAGCTAAAAACTTGCATCCAATGGTAAACTTCCATCTTTCACATACTTCCACTTGCCAGGAACCCATCAAACAATGTATCATGATTGGATGCAAATTCTTTCTAATATTTGAGTTCTATTTCCTCCCAAAACATGATTTTCTCTTTTCTTAATTTAACTATGTTACAAGTGCTGCTAACCTTAAACAACACAAAGTACTGCTTAATGACCCAAAAACTCATAAAAAATCATTGACAAAAGAGTACATGGACAACAGAGTAGAGGAACTTCACCATCCTGACAGGAAAACTTGAACAGAAGCAGATGTTACTGAACCAAATAACATATGGAAGTCAACAAACCAATACTTTGGGGTGCAATGCTTTAAACATGCTGAAAGAAGTTTGTCCACCAACTGCTGTCTAGATATTGATGTACAAACTCAGAGAAATTTAGGCTTGTGTTCTATTTCTTCAGACAAAGTTAGCAAGACATCAACTGCAGCACTGACAAGCTTTTTCTCTTCTATATGCAGATATCTACTATATACTTGTTAAATTGGTATATAATTTGAAACCTTCAGTAAACAAAGCCATATATTGGTTTTTGGTAGTGAATGACATGATAAACCTTCATGTATCTTTCTAGATCCTTTACTGATAGGAGTCTACTAGTGAATGACAGTATACTAAAGAAAACAATTAAATATATGAGAACACCAAGAAATCTATTATTGACCCTGACTTTTAGTGTTAGAATGACATGGATTTAGAAATTGCAGTAGTAAGAAAGGAACAAAAGTTGTAATTCATGGGAGAGGTTGGAAAGTTGCTTTCTTCTGCAAGGCATGCCTTTTGTATTTACTCATGTCGGCAGTAATAGCACCCAAGTTTGACAAGATTGAGGTGACTGATTTATGCAAGAAAGTTTACTCATGCCTAGCAAATGAACAAAAGATGGGAGTTGGAAGAAGCCATCCAATGATGACCCATTCAAGTTGGAGGCAGACCACCACAAGAAGTTTGATCCATCTGGTGACTAAAGTATCTTGATCTGGTCAGAAGTCCTTAGTGGATGACCTCAACTCATCATCATATGTGAATAAGTTGACATGTTCATGCCAAGCATCTCCAAGTCCTTTTGACACAGGAACTTGTCCTCAGCATCAGCTCTTCACAGGACAAAATTGTGGGAAATTGAATGGGAAAAGTATCATTTTGTTTGGACTAGTACTACATCAACATATTATTCAACTCATACAAAGGGTTACTGGTCAAGAAGAATTTAACTCTCCTTTTGTAATTATTGTGAGTTACAAAGTAATTGCATGGTCGTATATCCTTCCTAAATCAACTCTACATGCTTTGATTTTTTTATTGAAATCAAAACATGAAGACATGTCTCATTTCAATCCTACATCCTCAATGCATAACAATGTCAATTAATTTATATTGTTGCGTGTTGATTGGGTTTTCAGTTGCCAATTTTCAAATAATATGAGAGTGACTAATGCTTGCTTGCAATGTCAACTCTCTACCTATTGCCAGTTTATCCAAGTCAAATATATAACTAAGGTTAGCTCAATGTCATATCAATCCGATCCAAGTCATTCATTAAAATCGTGCGTTGACTGAGATACAGAGTCAACATCATATGGAGCAAATAAGAACAAATTTGACCAGTGTGTGGATTAAGAAAACTACAACCTTAGAGAATCCATAATAATAGCCTAATTGTTCGATCCATCAAGTCGATCCAAACCTGATTTGTGTTAGGTTATATCGATCAAGTATACATGAAATTGAGGAGTTGAGAGCATAAAGTTTCCCAGAAGATAATGAATAATAAATTTAAATATTTCGATTAATACACTCATCTAATACTGAAAGTATCGACCGTTACATTAAGCAAAGCCATTTGTAACGGGCGGTATATTTACATAACAGCACCGCTAATTAGTGATCGTAGCAGTGTCATATAACGGTGATGAATAGGGACAAAAAGCAGGAAATAAGTATTATTATTATTATTATTATTATTATTATTATTATTATTATTATTATTAAGCTGGAAAATAAAGCGAAAGGGAAAGCAGGCGACGACTTGCTCTCCGACCCAGTGGTCCTCGTCTCCCACCACTCTCTTCTCCTCCTCTTAATCTCTACATAAAAGGCTACCCATTTCTCCTCCACCTTGCAGCCGATCGTGTCTCCTCTTTGGCGATCTCGTGCGCTGCACGATTCCCTCTCGATCGAGGTACGTGTTGCTCGAATCGGTGCTGTTTTGCTCAGATCGAGCTTCCTCGTTCCTGCTTCTAGGTTTTCGGAATCGCTCGGTTCTTTGGCGACTATTTTGTCGCAGATATCGTAGAAGTCGCGTCTTTATTCTTTCTGTGAAGTAGATTGATGTCTATTTCTTATTCTTGTTTCAGATTGGATATTATAGGTGTCGACGAGCTGCTAGTGATGGATTCTTAAGAGTGTTTTGAGGGGCTTTTAGTTTGCTTGGGATGGTTGAGAAGTCCAGTTTTTAGAGGTAAGATCGAGTGGTTTATAGCATTTTTTGAAGATAAGTTGGGCCGTTTGATCGTTGGTTCGGAAATAGATGGCTGATGGTTCTAAATTTGCTGGGTTTATGGTTGGTGGTGGCGGTGGCGGTGGCGTAAATGGTGTCGGAAATGGGTTCTATGACATGGGATTCTACCGGAAGCTCGATGAAGGCTCCAACATGTCTATTGACAGTGTTGGAAGCCTGCAAACGAGCACCGGTGGTGGGTCTGCTCCCATGTCTGTTGAGAATAGCAGTGTGGGATCAAACTCGAGAACTGGAATACTGCGTCATACTGCACTCCGCCTGTTCCCAGGTGCCAACTTCTCGGTGGGGCACAGTGTGCTTCGACATGGCAGAGTGTCTCATGCTATGAATGAGGATGCGTTGGCTCAGGCCTTGATGGACCCACGGTACACCACGGAATCTCTCGAGAACTATGATGAGTGGACCATTGATCTCAGGAAGCTAAATATGGGGGTGGCCTTTGCTCAGGGTGCTTTTGGTAAGCTTTACAGAGGAACTTATGATGGAGAAGATGTTGCTATTAAGTTGTTAGAAAGGCCTGAGAATGACCCTGAGAGGGTGCAGTTAATGGAGCAACAATTCGGGCAAGAGGTTATGATGCTGGCAAATCTCAAGCACCTGAATATTGTCAGGTTCATTGGAGCATGCAGAAAGCCCATGGTGTGGTGTATTGTGACGGAATATGCAAAAGGTGGATCGGTGCGGCAATTTCTCATGAAAAGGCATAACAGATCGGTGCCTCTGAAGCTGGCTGTCAAACAAGCACTGGACATTGCTAGGGGTATGGAGTATGTGCATGGGTTGGGATTCATACATAGAGATCTGAAGTCTGACAATCTTCTTATATCTGCGGACAAATCAATTAAGATTGCTGATTTTGGAGTTGCACGTATTGAGGTCAAGACCGAGGGGATGACACCAGAAACTGGAACTTATCGTTGGATGGCTCCGTACGTGAACTTGTGTCCTTTATGCTTTTAACAACTTGAAATTTCTTGAAGTGCTTATTATAAGACACTTTTATTCTAGTAATTCATTCATATCCTAGGCTGCTGACACTTAATTTGTTAGGTCATTTTCTGTCTAGATGCACTGTCAAGAAATTGCCCTTCATCTTTTAGAGTGTCTGACTTTGCTATCACCCAAAATTAGTTCAACCATATAGTCATTATACATTTTAGAGAAAATATTGCACTTTGTATGTTTCTATAGAAAAGGCCATACCACCTCCAAGAGATGAAGCATACTAGCATAAGAAAAAATTCTATTGAAGTAGGCAACTTCTATATTATTCTTTTGTGAATGATTCCTGACTTTGTGACAAATGTTTCTCTTAGCTCAGTCATGGACAGTACATAGCTATGTTTCATATCCGGTGGTTATTGATTATACTTATTGTCAGTTTCCAACATGCAAAAGTCATATTAACGATTAATGATGTAATATAGGGCTGCTAAGCTTGTCTCCTCTTGTCATGTCAAGTAAATGTGCGGAAACAATGTTTCAGTGTCGCAAGAATCTGCTATATGAATGAAGTCCAAAACTATTGAACTAATACCCGAATTGGTTAAATAAAATAATAGTTCTAAAGCTTAGACCATGGTGTAGTAGTATTAACATGCCATTGGGATGCAGATGGATCAACAATGAAGACAACACATGAACCATAGCAGATTAATAAAGCTTCCATATTAATTATGATATATTGACAAATTGGTCAATTTTGTGCTAACAACTTTGTTGCAGTGATTTAAAAGTGTTGGGCTCCAAAAGACACCAAAGTCCTACAACGCCTGAGGCGCTAGGCGCTCTCGAATATTATAATTAAAATAATATATAACTAAATAGAAATATGTTAAACATGTTTATGAAGACCTGTATTAGAATTAAACTGCTTTGTACACTTGTCATTAATTCTAAAACCTAATATATAATTTCAAAACAATAAGATTAGAGATTTGACAATCTACTTTTAACAATATATTATTTACTGTTAATAGTAGTTAAGAGAGGAGAAAAAAAATCGTTAACAGTAGTAGAGGGAGAGAAAAAAACAAGAGAAAAGTGTCAACAGTGGGGAAGGAGATGGCAGCGGTGACAGAGGAAGCTATGGATGACAATCGCAGTAGTAGAGGAAGTTGCTAATAGCGGCAGCGGCAATGACGGCACTGACGGAAGCTACGGACGACAATGTCGTGGATGGAGGAAGCTTCCAAAGTGTCTGTCAGTCGCGGAGGAAGCTGCGGTCCTCTCCCTCGATCGTAGAAAGAATTGCTAGCAGTAGCAGAAAGAAGCTACGAACGAAGGCTAAGCCATCAGACCCATTTATCGGTGATAGAGGAGGCCTCAGTCCATTGCGTTTGTGACGAAGGTAGTGACAGAAAGCATCGACGGGGAGGCAGGAGCACTCGCTAGGGTTGATTGCTCAGGGTCACGCATGTGTGCTGGGGTGGCTTTTGCAGGTAAGAAAGGGGATCGCTTGTGGTTGAACCAGACTTAAAAATATGGTTCGGTTCAACTATTTGAACCACGCACTCGCCCGAGTCGCTTAGCGCTTGGGTTCGGACGAGTGCCTAGGCGGCGTCTCATTGAAGCGCGTCGCTTGGTTCACTGTCGAGGTGCTCGGGCCTCACCTCGCCTCGCCCGAGTGCCTAGGTGAGCACCTGAGCACCCATTTAAATCATTGCTTTGTTGCATATTCATTATTGGACCATTAGCAAGTTTATGATTCAATTATACTTGCACATATTAATCATTTGCCGCTTGGTTCACTGTTGAGGTGCACGGGCCTTGCTTCACCTCGCCTCGCCCGAGTGCGTAGGTGAGCCCGAGCGCCCATTTAAATCACTGCTTTGTTGCATATTTATTATTGGACTATTATCAAGTTTATGATTCAATTATACTTGCACATATTAATCATTTGCTAGCTCCTGGTTTTAGGATGGTATATATACATACATGTACCTACATACATATAGATACACACAAAATTTTGTTGAAGCATCTGATTGTTAATTTTATAGATGTAGCCATCATGTGTCCTTGCATGTTCATATGAACTGTCATTACAATGGGGATTGTTTTAGACTTATTGATTAATAATTCATGTACTCTTTCCTTTGATGAGCTTGCTCATTGCTTTTATGTGGTGCTTTCATAATTTTGGATTCATCGTAGTCTGCAGACACATTTATTACACATGAATGCTTATAGGCATCTTTGTTAGATTAAATATGTTGTTTGAATTTCCCTTCCATGTTTTATCACTGATATGTGTAAATAGATCGGAAGTTGTAGATTGGTGCTCTTTCATTTTGTTTGGTTGCCTTTTCATTCAGAATTCCATTTTGTATAGGAAAGTCAGAGCCTTGGTGTTGGTGACAGCTCATTGTAATTCTTATAAAATATTTGTCCGATGATCAATTTGTTTGAAGTGTTTGAGAATTTGGATTCTATTTCGACTCCCAACCTGGTCACACCTATAAAATTATTTGTTTTCATGAAGTATGCAAATACTTGCATGGGTTTAAGCTTTTTTCTTCTCATGCTACTGCTAATGTTGTGCAGAAAATTTGATAATTTAATGCAGCGACTATCTTTGCTGTTTATATTATTGTTCTTTTACTGCACTTGCATCTTTTAAAGGATCACTGAGAATATTTTTCCTTAAGGTCATTCTTTCTTTTCATTAATTTTCTTGATTGTCCGTAAGCAATTTATCAGGTGGTGTAATGGTTTCTTGGTTGGTCAAAAGAAGTGTAGAGATTGTCCCTCTGAAATTAAGATTTTTTAATAGCAGGAATAGCATCTTTTTAATGACATAACTGAGTTGGAGCATGTCCTAAGCTGTCCTATCATAGCATATCCTGATAAATTGACATCACAAGGATGCCGAGGTCTGGATAATAAACAGAACCCATAATCGCTTTTGGATCTGTGTCTGCTGTGAATGTTATCCTTATGTAATCAAATCTTAAGCTCTACTAGAAAGAGGGAATTACATCAGGAGATATTGAAAAAGTTTGAGAAGTGCTCTAGAGATACAGATGAATCTCAAAAGATACCTGAGCCAGTTTTGATTTGGAGATAACAAAAATAGTCAAAGGGGACAATTGAGTTTATGGACAGTTCTGAAATAAATTGCACGGGAATTGTTTAGGCGTGTCCAGTAGCTGACGAGATGGTTTAAGGGTTTTAATCGGGTTGTTCTATGGTTCTTTGGGGTGAATGATGATTAATTGGTGAGATGAAAGAGTATAAATTTGATAGTGAGGACAACTTTTTCTTTCAACTTATCCTTTTGCTAGCAGAAAGGAGAATATCTCTTTCCTTATTTCTGGCTAACTATGCTCCATGTATATATATACTCCTAGAAAGTCTACCTATTGCCATTGTTCAAACTTCAAACCAGCCAAAACTTTGGATTTTTCCAGGACCACAACAGTCAAAGTTGCATAGTAGTAAAGCACTGAAATACTACCACAGATATGATGGTCTTCTTGTATTAACACTGGTGTGATTCTATTGGCTTCATAACAAGGATATGCATCTCATACCTAAGCTAGTATTTGGTCAATTTTTTTTAAATAATCCAAATATATGATGATCCGAAGGTAAATACTTTGTCTAGAATATTTGGGGGATAATTTTAAGGTAACTATGAATCTCGGTTAATACCTTAAGGATATGTACTAATTACATTGATCTTATTGTAGATCCAATTTACTAATTACATTGATCTGGTTCTCATACTAATTACATTGATCTTATTGTAGATCCAATTTACTAATTGTTAAAAGCTACCTTTTATATTTCCATCTCGTTGTTTCTTTCAACTAATTTGTTTCTATTTTTTTTCTTTTAGTGCTTGCACATAATTGTTTGCTGCTGAATTTGTCTGTTGACCACACCTTTTTGTTCTCAGAGAGATGATCCAGCACAGACCTTACAATCAGAAGGTTGACGTTTATAGCTTTGGCATAGTTCTCTGGGAGCTTATAACAGGGATGCTTCCATTTCAGAATATGACAGCTGTTCAGGCAGCATTTGCTGTTGTGAACAGGGGAGTACGACCAATTATACCACAAGATTGCCTCCCTGCACTCGGCGAGATCATGACCCGCTGCTGGGATGCTAACCCCGACGTGCGTCCTTCCTTCACCGAAATCATCAGTCTGCTTGAAGGTGCTCAAGAAGATATCGTGCATACTGTTCGTAAAGCACGCTTCCGATGTTGCATACAACCAATGACCACTGACTGAGAAGGGTAGCCAGGGAAGGTGACTAGTGCTTGCTTCATGCATGGAAGGTACCCTCTGGACTACAGTTGAATGAATCATAGGAAGTCGTCGAAATGTTGGTTTTGGTTGATTCACCGTTATAACACTACCAAGTACAATAGGTGATATCCATCTTGGTCTGATCATGATAGTTCACCTTTGTTTTTGTATAGGCACAAATGAAAGTATTAGTTTAAGGTGCATGTCACGTCTAGATTGCCTGCTTGACTCGGTGTTGTGACTTCTAAATCAGGTTAGTTTCCATATGCTGTACTGTTGAAACAAGAAACAAGATTGTCCTTATGTGTATTCTCTAGTTTTACCAACAATGTATCTTTGGTTTGTGTGAGCCATAAAAGATGCAATAGGCTGAGGCTTTTAGGATCGTAATTGATGTATTCCTCCGATGGAATGCAATGTAAACCAATATGGAGACTCTGTATTTGCCATTGTTTGTTCTATCTTTAACCAGGCAAAGTAAGAAATCTATGCAGGGAAGGTTTTGGAGATGTGTGCATACGCATTCATTTTTATTACCACAGCAAAGTGGATTGGGACAAATGAAACGCCAAAGTAGGGATAAACCAGTGTGGTAGTAACACAGGGATAAGACGAATGCACGTTGCTGTGTGTCGTTAATGCCTCTCGAGAGATGCTCACTGGAAGAATACTGAATCCCATGGAATAATCTTTTTTGGGTGATGCAAATGCCAATGCTTTGCATTTGCGTTGGTGCCGTTGCGCTACTCTACATTTATGTCGGTATCGACGCAGTTGCCGAGCGACACCAGTGTAGATGTAGAGCAACGTCGCCCTTCCCCGCACCATTGTCGACGTTGGCACAGATGCAAAGAGACGCTACTTTGCATATGCGTCGGCACCGATGCAAATGTCGAGCGACATGCCAAGCGACATTGCTTCTACATTTGCATCGGCGCTAATGCAGTTGCCCATCAGCCCTTTCGTCTCTCTGCATTTGAGTCGATGTCAACACCGACACAGATGCAGAGTATCGACGCCGACGTAGATGTAGATGTCGACATTTACATCGTCCTCTTTCTCCTCTCATTTTGCCTCACTTCTCATCGTCGTTCTCCTTCCTCATCCACAATACTCACTTACAAACTCCAACAACGTCATTATTTATCACCATCGAAAACGTAATTGGAACATTGAAATTATTTTTTTACCTATCATTTTCATACTTTCGTCGATAAAACCAATAACGTTAGAGTAAATAGAATTAGATGTTTCACTTTCATAACTATAAATATTAAAATATAAATTTTTTAAATCTAAAAATTAAAATACTAAAAAAATCTATTAAAAAAAATTAATGTATAATTACCCCTCTCGAAAGCCGCCGAAATGACAACATCAGCAACAACTAAAAGAAAGCGTTTTCCTTGAGTGGAAGAGACGTCAAATCTCGAATTGCTGCACTCAACCGACGTGGTACGCTCTTTTACATGGATGCTGAGTTCACAAGTGGCTGATGACTCAGTGGCACGTGTGAGACACCAAAGCGAACACCAAGCTTCGCATCCACTGTCCTATTATGGCGCCATGATTCAGATTTTAATTGGACTCTTACCCGAAAGCAGGAGAACGACAACACAGAGAAACCATCGAGGAAAAAAAGGGAAAAAATAAAAAAGAAGTGAGGAGGGTTGCCACTAAGGCTATTTTGAGACCTCGTCATGATCAAATGAGTCATACAGAACCCACTACATTTTTTATGTTTAACCCTACTTTTAATTCGCATTCTTTCTTGTTTGTTACAATTATTATTCTCTTTTGCATGCAAAGTCAAGATTGAGACAGATGAAGCTATGAGGTACCTATCATTTTTCCTATGATGGAAACATTAATGGTTGAAATCAAATGCAACATGACGGAGAAGAACAGTGACGGCCGTGCATTATTCATTACTGGTGGTGCAACGCAGTGGGAATATGAGGTGCGATCATTCATGGCCAGCACAAAAAGAACAAAGAAAAAATAAAGTGTCAGGCAACTGATCCGACGAGAACATCAACAGAATCGTACCTGTAATCTGCAGATTCCATCCAGACCCCACATGGTAGAACTCTAATCCATCTCAAACAACAGCATAGAACAATGCCAACTGCAGAACCCCAGGGAATATGACGTGCTCATCAATAAAGTATATGCAAAGAATGCGACGCATCCAACATGCGTGAGACATGATGCTATCCACCAGAGACATTATGCTCATCAGACAACAAATTTTCTTTTCAGGACATTGATAAAGACAAAATTATCATAAATATAAATATATCATTTGCAAACAATTAAGCAACCATCTAAAACGAAAAGCTCACAACATCAACTTTTCAACCATCTAAAATGAAAAGTTCATAACAACAACTTTCCAACTTTTAGCTCTTTTACCTTCTAAGAAACAACAGTTCATTTGTCATCTGAGGTATCGATCCAATAGCCATGCTCGTTCAGCATGTACAACATCTATTATTTACATGACTGTCAGTAAAAGAGTTCTTCATTATTAATTAGACAACTTCAGCCAACCAATTAGGTTAGTGCTCCTGTCGATGGAACTAGGTTAGCACCAAAGAGACCGCATGAACTCATGGAACAAATTGGGCAGTTGTCTAAATTCATTGTAGGCATATTGATGGGTGGAGAATAATGACCTCACCACATGGATAACCACTAGTTTCTACCAGATTTTTTGTTTAGGATACATGAATGACCAATTTGGGAGAACATGAAACCAAGATTAAAGAACAGATAGCAAGAGAAACAATACAATGTACAAAGAAAGAAGAGAACAGGGGGAAGACATAAATGCTATATACAATTCAGAACTGACGCTACAAGAGGATCCTTTGAGAAAAAGAAAATGATAGTTTTGCGATGCAACAAGTATAAAGGAACAATAACATACACACTAACTTATGAACAAGGTTCAGGCGCTGAAGCAGTCAGTAGAACTAAATTTATATCAGTCTCATATGAGAAACATCAAAGAGATTTCGGAAATAAATGATTTTTGAGTTTTAGCACTCAGTTCACTGTTTCAGTGATGAATACCAACAAAGTTCAGTTCAGCAGTGAATAACGTATCAAATTTGACCATTATATTAGCGGATAGACAGTATCTGATGAGGGAAAAGAGACAAATTTGGTAATAAGCATAACTATGCGAGCACGAGAAGTCACCAAAGACTTGTCAGACAAAGGACATTGGCATTGTGACAATTAAGGACTCGCAAGAATTTAACATCAGAGTAAATCAAGGATTCGAGAAATTTTATGATATAAGATAGGTTCATGACAGGGAACAGTTCTCATGAAGGACAATTGGCAGTAGACTTTGCAAGAAACGAGTGGACTCTGTTTGGTACAAAAGACAGGAGGAGGAGGAATTGTACCATTGTTCTTCATAATAGACCTAAGGGAATTATGGAAAGCTTGAAGCATCACAAAAAGAGTTCAAAAATTCACCAACTCTGGAAATTGACCGTCATCTTAGGTAGACATTATAAAGGCCTGAATTAAGTTCTCTGCTGACCGCTTCTGATCGGGAGTACCAGATATCCGGGCAATGCGTTCAAAACGGGATGCCTTTGAGTCAACAATTTCTATATGAGCTCCTGATATCTGCAACGATCAAATAAAACAGAATCTAATCAAACAATTCAAGCCACAAGGGATTACAGTTTCTCTATGAAAAAAAATGACTTTTCATATTAAAACTTTTCACAATTTCACTAGTTATAGGCAAGAAAAACATAACAATTATGTCAGACCATGCAATTACATATATATTATATGATTTTCACAGTCCATGAACTAAATCTTTCAAAATTTCATCTAACATATGCCATAAGTATCAACACTGAGCTCACAGAATATAATTTTCGTCTATCATACCAGCTAACATGTTGCACAAGCAATGCCAAACCATATGCCACAAGTACCAACTCTTACGGCTCACAGAATGTAATCATCATCTGACATACCAGCTATCATGTCGTGCAAGCAATATCAAACTATGCAACCATAATTTCCAGTTGGCTGGACATACAACAGCATGCCACATTGTGGAAACAGATATATATATAATTTTCTACTCTAACAAGAATAGGAACCTTTTTCTTTGAGGGACAGAGAACTTAGGTACAAATAGAATAAAACTTTAAAGGAGTCAAACTGAGCCACTTGGGTCAGTCTGTTCCACCTTTTAAAATATAACTTACAGAAAAATACTCATATTCTGCAAAAGGTTTAACTCTTGTATCACCTTCTTGTGGGCCAATCACCAAAAGACAAAGTGCAGTAACTAGAAATTCATTCCGACAGTGCCAAACTTACTTTCCTATATATAGTTCTTCAGATGTATGCCGGTATAGAATTGAGCAAACAACAACGAAAATTGAAGTTCACATATCAGAACTGAATGTTAATAGATAAGGGAATCTAACCCAAGGTTTTAAAGATCAGTCTTGTATTGGTGTCTGTAATCGATCAGACTGATAAGATTACGGAATATAAAGTAGCACACCAACCTATACTGCTTGGTACCATGATAAAAATTAAAATGAACTATATATCAAAATGATATCAAAATATATGTTATCAAACACGTAAATATCACCTGGTATGTATCAATATGACTGGAATTTAAAAAAATTGTACTGACCAAGGAAAAACTAAACCATCATATGACCTGTAAAGTGATGATGAACTTCTAAACAATCTAGTAACACAAAGCACAGCTATAATAGTGACCAAAACTTTCAAAACCTACCTTTCTGATGTTGTCAACATTTGTGCCACCTTTACCCATAACTTTAGCCAAGGCATTTGCAGGAATCACTACCTCAATATAAGTTGGAAATCTACAGCAAAAGAAAAGGTCAGCAAAAAACTAAATAACAAACAAGACACCTTGCATATGTATAAAAAAACGGTGCATCATTTTCATAAAAAAATCTTTAATTACAAGAATATAATAGGACAAATGAATTACTAGTTCTGAATCATAGTGAAATTAAATGGAAAGTATATTCCTTAGAAGACTTCATAACTGTCATACAATTTTACAGATGATAAACACCAAAGTTAAAGTTTAGAATTCCAATGGATAAAAAAAACATACCCTCCGTACGTATTCGATGAAAATGAAGAAAGAGGTCCAAAAGCATTCTCTCCAGCCTTGACAAAGAACATAAAATGTCATCAGAATATAACTCTAGCAAAAACATTAAAATCCATAATGATGTTACTTATCATGGTTAAGGGTAGAAAACTCCATAATAACTTCACCAGTTACGATGAAGGTAAACTAGTTCATAGCAACACTGTGCAAAGAAACAACCTGTACCTGCAACGAGCTGTAACCATACAAATTATTGCCAGAGAATATTCCCATCCCACTCTCAGTTTCAGCTCTTTGGCCATAGTTCAAAGGTGCAAGTGGTGGAATAGTAGGCAATACTGGAGGCACAGACAAACTGTTAGAATGAAGAGTATCAACAGGAGGAACCTTCTGATTGCTGTCCTTTTGAGCATTCTGATTACCATCCTTGTCTTTTAAAGCGTCTTCTCTAAGCCTTAAAATAATCTGCACGAGTGCATCACGCAACTTACCTACCTCTCCAGATACCTGAATGCCCATTTAAAGAGAAGAAAAAGGCATGAGAACAAATAACAAATCAAGTGAAACTTAATTTTAAGGACATGAATGAACCTCCACAAGCTCTTCATCAGATGCAGCACGTTTGGGTTTTTCACCCTTTGAGATATAAATATTCGCCTTTGTACTTTTGCGCATATCATTTATAATTGAACCACTCTTGCCAATAAGACAGCCAATGACTTTTGAAGGAACAAGAAGGCGAATATTAACACTGTCATCATCTTGATCATTAATCTTTTCTTGAAGCAGCAAAACAGCTTCAACTGCAGCGGACTTCACATCATTGGAAGACTGCACAGTTATAATTCATACATCACGTACAATAGATAACTATTAGCCATAACAACCAAGAGAACCATGAAAATAAAAGGACAGTTCTAACCTCTTTAGATGTGATGGTGATAGTACACTCATCAGTATCATCCCTAGTATCATCAACGTTGATTTTTGCTCCACTGGATTGCCTTATGCTCTTTATAGTATTTCCTTGCTTGCCGATGACACGTCCAACTTTGTCAAATGGGCACAGAACTCGTAAGACCAGGTCCTCTGAACGTGCCGGACCACCATATCCAGGGACAACAGGAAGAGTAGATGGATACATTGGCCACACATTAGAAGCATCTATAAATCCAGGAATCTCAGATGCTTGATGAGTTGCAGCTATGACTGGTGGCAAAGATCCAGGAGGTAATATGGTGTCTGCAGTGGGATAGATACTACCAGCTGGAATTATGGGAACATCTGAGGGAATCAATATGTGGGGAAGATCAGGAACTGAGCTATCGAGGGGTATCTCTTCTTTTGGTGAAAATTTATACATGATAGCAGAAACTGTAGTTAGCGCTCTTTTAATTGCTTCAGCATCACCAGTAATCTGCACATACACATAGATGAAAAGATGCTGCCACAGTAAGCATGTATATTCTTGAAAAAATGCATAATAACATGAAACATAGTCACTGCAAACATCCAAGCCTTCTCATCAATTGGTGGATCAGGCTTGATAACACTCAAAATTAAGAATACTACATTAGAACTTTGACAAAAATCATGATAAGAAAAAACAGGACTTATAAAGTCAATGTAAGTTCTTATTCATGTTGTGTTCAAGGATAAGAAAGATGTCCAAAGCCATGCAGGCAGAAGGATATTTCTTATTGGTCGCAATTGAAGCTCATGCAACTATGACCAGCCTTCTGGATAGAATCTTGAATGGACATGGACAGATTTAAATCGGGCTTAATCAAAGTTAAAATTAAATGAATAAAGGTACAGAGGATAAAACTATTTTGATAGAAAAACAAAATGTTAAGGCTTCCAATTAACAGAACATGAAATATTGAAAGATCATCTTGTAAGAAACCTGAAAACCTAAAAATTCAGTGTCACCATCAAAATGTGGATATCGGTGAGACTGTCTTCTAGCTGACATACAAAACCTCAAACTACAACCATAGTCCTATTTGTGAATATTTGTTCAACACAGATCCTCGACAGATGCAAGAATTCAGGCTACATAGGTCCTAAATTCCATTAAAATGGAAATAACTAGAGGCAGGAAGCTGACAAGCTTTTGTGGTTGCAGATAAAAAAAAATCATAAACATAGATAAGTCGACGAGAAATATCACTACCTTTAAAAAAATAAACATGGTTTTGTTAAAACTCAAGCACATTAGTTTGCCATTAATAAATGTTCAAGTTTATATCTCAATCTGCTTGTAACAGAAGTCCAGAAGAAACTTAAAATTTGAAAACATTGCAAGTACAATTAGCCTGGTGACTGAACTTCCTAAATGGAACAGAGGCCAAAATGATGTTATCATGCTTCCTAGATGTTCACTGCCAAAAAGAGGTGGATGCACACAGGAGTGATGCCAGACTAATAAGTTCAACAAAATGCCAAGTGTTGACACTTCTACAAGAGGATAATGTTTGGAGAAGGTCAGCACTGGTACAATTAACTTTTATCTGATGCTTCCACATCATTTGACATAGAGTTGATTAACAAATAGCTGGCCAACTCTGCTGCAATTTTAGGCCAGACATAAATGATAATTGCATTGATACAACATGTACTGTGCTACTGAAGGGGAGGCAACATAATGTCACAGATTCAACAACATAGTTTAACAAAAAAGGTACATTCAAAATATAATTCTAGTAGCAAACAACATTGCACTACCCTCAAGGAACAAATCACTTGTAATTTTTCAGAAGACAAAACCATCTTAAGGTCACTACTCAACCTCCCATAGCCAGTTGTATTAATTACCTGAAGAAAGTTGTCAAAACTCATTGCACAAGAATGCGTGGCATCAGAGGGATCCTTTGGAGTAATTTTGATGTTTGCATTGGTCTTGGATCTCAGTTTCTTGATGATAGACCCAGACTTACCTATGATATTTGCAGCTTGGCTTGCTGGCACTAGGATATAAACCCCTTCCTTCTGTTTATTTTCAAACTCATTAGAGTTATCTAAAGCATTTACTATAGCATCATGAATCTTAAGCAAGGCATCCTGGGCAGGGCAAAGTGGTCGCAGGATATCTTCATCAACATCAACAGGATTCTTGTCCTTAACATAGCAGTAAATAGTAATAACCCTCTTATCCGCACCAGGAAAAGGATCAACAATTTTGATTTTAGCATTTGTCTCTTGTCTAATGGAGTTTATAATTTTACCACTCTTTCCAATCACACTCCCGATAACACCAAGTGGGCATAGGATACGATATACAACCAATTCACTGTCCCTGGTACCATCATTGTTGACCAATCTTTTCTTCTGCTGCTTACCTTCACTGTCATTATCCCTCTGCTGACGCTTTCCAATATCAACCATGACTTGGAAACAGAAATCAGTCTGTGAACATACAAGATCTTGAGTTTGCATTATAAACCATAAGACTATGAAGATACTTTACCAATGGAATAGCACACAAGATTAAAAGACTACAAAGAGAAAGAACCACCAAGCAGTTCAGAAAAAGATAACCAACTATACAACTGAAAGAGACTACAAAGTTGAAAAGATGAAAATTCACAAAGCGTTTAAAGAAAATTAGAAAAAACACATTGTTCAAACATGCTCAGTACTCAAGTGGTCAGCAAGCAACAGACAAATTTGAATAGTTTGATAAACAGCGATCAAATTACATGATTAATTGGAAGATAGTTATCCACATGACAAACATATATTAACCAATCTACTAATGTATTCAATAAACCAATGCAGTAACAGATCAAAAACAGAGGTGAACTTCGTTAATATTGACACCCTCATGAAAAATGAACTATTGCAACTCAAGAAATGAAGTTAACCAGCACACTGACGTTTCTATATGCATTTAGCCTTCGTTAATATTGTGACATGCTATTTGTTGAATTAAAACACTATTCCAGTAAATTAAAATATCCAATGGACAAAACAGAGGCAAAATGTCCATCAGTGTTCGCAATCTCAAATATTACATGAATGTGGTTAATAGATATAGAAGTAGGAAACGTTGACATTCATGATTCTAAAATATCATGCATGTGTTCAGTACATACAGAAGTAGGAATCGAAGGAAATAGGATAATATAAGAATCAAGAATGGTGGTGATATAAATTAAAAAAAAAGGATGTTCATCCCGTGAGAAAATGAGAAAACATATAAAAAATCTCAAGACTTCGGCACCATAAAGTAAGGCCAATTCTCAATAAAATCAAAATCGATATTCGCTCGCAGAAGAGATGTCTGAAATATGACGACTAAATAGCTTCCACCAACGTTCTGATAACCAGAAAAAGGCCCCGAATCGGGCAATAAAGATCAACAAAAACCAAGATAAAAACATCTTGGATCGGTAACAAGAACAGAAGAGGAAATCACACGATGAAAGCACACCGTAATCTGGAATGAAAACCCTAACCGTGGGCATCGATGAATCGCCGTCAGCATGAACTAAAATATCCTAACCCTAGGTGATGATTCGGGCGAAGGGGTTGGCGTACCTGCGAATGGAAGAAACCCTAACCCTTGGCAGCGGCGGGAGAAGGGACAGCGCGCGATTGACCGGGTTCGGGATGACTTAAACCGGTGCGGGGTAGCGCATGTTCTTGTGGCTGTAGGTGGTGTGCCGGTATATTCTATTATGTCATCAAACTGTGGAAAGCATGTATCGGCAATCTTCCGTTATTATACGAAATAACTGTCACGTGGGTACGATACAATGACTGTTACTTCCGTTCTCATACAAAATAACGGTTACTATCGGAGCGTTGCAATGACTGTTAGTTGCTCTAAAAAGACCTTGCAGTGGTGGGTCCCGCTCTCCCGTGTGGGCAGCCGAGCCGAGCCGCGGTTACTCGTCCGCGCTCCGCCCACGTAACAGAGCTCGACGGACTCCGGTGCCTGTGTCCGTCGATGGGGCGGCGAACCCCGCAACCCTACCAAGAAGTGGACGAATCTCGACCAAACACCACGGTGGTGGCGAAGGGATTGGAGAAGATGAAGATGAAGAAGACGACGGCCATCCCTATCCCGACCCTCCGGTACTTCACTTTCCCCTCGTCCGCCCCTTTGCCTTCCACTTCCCCCTTTAGATTGGTAGTACTTGAAACCCTGATTCCCTGCCATATTCACCCGTCTTGACTTGTCAAAATTGAATCTTTACTGCTCTTTGCTGGTAAAAATCGAATCTTTAGTATACCTCCTTTTTGATAGACTGTTTCTGTGCCCTTCCTCCGACTATATTATTCTATCTGCAAGAATGATCGGTGGGGTTAGAAATATTTTAGATCCATTTACTTTAATGATGTTAGTTTTATCAATAAAAATATGAAAATAAAAAGATAAAATAATAAATTTAATATTCCGATGGTGGCAGATGTCGTCGAAGGTGACGAATAGGGTGAGCACGAGGGGGAGAGCAGGTGGATGGTGGAGAGGCGACCGTGAGGGCTCTGGTTGATGATGACAGAAGGAGGGGTGAGCGTGAGGGGGAGAGAAGGTGGATGGGGCGGAGGCGATTATGAGGGATATGGACAACGACGATAGCAGTGACAACGATAGGGGTGAGCACGAGGGGGAGAGGAGGTGGACGGGGTGGAGGTGATCGTGAGGGCTCTGGCTGGCGACGATAGCGGCAACAGTGAGAGAGGTGAGCATGAGGGGGAGAGGAGGTGACGACTAGAGCCCTCACGGTCGCCTTTGCCCCGTCCACCTCCCTGACATCCCCCACGCTTATCTCCGTCGCTCTTTACTAGGTTAAGCAGTGGCGACAGCGAGGTGAGCACGAGGGGGAAGAGCAAGGCGGAGGCATTGTTGTAAAGGGTTGCGACAATGTGCTAGGCGACAAAGGGGGAGAGGAGGCGGAGGGCGACGACGAAGGCGTCGAGGGGGAAAAGGCCGCTCCACAACTATATCGGCGTCAGCTCCAGCATCATCACCGTCTAGCACCATCGGAATGTTAAATTTATCTTTTTGCCTCTTGTTTTCATATTTTTATTGATAAAAACTGATGTTGTTAAGGTAAATGAATCTAGATGTTTCACCTTCGTAACTATAAGGATGTCAATATAACTTTTTAAAGTATAAAGACATAGACTAACTAGAGGAGGGTAATTTGTAATAAACTCTGATCGAGGTAATCTTATTGAATGCTTCCTACTTGAGTTATTTTTGTTGGATTAAATAATTTTAGTTAGTCAATAGTTATGGGTTGTGGTTTGCCAGTCTTGTGTGTTAGGGCTTCCTCCGAGCCATGGTAATTGACCGAGGTAAAGCCCTAGTGGAAGCTGTAGCCCAAGTGTTCTCATGCTTCTCTCGTCATTAATGCCTCTGACAGATTATGAAGAGGATTCAATCTACGGCATGCTTCTTCCTGATTACTTGAAGAAAATAACTGGTCAATTATAAGCACTTGGCTACTGAAGGTGAGGATTTGTATGAGATGCTAGATCTTAATGTCCTTGTATGACTTTTTCCTGAATGAGAGGACGTTTTAGCTCTATATGATTTTACCGAGTTCTCTTTTTAGCAGACTGCAGTTATCGGGATGCTTACAATTTTGACAATGGATCACCAACCAGCGTTACCCTGTGTTCACGAATGTATCCAATCTTGTAGGTATGACAATTTTTTCATGTAATTTAAGTGTAACCTCTATATGAGGAAGAACCAAGTGGAAGCTGATCTCTGTTGATCATGAAAATGATATCTTACTTGTTGGTGATGAACTTGGGAGAAAGCTCACACTCTAATGACCTCATTTAATGGTTTGATGACAGTTTTTGTAGTCAACTAACTTCCTTTTCTATATGATTACAGCGAATCTGTTAGCTGTTTTCAGAGCATTCAAATATTATCGGCGGCGTTGATCCACCAGACAATCTTGGAAATGGCAATGCCTGGAGAGGCCAATTTGACGAGGTCTCATTTACATTCTTGCATCACAGAAATGTCAGTCCAGTATCAATAAGTGATGATATCATTCCAATTAACCAAGGTTACTCTTGCAACTGTGACCGTTTTCAAGTCACAAAAACAACACATTGATTTATATCGAAGTCTCATGCAATGAATCAATCTTCATCCTTGGATGCGAACAGTTGGGCTTTTTGCAGTCACTTTTGGAGAGGTTTCAGATTTTCTTCTCATACAGGTGATCCTTATCACAATCTTGTTTTTGTTATGATGCAAACCATATGTTGTAATCTTAGAAAAAATGACCAAAATTGAATAAATATATCATATTTGTAGCCAAGAACCTTTGTCTACAATGTTTGATAGAATTTTTATTTTTAATAAAATATGTTTATATCTTTTTCTACATTTTCTCATATCATTAAATACTAATTGTCTCACATCTTCTAATTTTTCATGAATAAAATCACCGCTCTTTTTTCTTAACTAGAAGCACAGTGTCTCTGAATCTAAAATTTTCAACATCTTCATTCCCAAGTTTCCATCTACTTCCAGTGAAACCAAACAGAAACTCAGTCATGTCTCAGTGATGATTTCTTCATCAATATATTATGTATTATGACCTAATAACGTAGGAACTATCAGTTACATCTCCCCACAATAATACACATGTCCTACTAGAAGGAATGATTAGTGATTAGCACATGAGGATCATGACTCATGCCAAGCAATCGGCCATCATATACTCATGAAATTCCATGTACTACGATATACAACTTCGCCAACTAAGGCTGACTGAGGTCAAGATCAACAATACAAGTCTAGTACTGTATTGAATTTTCAACCCTTGTGCAATCAACTCAACTTTTCATTGAATGATGACTGAGGACTTCGACATCAAGGCAATGTCTTAACATTCATCTTCCAGGATCTTTTTGCTGACATATCCAGGTTGCAGCTCCATTGCATACAGCTTCTGGTTCTTTTCCCCTTCTGCAACATGCATTCTCCAGTACAAGTCATGAACTATGATGGCCAGATATGTTATAAACTGTTGACCTTATGATTCTGACATGAGCAATGCAATCATGGCATCAGCAGACTCTGGACCATCATTATTTACACTTGGAATTATATGTTCCGGAGTGACCAATCTAACAAACTCTTTCAGCTCTGTGAAGCTGCAATGTTCACTGTATGGAACTTCATACCTGCAAAGAGGCAAGACCACCAAAAAAATGTTACATAGACTACACTTTATATACATATTTTACCTTTATGGAATCCTTTTATGGAAAGTGTTTCTACATGTGAACTTTGTGGCAAGTGTGCTAAAACAATGTTGGAATCAAATTTGATGCGCTGAACATGAGACATGATATCCAAGACTTAAAACCTTCTAGTGTTGATTCAAGTTAATGGTGGCACACACACAAGTTTGCTCAACCTCTAGATTTCTTAGTACAAGAAAATAATGAAACCCATCTGCAGAGTAAAAGGAAAACCCATCATCCAAAACCAACTCATTTGTATGGATTAAGACAATTCCATAATCTTGTCATGCCTGGCCTTAATCTCTTCTCAGTAGCATTTCTTATTGCACATAAGGATCCTTCTTAGTGTATAATAGCAAGAAACAGAAGTTGCATCTCTAAGACCTCTTTTTTAACAATACTAGTCACACAGGTAGAACAAATTTGCTGGTTTGTACACCCAAAGAGCCTAAATACATTCCACTAGCTTGAACAAATAATTAGATTTCTAGAAATTAAGATGTGGATATCTTCAGTTCAGTAGTGATGCAAAGTTGGGGAGTTCCAGAGAGATCATTTCTAATATAGTAATATTCCTACATGTCAACTAGTTAAATTTTTAGTGTCAAACAATGAAGCTCCTATCAAGTAGCCAAACGTTTAACAGTTATACTAGATCTTAAAGTCTTACCAACTTTTCCTCATGCAAAAAACATTTTCTGGGGCTCAAGTATTGACATCAGTTGAAGTTTTGACTAATTGAACAAGCATTATAAGGTTCTAAATGGTAGAGAAATCTTGGTACAAGCTTTTTAGCAGCTTTCAGAGAAAAGATTACAAAGTTATCCTGATGGTTTGAAAATAATTTTGTCAATAGGAGCTTTCTTTTCACAAAATTGCTTGTACCTATGATTTCATTTTCTTTTTATGCTTCATGTTCTTAGATTCCCTCATCTCTTCCACTGTCGCTGATATATTATCCAAGCATAAAAGAATTGACACTCACGGTTCAGAAAATATTACCTGATCATGGTACCCTGCTGCCACCTTTTCCCAGGAGTCCTTTTTTTGCCTTTTCCACATGCCCAACCAGTAGGTGAGAAAGCAACTATGAGATCATAGCGAGCCTGGGAAGCAACGAGAGACACTTATGTCAAACCATAAAACATTTCTCATTTTTCTGGTTTGACTTCATTAATATTTCTTCAGTATTCTAGCAGGCACAAATGAAAAAATTATGCCTTACAGAGTATTGATTGGATATGTATCTCATTCGTTTGAAGCTTGCTAGAGTCCACAAAGGAACAACATGAATGTGGCTCTCCATTTCGTTTGCTGTAAACCATTGCATTTCCTCCTCAGCGAGCTCCAAATGCCTCAACAATTGTAGCTTTGCAGCCCCAACGTATATTTTCTGTCTCAATATTTGAGCAACTTCTAGGTACAACCTCTCTTTTCCTGTTGCAGAGAAAAATTATGTTCCGAATAGCATCACCCACATTGGAAATCATGAAAGACTGAGTGAGGCATTACCAATCGTGTAGCTACCAATTAAGAACAGAGTTTTTGGATTGAAAGCCTCTGCTTGAATTGCCTCAATTACAAACTGTGCAACTGCCTCTTGTTTTGGAAAGTCATACTGCACCATTTGAAATTTAGTCAAGTTATATGATATCGTAATGTATAAAACCAAAAAGAACCAAGCAAATGACATACTTGAGGGTTACAGTAGGTGGTGTCAAGGATAAGCGTATGAATATGACATGACTGCAATACAGCATTGTTGGCCATCTCTCTGGAAAAGCGGAAATCTCCCGTGTGTAAAACTGCCTAATCAAGGTTTCATTAAATTGCCAAGCATCATATAACTTTCAAGAAGACAAGCTAAAGCTTCTACTTGAAATATCACTCGAACAGTTGAATATTTCATACCTTGCCATTAGGTGGTTCAAAAAGGATTATTATTGACCCAGGACAGTGGTTTGCATCGAAGCATGTCAAACCAACACCTGCAACAGTGATCTTTTGGTTCAGAGGTAAAATTTGCAGTCTGTCCCATGGCACACCAATCTTCATGTTGACCAAGTGTGCAGTGATTGAGGAGCAATAGATCTTTCCATGGTAGAAGTTTTTGTTGAGACCCTGGTAATCTGTTAGAAGTTTCTGATAAGTATCATACAAATAATAGGATATGCAATTTGCTAGAATTTTAGCAAGCTGGATCAGCTCTTTGGCATACAATTGCTCGGTTACTAAAAACTGGTTTGAACCACCTAAGACAGTTTACTTTTAACTAATCTAGTATGCTTAGCAATGCATTTGTGTGCACTGAAAAGCATCAGTGACCATTACCAGATTTCATCATCATAGCATGTAATCCCATTTTGGTCAAATATTCTACAAGTTACCAACACACAACATAGAATCGGTTGATTAAGTAAACATATAACTGATGTAATTTATACCTTTTCCTTTTCTATTTCGAACTTTATACAATGATTAGATGCATCAAACGGAAGCAAATATCTGAAGAAGATAAGAGAAGGTAACTGACAAGCTACTAACTATTAACCAAACAAGCACTCCAGAAATATCTGCAAACAGCAGATTATTAGGCTGATGTACAATCAACATGTATCAACTACACAAAGAGGCTAAAGGATTATAACCAACTCACGATCCATATGGAAGTGTGTTAAAAACCAATGGGAACAATCTCCTCTTAAATATCGAAATGCATCCTGCAAATGAAATAGTCAAATAGTTAGCATTCAGCATACTAGAACACAATGGAAGAAGATTCAAGCACATTATATGCATTAAAAGTCAGGACTAATGAATAATCCATAAATTTTCAATTCTTTTATTAAAAAACTGTACCTTGACAATCGAGCATAATGGTAATACTCCATGTTATTATTAGATTGTAAAGTATGGACCCACTATTAAGAAATTGGACAATGATTAATAGAAAGCAACAATTAGCAAAGAAAACATAATTTCAAGCTCATCAGCAAATGACATGATGGGATTAAAAAAGAGGAAGAGGAAATGCAAAGACAACCAAATTCGCCAAGGATATTCTTATATATACCTATTTGTATCATTTATTACATCAGTTGTATAATTTCTCAAAAGTTCATTTTGTGTCAGTTGTTTCTCATGCTGATATCTTATTGAACTTGTTTATCATATCCTGAGTCTTAATGCCAAAGGAGATGAGATTATTTTGAATACAAGCATGTCTTTCAAACATCAAAAATTCAATCCATAAACAAAAATATCTACCCGGCATCCACATGCAAGACTACATGATGCAGACAGACCATGAAAAAAAAACTATTTAAGAGTATTTACAAAAGTGTAAAAATATATCATACCACTCGAAAAGGTGTCCCAGGTATGCAACACCATGGTGGAATCTCTCTAACTTTTCCCTTACTGACAGTGTTTCTAGTGGGCTTTCTCTTAGGAATTGAATCCTTTGTGATCCTCCCATTTAGTGGTTTGTTGTGGTTACGTACACTATGCCTATCAACAACAGAACCTTGAAAGTACTCCGTAATCAACTTATTTCCAGAAAAATGTGGTTTTATGTTCTCTACAATTGCTGCACTGGAAATATTTTTGTCTGTGTCTGGAAGATGGTTCCTTCTTCGAAGCTCATTGAGTGCATGGACTATCTTCTTTCTAGGTCCCAGTGCATCTATACCTATACCGAGCAGATCCTGCAATAAAAAAAATAAGCAAAAAAAATCACTATATTGTGTTTTCACTACAATTAGGACAAACCAGCGTGAGTTGTATCAGAACTTTACATAGACTGCAAAATTTTTAGAGCTGTAGACTAATTAATAAGTTGCTTGCCTAATGAACTTCAACAGTAATTTGATTTGTTCTGAGAAAAAATCTGAAAAGTAGCTGTTTTTGCAACTTGGAATATTGATGAGCTTTATGTCCTGCCAAGATTATGTATTGGCAAGATCTCAATTCATCTAATAGTTTAGCATCATTCAAGTGACTCATTGAACATGAATATTGGTCATTCTTATAATTCAATTACATAAGTAATATAGCTAACCTAACCAGAAAAAAGCAGCATTTGGGTTGATTAAGTAAACTATCCTCATATTAGAAGAGTATTACATTCGTTAAAAGTACAAGCAGCTTGATAAGAATATGCAAACTATGGAAAGGAGAAATTCAAGTGAATATACATCTCGTACCTCTTCCGTTAAACACTGAAGTGTTTCCCAATTAATCTCTTCCTTTACAAAAATATCTTTATACTTGGACAGCCCCAGAGATTGTAACCATTGAGTAACAGGGCTGATATCAACAACTCCTTCAGATGCATTTGACTTCATCTCAGAAATAGGATCAGCCACCTACATCATGACTTCTTGATCACTGACCACAAATTTTAGACATACATACATACATATATATACATACACACACATGAGGAGATCTTCTATCTTATACCTTGAAGAGTTGACACAGATATATGATTTTATATCTTCTTCATGAAAACATGTTTTTATTTAATTCTTCATAAATATGTTATATACCAAACCAAGACAGGTAAATATGGAAGAACTCCATAATGAACATCAAACTGAAAGCTTTATGTTTTGTAGAGAACGTCTAGAACAGAGAAAAAGGATAATATTGGAGCAACAGTGAGCCCTTTTAGATCTTTTCTATGTGCCACTAACAAAATCACAGCACAGGAATCATGACTATCCTCCAGAGGAAGAAAATGTTTATGAGAAATCTCCAACTTAGTTTTCTAATAAAAGGCCATAACAGCAAACACCTAAAAATAACAATAACATTCGTTGTCCTCAAACCTTTTTATCACTAGGTTAGCATGCAGTAAATTCTGACATGAGAAACATGTACTTGAGGTATTCATGTTCTAAGAACACAACAATAATACCACCTGAAAGAGGTTATTACCCTAGGAGCAAAAAACTTATATGTTCTTAATACATGCTTAATAGCACAATTCTGATAAGACTGGAACAGAAATCATAGACAACTTAATGAGACCAAAGAACAACTACTTTCCAATTTCACCTAGTTCTCTCTCCATGAAAACAGAACACAAAGAGAAAAAAAATTGAAAACTAAATAACGAAGTAATTAAAGATTTACCTCCAAAGTTTCAACTTTATCTAGGCAATTATTAGTGTGAATCTGTCGCAGTTCATCACTTATATCAGTAATGTCTATCCCACATAGTGGACACTCCACTAAGCCACCTTGTTTCAATTCCGCCGTCTCACCATCAACCTCATTTGCTTCTAGTGAGGCTCCACCGTGTGAGGAACCTCCATCGTCCATCTCGCAGCAGAGATTCATCAGTTCATTAAGCTGGGTGCCTGCATCGAAATCCTCCCAATCATCCACTCTCAAGCAACCACCTTCGTCTATGTTAGAGACTGGCTTCGCTCTTGATTCCAACAGCCTTGATTCTATCGATCTGGAATAGTAAGTGCCCTCAGAAATTCTTGAACCGTCACCTTCATTTCCCCCACTTTTCACCACTTTCGGATCAACAGAAGTCAGAAGAAAAGATTTTTCTTTCTCAACGCCACTTACACCATCAAAATGCACCACAGGGTCGCGCTCAAAATGAATACGGCAATCAGATGTAGAGATAGAAGTCTCCAGTGACCCAGGACCAGAATCCAAGGAAGAGTTCCTCCTTTCCGCTCTCATGCGCTCCTCCCCCACGCACAACGTGCTGGGAACGCTCGTACAGACAGCGATGTATTCCGCGTCTTCAAGATTCTCCTTACCTTCGGCGGAGGCAAGCTTCCGCGGCCGCTTCCTTGGGCGGGCGCCAGTGGAGGACTTCAGTGTTCGCAAGCAAGGATCTTTCATGGAAGACACGATCCGATTCTGGGCGATGGAGAATGCCTCGCTAGGGTTCTGAAAATCGTCGTCGTCTTCCTCTGACATCGCCATGGTTAGGGTTAGGGTTCGGAGGTTGGGCTTGGAGGCCATGTTGAGAGATCGAAAGAGACGCCTTTGAGCTCCGATCTAATTTTAGATTTGAAAGGGAGGGAAAAGCGATGAAAGAGGGTCGCCGACTGCCATCAGCGACCGTCCATTAAAAGATGGACGGATTGAATTGATCAAGCTTGTATGGGCTTTTGAGGCCCAACAATCAAATACATGAAGTTAAACTCGGAAGCCCATTAAGACTAGTCTTTCTTCTTTTGAGGGAAACGGTCCTAAGCTCCAAGCAGAAGAAGCGTCGGCGATTTCTCCCGAGGTACTTTTCGCAACCCTAATTTCTCCATCGAAACCAACATCCTCCCTCCCCCAGATTCCAATATCCTTCTATTACTTGCGACGAATCCGATCCCTCGATCTCTCTTTTGCGAATCGAGAAACCGGGTTCTTCGCGGGGGGCTCGTCGAGATAGTGGAGACATCGATACGCCATGGCGGATTTCGCGCCCTGTTGAATGGTTCTTGCTCCTTAATCTGCTTCTTTTATTCTGTGATCGATAATAGTTAGCTACTTTAACGTCATGGTCCCATAATTTAGAAAGTTACATGTGCATCCTTATATTACAAAAGTGAAATATTTTGGTTCATTTACCTTAACGTTATCAGTTTTATCAATAGAAATACGAAAATAAAGATCAAAAAAATAATTTTTACGTTCCGGTCAGTGGTGAAGGATGCCGCTGGTGGTGGCAAATGACGTTGTCGTTGGAGGCCACGAGTGATTGTTATAGATGAGGAGTGCAGCAACGAGAGGTGAGAGTCACTTTGTATTTGCGTCGATGCCAATATAGTTGTCGAGCGACTCTTTCGTCGCACAGCATCTATATCAATGATCTTTTCGTTACTTGACAACTGCATCAACGCCGACACAGATGCAGAGTGGCGTTGCTTGGTAACTATGTTGGCTTTGACGTAGTTGTCGAGCAGCGCCGCTTTGCATTTGTGTCGACACTGATGTATATGTCGAGCGGCTCTCACCTCTCACCGTCACTCTCTTCATCCATAATAATTACCCACGGCCCCCAACAATATCGTCGTTTGCCACCACTGATGCTGTCCCCCAACACCAATTGGAATGTTAAAATTGTCTTCTTACTTTTTGTTTTTGTGTTTTCGTTGATAAAACTGATGACATTAAGATAAATAGATCCAGATGTTTCACTTTCGTAACTATATGGATGCCAATGTAATCTTTTAAAATGTAAGGACTAAGATACTAAAGGTAACTAGTAATATGTAATTGGTTGAATTGCTGTAGCTAAGTGATCGTGGGGAGAATATAAAGTTCCTTATGCTACAACCTATATAAATTATACAAACTAGAAGATACATATAGATAAGAAATGCATTTGATATCTTGCTGACATACTGACGTGTTGATAACCTTATCATGTGATACAAATATATTGTCCTGGAAACTGAATGAAGGAATCATCAAATCCAGCCTTATTAGCTTGTCATGAGGAATATAAAATGGTATTTTCTTTTGATCTCTTATTTGTTCAATGATAGATTGTGCACCACTTGACTCGGATATGATCTAACCAATGGTCTTTTAGGGGCCTTTCTCAACTGACGTGGGACATGTTCCAGTGCTGATTGGCATGCATGGTATAGTTCTTGCATCAAGCATCCTGAATGCTACTCCATTATGGTTTAGAATGCTACAATGGTTTAGTTTTTTCCATGTTAATTATCCAAATGCTCATTTTTCAGTGTGTCATTTCCATGTTAATAATCTTATATCACTTTTACCACTCGAGGCAGAACATCTTTTTCTTTCACATGCTGACTTGAATCAGCTTCAAAATTGTCATATCTGTCTCTGCTGCACTATAAGTGAGTTGTGGATTTCATGGCATACTGATCACTGCTCATCTGTCTGCCACAAGAAACAGTCTGATTTATAGCTACAAAGCAAATAGAACTTGTGGATCCAATGACAAGCATTTATTTGATGTAAAGATACAAGTTCAGATTCAGATCCTTAAGCTTCTATTTGACTGTAAATTGTTGCAGAGCTTAAGCAGCTTCTGAATATAACACAATTCCTTTCCATAGAGCTGAACAAGTTTTTTCTGCTTCCTTGATCAAATGCTTCTCAGCTTGCAGAGGAATCTCCTGCTCAAATGGAGGAAACCAGGCTTAGGTCCCATGTAACTGCAATGGGACTCCTCACGTCATGATCACCGTCGCTCCATGAGATGGAGCCGTAGGCATAAGATCCGGCCACTGCTTGACTCGCCAAAGAGGTGAACGTGATCTCGTACGACAAGCTCACGTTGACGGCGTCGAACACGAGCGTGCTCGGGGTGACGGTAACGTCCACGCCGGGCGGGCTGGAGACCCGCGCTTCGTATGCTGCCGCCGCAGAGGTTCCGACGTTGCGGACTACTCTTTTGTAGGTCACGACATCGCTGTTCGACGAGAAGATGACGGAGAAGGCTGGGTAGTTGAGGTCGCCGGGGCTATCCAATGCGGCAGTTGAACAGTTGACGCTTATCTCGTTCCTGGTGAAGACCGCGATCTGCGCCGGGCTGTATTCCATCGCGCAGAGGAAGGCGAGGTAGTCGTCGACGTTCGAGTCGTACACTAGACCGGGGTCGAGCGCGCGGTTCGGATCCACGTGGCCGGCACCGCGAACGAAAGGTGTGGACTCCGCTTCGGTTGCCAAGTCCTTGATGGTCTCGCCGGAGTCGTCTGAGTTGTAGGCCGTGGTCATCAGGGCGGATTTGATGGCAGCTGGGCTCCAATCTGGATAGGCACGGCGGAGCAGGGCGGCGATGCCGCTAACATGGGGGCACGCCATGGAGGTGCCGGAGATTATGTTGAACTCGACCCGCCTCGGATCGATGTCGAGGTCCGTTGGCCCGTTCATCCCCGTCCACCCGGCCAAGATGTTGACGCCGGGGGCGATGACGTCGGGCTTGAGAATCTCCGCGACGCGGAAGTTTGGCCCCCTGCTCGAGAAAGCGGCCACCTTGGGGGCGGCGGGGGACGCTCCGATGGCCGTGCCTCGGAAGACGATGGTGGCGGTGGGCGAAGGCTGCGACTTGATGTAGTCCGTTATCTTGCTGCCGGACGTGTGACTGACCATCGTGGCCGGAATGAGGTGGGAATCAGCGACGAGCTCCCCGCCGCTAGCAGCGTCGTTGGCCAGAATCATCCCGGCCCCTCCGGCCAATTTCACCGCGCTCCCCTTCTCGACACGTGCATTGGTGCCGCGCTCACAGAGGACGATCTTTCCGGCTACTACGGCAGCGTCGAGGAAGCCCGGAATACAGAGACGAGACCCGCTGTCTCCGGCATACACCAGCGGAAGATAGGTCGAGTTTATTGGGTCTCCGGCGTAAAGAGAGGCGCCGCCGTATGTGTTGCCATCTCCGAGAACCACGTCGGCCGGGAACTCCCGGTCAATGGTTGAAGCGCCCACGGTGAGGATCCACGGGGCGATGTTGACCGCGGTGCGCTGTCCGGGGCCCGAATTACCGGCGGAGCATGAGACCACCACCCCGTGGCGCGCGGCACCGAACGCCCCAATGGCTATCGAGTCGCGGTAGAACGAAGGAGCATATCCGCCGGCGCCGACGGACAGTGAGATGACGTCGACTCCGTCGGCAATGGCCGCGTCCATCGCGGCGAGTATGTCCGAGTCGTAACACCCTCCGGCCCAGCAGATCTTGTAGGCGGCGATGCGCGCCTTGGTGGCCATCCCCCGGGCCTCTCCACGGGCGTATTGGTAGAACCCGGCATCGGAAACCACCGCGCCGGCGGCAGTAGAAGCTGTGTGGGTGCCATGGCCCTCGGTGTCTAGCGGCGACTTCGACTCCTTGGTCTCGTCGATCGGGTGGCCCATGGCGGCCTCATAGCCTTGGTAGAAGAACCGGGCGCCGATCAGCTTGCGGTTGCAGGAGGAGGCGTTGAAGCCGTTCCCCGATTCGCAGTAGCCCCGCCACGTGGAGGGGGGCGGGGGGAGGGAGTCATCGGCGAAGCTAGCGCGGGAGGGGTAGATGCCGGTGTCGAGCACGCCGATGACGACGTCGGAGGCGAAGGAAGAGAAGGGCCAGAGGCCGGTGGAGGTGGAGAGACGGAGGAAGACAGGGGAATGGGTGGTATGGGGGTGGCAGAGGCGGTCTGGGAGGACAGCGAGGACGGAAGGGAGGCGTCGGATGGCTGCGGCCTGGGCGGGGGTGAGGCGGGCGGCGAAACCGGACGCGGCCCGAGAATAGGCGTAGAGGAGTCGGGCGGGTTGCCGGCCGGGTAGGGAGCGGAGGGTGCGCGCGTACCAGTGGGCGTGGGACGGGGAGGAGGCCGGCTTGCGGGAGGGGGACAAGTGGACGATGTAGGTAGCCTGCGCGTCGGTGTCTACCTGCGCCGTTCCCAGCAGCGGCAAGATGAGGAGGATGAACACGGCGGGGAAGAAGGACAGGCGAAACGACTTCCCCATGGATCACGGAAACGGGTCCGAGAGAGGCAGAGGACACAGAGAGGAAGAAGAGGGGGAAAGGTGGGGGGTGGCGAAGACAGATCGGCCAATGGGATAAAATGGGAATATATGGACAGATGGGTGGTTGTCGGGTCGGGTAATGAACATTATTTACGGTATGGACTATTCGGAAGAGCGAACGAACCGGCAACGTGGCGTGGCGGTTCGGTAGTTTCTTGATGGAATAAGGGCTATTTGGGGTAGTGGCGAAAGGACCGCAAAGATTCCACGAGGAAGGGGGGGTGAGGCGGAGTGGGTTTGGGAGATGATCCACGTAGGATGTCAATTATGGAGCTTTTAAGAATTGTGGGGTCCATGTACTTTTAATGCTGCAAAGGAAAACCATCCACAGCCGTCCATTGCATCTCATCTTGTCATCTCAACCGTCCGCATGATTTCTTAACATCATAGTGACAGTTGATGGACGGTGATGGATCGTCCCTTTGACGCTGACTCATGCAGGACAGGGTGCACAGGATCGGGATGCGGGTGTACGTGGCAGTGGATCGCGTGACCGTTCATTTAAAACGTTCTCGAGGAGGCGACCGACGGAGGGGTCCACCGCGTGCATGATTGAGCTGGCGGAGCGATCCCACTCGCGACTTATCGCACGATGATGGCGTGGGGACATCGATTAGAACACGACATGGATTAGTTTATGACACATACGGCACATTCACCGCTTAAATAAACAGCTCGTGAATACATGAGGGATCAAAGATAAATTGAAGTTATATTAAATACATTAGTATGTCAACGTAGAGTAAGTAGAGATTGTCTCATCAGGATTCAACGTGGAGTAGCCCATTCACCCAACGAGCACTCTTTGCGATGATGCTCTACCCTGATGCATCGAACGATCCAAGACATTGGAAGCATGTTTTTTTTTTGGACAAAAGCATCTTATATATTTTTTACGAATAAAAATATTTAAAGCGTCTGATGCGTTCTACATAGATATAAGCGTCCACATTACATGATATATCTTACATAGATAAAAATATTCGAAGTATTAGATGCATCCTTTATAAACAAAAATATTTTGATGTCTCGTGTATCTTTCGCGAATAAAAGCATCTGAAGTGTCTGATATCTGATATATCATTCATGGATAAAAGCATTCAAAGTGTCTTATGTGTCATTTGCGAGCATAAACGTCTTCATTGCGTACTGCTTCGCATATAGAAGTGTTGGAAGTGTTTGATGCATTCATGGACAAAAGTATTCAAATCATATGATGTATCTTCCGTGGATATCCTAATATGATACATCCTCCACAAATGTAAGCATCTTCAAGTGATATGTCCTTCGTGGATAAAAGCACTCAAAGTATTCAATACATCCTTCGTAAACAAAGTATTCAAAGTCTATGCTGATTCCTTTATGAATATAAACGTCTCTAATACGTGATGTCTTCTTCGTAAACAAAAACATCTAAAGTATTTTATGCATCTTTCATGGACAAAAGCATTCCGACGTCGATGCATCCTCCATGGATAAAAGTATCTGAAGCGTATGATGTGTCCTTGGTGGATATTGACATGTGATGCATCCTTCGTAAATAAAAACATATAAAGTGTTTGATGTATCATTCTAAAACAAAAGTATCCAAAGCAAGCGTCTGATGCATCCTTCTTAGATAAAAACATCTAAAGCATAAAATGCATCTTTCATTGATAAAAGCATCCAATGTGTCCGTCGTGGGTTAAGTATCGGAGGTTGTATGATAAATCCTTTTTGTGTAGGCATTGAAAGTTTTTCTCGGGCTAAGCATCGAAAGTTGCTTGATGTGCTCTTTTCGGGCTTTGCATTGAATAGCACCTAATGTGTCCATCCCAGGATAAACGTGGGAGGTTGTTTGATGTGCTGATGACTAACATGTTACGCCAACATATGATTACATATTTAGATCCCTTCAAGAGAGCTCTCAAAGTACACATTCGGAAGGTGACGAGAAATGCTATGAGAATATTTCTTTTGTATCTCAAAATATTTTCTCAAATTAAATTGACTATAAAAATCCTTTGCACCATAATAATCGAGGTCGGTTATTATTTGTTCAAAATTCTCGCATTCTATTCTAGGATCGAGTAGAGCGTGGGACCCTCTTCGATCTCGATCTTTATGCATATTAACATCCAAATAACTTCTGAATTTGTCTCAATCCATCTAGGATTCTTGTGCATATAGGGTCAAACCAGATTGGCTTGATCCGTGTATCACATTACTCGTATCCATCGCATCACAATCTAACCTAGATAGCATCATGATCCCGTGCTAGAAGCAACTCTTGCGTGCAAGTCCCATCGTAGGTTATGAGACAGCACTCAACAGTGAAATAAAGTGCAGTTATGTTAGAGAAGGAATCATTATATTCTTCTTTGGTAGTTGACATCTTCATAGCTTTAGTACACATTAGTGAGCTAAAATTGATTTGAATGGCAATCAGCAACTTAGAAGGATAATTTCTAGTTCTGATGGATGGACGGCGCCATTTGGGCCCACCGCTTCCGTCCTCGTCGATTGGATCTTTGAAGTGTGTTCAAAGAGTACTCAGATAATGCCTACAGCCAAAAAAAACTAAAACTTGAAGTAAGTGTCCAACTTTGGAATATAAATCGGTTCATTGATAATAAATTAGAGATTAAAAAAGCGTATTATGCCCACATAGCCTCTCATATATGCTAAAAGAATGGGAAGCGTAGAGAAGAAAAGGAGAGCAAAAAAACTATTTCTTCTTTCTTGGTAAAAATTATTCTTTTTGTATTTGATTTGAGAAATCATATGGTGTCTTATCTTTATCATAGTTGATGGAATTGGATGGCGTTTATTTAATTGGATAAGCAGTTTTGGAAGATATAATTTTCTTTAGATATGTTTGGGGATAATCTGATATCACATCACACCCCATCAGCGATCGCATCGGATTGACGTTTATGTATGTAGTGATGCCCACTTGATATCTATCATCTTAAACATCCGATCATCTTGACACATTGGTAGGAATCATTTTACATGTCTCATTAATATGAGTCCGCTTCAATAAATACACTAAATAATGATCATGAATTAGTTACGATCGTTAAAAAAGTAATCCAACGAATTAGCTCTTCGATTAAAAATAATAATAATAACCCAAGTTAGGTATACTATATAATCTCTCTTGAGCAAGTCGAGTTTATGATTGAAACATTAAAAAAAAATTATTGAATATGCCTTTGCAATAGATTTTTGTATAATCATTACTAAATCATCTTATCTTCATGTATCAAATTTATGACAAGCTCAGACGTTGAATTCAAGTATGACTTTAAATCGTCGACGTATTAGAGGATCAAAATATAATTGCATGAAGTATTGTTATTGTTGTTAGGGCTTCTTTGTCTTCTGGAACAAAAGTTATTCAGCTAAAACAGTAAATTTTACGTCCAATGCCTTAAATGGAGATTAAAATGTTTGCCTTTTTCTCAAGGAAATAAGCCATCAATTTCACTGCCATTACGTGCCATGCAAATTCCACGGCCACGTTTGGTGACTTCCGAACGCTCTCCCCTTCTCCTTCGTATCCACGTGCAGTGCAGACCTTCGTTCATCGGGTAAGCAAGCATTGGATTCTTTCGATCTCCTCCTCCCCCTCTTTAACGCGTTGAGCGCATCGTATCGATACGTATCTGAGCAGAGAAACGAGGAGATCAACCTTGGAAGGAAGATGAGCAGCCTTCTTGCCCGTGGATGCCGATCCTCCACCTTGAAGTCGACGACGTCCGCTGCGCTGCCTGCGTTGGGCGACTACGCACGCGGTCGCAGGGTAAGTTTCCGCCGCCTGCTGCGTGGTTCCATCTTGCAAGATCTGATGAAGGGGTACCACCGCGCACAGTAGTTGTTTGGGATGGGATTTGATGCTGGATTCTGCTCTCATCTTAGTTGCATGAGATATGATTTTAGTTTGAATCCGTTGATCCATCTGATCTGGTTACCTGATACCTTCCACGGAAAAAGATGTGATAGATCTGATGGTGTAGCGAGAAGGGAAGAAGATGATCGACTCCGTATTACGTTACCAACTTGTTTAATCATGTACGTCCCCCCCTCTTCCGCCGTTTGCAGTACTGCGCGGAGAAGAAGGATGAACCGCAAAGAGTGGTGGAGAAGGCGACGTCGACGGCCGAAGAGTTCCTGCGGCAAGCCAGGGAGAAGTCCGAAGCAGTCGGCGAGAGCGCCAGGGAAGTCGTGGAGGACGCCAAGGAAGCAGTTCTCGGCGAGTCAGAGGAGAGGAAGCAGCAGAAGGTGGAGAAGGGAAACTACGATAAGTTCGGGAGGGACTAATCGGGATATGTGAACAGTGCTTGTTCGAGGTGGCACGTCCATCCAAATAAAACCGCGCTCCATCTCATGGTTTCATCTGATGTTTGGGTGCCCGGAAATATTATTACGCTTGTTTTTATTGAATATAATGGATAGTATTAAATCGGATAGGAATTAATTGAGGCTGTTGCGGTCAGATCGGAATCAAACCGGAAATCTGAAAAATTCCGTCGGATCTCTTAATATTTTGTCCTCCTCTCTATTTCTTGTACAATGTATAACAGGCTTCTTTATTATAGGAGAAGGAAACCTAAAATATTGTCTTGGCAGCCCCTCTTTTAAGCCATTGTTCGGCATGGTTGATAAGAATTATTTGGATCACTTTCTTAAATGGGTACCATATATAACCTAGAAAAGTCGAAGGAAACCTGTAATTCCAACTACTGATTGCTTCTGTTTCATAGCTGCATATATATATATATATATAATACTCAATTAAATGTATAATCCAATCGGTAAACCAACAATTCAACTAGTGATGCAGTGACATGACGCTAAGATGGACGATGGATGAGTCCAGATTAGATAACTATGCATAAAGTTGGTAAAATCAAAGCCTCTCTAGTGATAGTAGAGAATGCAGAGGCCTTACGATGCACAATGAACACAAGGTTACAAGCATTGCTATGTTAGACTTGTCTAAAACTTCATAACATATTTGATCTAAGGTATCAAAGTATTAACCAACACTTTCCAAGAAGATGCACCGAAAAACTGTACCACAACAATTTCAAAACAAAAGAAGAAATTGTACCAATTAGCAGAATATGGTCTTCATTTTGAGAATATAAAAAGACAAGCTACCAAAATAAAAGAAACTTTGGATGGGATATATATATATATATATATATATTTTACCCCACCAAGGTAGGGTTTGTTCACCAAAATGCCAAATGCCGGCCTGTGCGCATGTCTCACCTATATGCATCCACCTGGTTTAAAGACTATCATGCAGCAACAGTTAGAAACCCTAAATGATCAATCAAAGATACATGATAGCAAATGTTAGTTCTGACGAACACTGCCCATAAAAAAAAAACAAAAGTTGGAAACCCTAAATGATCGATCTAGATACATGAAAGCAAATAGTTCTGACAGCCACTGTCGTAAAAAAAAAACAAAAAGAAAATGAGCATATAGAAACCAGGTTAAAATTGGAGTATTTGTGCACATTAATCCTATGAAGGAACCACCATACCTTGTGAACTTAGTGTGCCCTTAATTTTTGTGCAGATATACAACATACGAGTAATAGCAAAAAGTATAATGAACATCTCCTACCTTTGTCCCTTGAAAAAAACTCTTATACAAGTTCATCATCTGTGACTCTTGGGCAACTCTTGAGGAATCTGATCTCTTGGACCCAAATATTCTGAGAGCCTTGTGGCATATAATGACTGCTTGCCAAGACCTTCACTTGGTACCATAACATGTGGGTTGAATCACTTGACACCAACAGATGTCATGAGATCTTCGTACTCTGCATCTGTTTCTGTTTTCCTCATGTTAGTATGATTTTCTTCTGCCTTTCTAGGTGCGGATGAAACTGACGTTGGTGAGAAAGGATCATAAATCTGATTCCCTCCGGCATTTGATGAGGCTACACCAGCCATATAACCAGGATGGTTAGCACCCAACTGTTGCATCGGAACGGCTGGACTGTTTGGTCTGTTCGCAGGTCGCAACTGATTTTGAGATGTTTGTCTGATAGGCATAGACCAGGCATGCATGCGAGGTGGATTAGATGATTGGGCAGCCGAGGAAAAGCCTGGTCCCATTTGACTTGATGGACCAGTTAATCGAATGGAGTTTGTATCTGAGAATGCTGGAAGGTTTGGAGGAGGCCGTACCATGGTCAGATCAACTGAAAAAGGAACACCCGAGGAAGGTGGCAGGCGAATAGGAGCTTGAGATGGATTTGTTTGATTGACAGCTAAAGGCCTAGGAAACCCTTGAGTGTTGATGGATGAAGCTGAATTTTGCAAAGCTGGTCTGAAAGATGGGGGCTGAGGTGCAGCAACAGCAGTCATCTGTTGTGCAGTCTGAACATTGGGCCTTCGAGGTGTTGGAGATGCAGGAACTTGTGCACCAAGTGGCCGAAACGTAAAATCAGCAGAAATTGGGCGTGGAGGTTTTGGGACTGCAACGGGTGGTGTGGTGATGACTGTATTTGGTGGGTGGGTTACATGTGAGAAACCAGGCATGACTCCAGAAAGGGAGATGGGTGTTACAGGTGCAAGCTGAGGCAATGATCCTGGTGGCTGCACTGGCATTGAAGATTGTACAGGAGCTTTCGACGGAAGGGGTATTTGAGCTTGCCCCATTATAGTTACCAAAGGCTGGGAAGGAGCAGATGCTTGAGTCATGGCAGGGTTAGATCCACCAAGTGGAGCTGCACTTTGAAAAACAGCAGGTGGACGTGGCACTGGAGCTGGTATGCCTGGAAGCATCGGCATTGGTCTAGGTGCAGGTGAAGGCATATGTGGAGGTACTGGAGTCGATGAAGGCATAGGAGTCGACAATGGGGCTCCAGTTTGCAGAACTGAAGTAAACTGTGAAGCACTTGGTCTGAATGGGAAAGCAGTTGGAGGAGCAAAATTTGTCGCTAAAGGCCTATTGGTTTCATTTGTAGGCATATTTGGTTGTAAAGGTAGAGTGCCAATGGCTGCTGGAGGCCTGCTGACATTAGAAGGCACATTAGGAGCTGTAGCAATAGCTGGTGATGAAACAACCAGTGGAGGCCTCATCAGTGGAGCTGATGAGGGAAGCAAGGCAGGCCTTTGTAACAATGGGACAATCTGAGGTGCAGTAGACCATCCAGAATTTCCAGCAGGAGGTAGTGTAGTTAATGGCCTGCTGGTCAATGATGCGTCTGGAGCCGTGGCCATTGGTTGTGGACTCAAGGATGCTACATGGCTTGAAGCATGCACGGCTCCTGAGAAAAGTGGTTGTGAAGCAGCAAAAGAAGGCACATTGGAAAGCATATTAGGATAAGCTGGAGGTTGCCGACCAGTAAGATTATCAGGTGGTGGAGCTTGATTCAAAGGTTGCTGCATAGCTTGCATAGGAAACTGAGATCCGGAGTTTACAGCTGATGAGCTACTTTGCATTGAGCCAAAGGTATGATGTAGTCCACCAAAAGGACGCGGAGGAAATCGGACAGAGTTGTTGGGCAAAGATGGTACAAATCCAGAAGACAGATGTGACTGAAGATTAGGTGGGGCAATTGGGAGCCAAGGAGCAGTAAATGGCTGATACTGCAGTGGACTAGGCTGAGCAGTCAGTAATATGGGCGGTGCAACACCTTGATTAACATCAGCTGTAGTCATGATCATGTAGCTCGAAGACATCTCCTTCAAATTCACATCAGCATTATCCAAATTGCTGGCGACGAGAGAAGTCGAACTGGTGGAAGACACAGCAGCGGTACCCTATAAAACCATGAAAGTGTAGGCTGAGCCTATAGAACTGGTCCGAAAGACAAAGGAGAATTCTGTTAAAAATATTTAAAGCAGCACACTCACAGATACTGGAGTGAACAGCAATTCAATCAGTGCAACTGCTGTGTCAACTTTCTCATATGTATCTGCTGAGATATTAACGTGTAACTCCTCATAAGCATCCACGGCTTCGCTTTTGTCTGAGTGAGTAATTTCATGCTGAAAATTATCATAGCAAGTATAAGGGCAGTCCTTCGATATAATGAAATACAGTTGCAATTCTATCATCCTTAAATGAAAACGAACATAAATTTCAAAGAGTAATCACAATTAAGTTCAAGCAATAGTAATGATACATAAAGATTATTCACTGAGCATAATGATTGACGTAAATTAATTACTAAATGACTCAAACAAACATGTTAAGCTGGGGAATGACAAAGAAAGATCAAGTATGGTTTGTCACAGAGATCCAAATAAAAGTTCCTTTTCTGATATAAATCACATTACAGAAGTTGTAAAAGTTAGAAACATATACTAGGGAAATTTTTCAAACATGACAAGCATCATAAAATTTAATCAGCATGTGGCGCAGGATTTGTGAATCACTAGATGGACAAAAATGATGAAACAAAAAGGAACAAAGTCAGAAAAGAAAGCTGATTTATCAATTACTAATGAAATGGCAGGTTACCAATAATGACAAGAGTACAAGGGATTTACTCTTACCTGGCATCAAGTTGAAACAAGAATGATCTCAGACATGTAAATAAGAAAAGATGTAACAACTAAAATAAATTTTTGAAAATATAAGGTGGAAAATATAAATTGCAAGACTTCTTTTGTAAGGTCTAATGAGATGCTGAAATTATCATTGAAGAAAGAAAAGTGAGGCCAGTATGAAAGCACAACAGTTCTAAGATTGCGCATTCAGGAACAGAGAACTTTTCAGAAATCAACATATAGATGATATACTACAGAATATAAATTGGTTAGCAAATTTAAAATTAAATGTGCTTGTTCTTAAAAAAATAATAGCTTCAATTCACCTTCTCCCCTGTGTCCTTTTTAGTTCCATAAACTCGTACTTTAGCTCCTGTTTCCTGGATTCAAATAAATAAAGGCATTACAGACAAGTACTATATGCATAATTTGATGCTTCAGATGCCAAAAGGAAAAAAAACACACGAATGCCAAAGGAATCTATACTTCTTCCAGTCGCTTCTGAGTATTGCTTTCAGGTCCCAACAGTAGTCCAACAAAATTGTATCCAGGATGCACCTTGATCTGCAAATGCCATAAAAAGAAAACAGAGGAATTAGGTAACATGGAGAGACATACCTAATTATATCCCCACCTCCTTTTTTCTCCAATACCCTCTCTCTCTTCCAAAAAAGAAACAAAAAAAGAAACGAAAAGATTGCTAAGAAAAGATAGCAATGATGCTTAGATTAGCAACGATATAGGTACCACTTTGCACCTTAAGAAGCAAACAGCTGCACTGACAAAATAAGGGGCAATGACATTACCACTGTCACCTTCATGGCTTAAAATATTAATTTTTTGCACTTTCAAACATTTCCATAATTGGCTTTTACACACCTTGAATCTCAATAAGAAAAGAGAATATCACCAATCTGATCGACAATTTGTCACCCTTTTGTGCTAGAAATAATATTTTTACTTGATCAGCAAAAGATAAGCTAGACTTAGCTAAACATAGAAAGTCACAATATGATGATGCTTTAATAAATTGCATTTATCAATGTGATATGAACAAATTCACGTGAAGAGAGGGATCAAATAAACTATAAGAGAAAACATTTTTACTTTAGGTTGTCCACTTGTTTTGCTGTATGGACTGTAATCCAACATATCTTCTGTCTTAACTCTGCATCTAAAATTTCTAACTTAAAAGATTCTTTTTACGTCATCATAAATATTGTATATTAAATTCCAAATATCCAAAGTAATATTTCTACAGAAGCAGGGGACTGCACTGCACATTTGTTGTATACAGGTACATATGCAGAAAGATATCATTAGATAACACAAAAAATAAGTAACGAATTTGACACAAATCAAGAAAATTAAAAGGGAGTGTAAACTAATAAACATTTAACATACCAGAAAAAGCTAATAGCTTTTCAATAGTATGACAGAAATGAAAAGTTGTAATAAAAATATGTAGTAGTCTGAGGAGTTGCACGAGGAGACAACTTGAGGGAGCAATTCCAAAATAAGATGAAGAGAGCCGAAATGAAAAAGAGAGAAGAAATAAAAAAAATTAAGACAATATTTACCTTTACCAGACATAGGAAATCACCACATATGCAGTAGTCCACATGGAACATTAGGTGGATACTGTCAAAAGCGCCCAAAGCAAACACAAGCAGACACAAAAGCAAACCCTGATGGTTGCTTTTTAAGATGCTAGCAGTCATTTGGTAGATTTATATTGACTGCTGTGCACATGAAGAAAGAACCAGACATGCACAGTGCATACTGAACATGGATAATTTAGCAGCACATCTACTCATGTTTTGATCCTGAGCCTTCTCTCCATCATATCAAGAACAAGATACATTCACATTCGGAAACATTTTTGCAACATGCATAAAGCATACTTTGAAGCATAATTTAGCACAACATCAAATGTTTTGCAACATGCATAAAGCATATTTTGAAGCATGATCTGGCACAACATCAAACATTTTGCAGCATGCATAAAACATATTTTCGAACATGATTTGGCACAACATCATCAAAGAGAGGCCATAGCATGTAAGCATTAATCCTAAATAAATTTGCCTCATAAGTACTAAGAACAATTAAGATGGCAGCAGCACAGAGCAAAAAATGTATGATGGAATGAACTTACAGGAATGGGGATGTCTGCTTCTTTCAGTAATGGCTTATAATCAGCAGGAGGTTTGTATGAAGGATTCAGACGTAATATTTCACCTGCAAATAAAAATAATCATATATGAAAGATGCAACTTACAACTCTAAAACAAAGGAAAAGAAAACAAATTGAGAAACATAAAATAATTACCAATAACTTCTCGCCTTTCCAACTCCAAAAGCTCTAGCTTTGAGGTCTGCATATTCCACGCTAAAGGTTTAGACTTAAGAATCAACAAGATAGAAAGGAAAATCAATACAGTTGTCAAATATAGAGAGCCCCTAAATGGAATAAGCAGAAACCAAATTATGGCGTCCTCTACACATCAGCAATTACAATTAGCAGAAATTCGACCAAGAGAATAGGGAACAGCAACTGCTACAGGATTGGCAAAGTATCTCTTAGCAATTTTCCCCTATAAAAAGGCCAGAAAATTTCTTTATTTCAGTACCTCTTTGTCAATCTGGTGGCTATCAGAATCATCATCCAAATTCTGCTTTATTGAAAGAGGGCTTTGATTATCTTTTATCTCCAAATGCCCGTGCTTCAGCTGCTGGGTAATTTGCTCCAGTCGAGTCTGCTCAGGAAGTAATATCACTTAATGTAACCTGGAAGTTCAAGCTTCCTATGAGAATTTTTTTTCCATCTAATGCCTGAAGAAAACAGTTAGAAGTCTCCCCTAAACAAAAGGTGAGTGGGGATTTCTTTCATTTGAAGCTGAACTATAACAGTTGCATCTCAATATTTTCAAATCTTGACAAGTAGTATAATGTTGAATATCTCATAATAACAAATACATTAGTATGGAATTGCATGTCAGCTCAATCAAACAGATTTATAGACTAGTAGAACTTGATACATGTTCACAGAAGCATTACTATGAAACAAGAATCACAGTCATTGTAAGACGACAGGAGTTACCAAACAAAAAAATTTTACAACCTTAAACAACTTACCTGATATGCTAAGGCTCTTCCTTTTCTGACAGCAGCATCCAGTGTAAGATCAGGTCCCCACTTTGTTTTTCTCTGAACTTGTTTAGTTGTTTCTTCCTTAACAGAATTACCACCTTCCAATTTTCCCCCCCTTTGGAAGATAGGAACCAATGAACCAGACAGTTTATTTTTTGGTATAACAAATCCAGATTTTGCTCCAAACATGGAGATTTTAGGACTGTTTGCTGATGTAGACATAGATCCAGTATATTGCACACGGCGAGATTCAGCAGAAGCTGATGGATCAACTTTTGCAGCCATGGATGAGAGTAATTCCAATGTAGCTAATTACCCTGCAGAGTCACAGAGGAGGATAAACTCAAAAACGGTTAAAATATTCAACCACAGACTGAATACATACTTGAGACAATTCACGAGTGTTGAAATAGCGATGGGAACTTCAGGAATTAAGACGTGTACAAAATTATTGAAGTCATTAAGAATGTGGTTCCACAAGCTCTTCATAAAACTTTGGACAAGTGTACTCTCATTTTTCCACTAATCTGAACTATTGTAATACTTAGCAACATCACATTGTTCATCCAGGCTACTTCCTTCCATACCTAGTTTCATACAGCTAAAATCATCATATGAAGTCCTCGAGAGTTTCAAAGAAAAGAGAAGCCCATTAGAAAAGGTAATGATACAAAGAATATTCATATCCTAAACCACCCGGCTCCAAAATGCCTTAAAATCCTAAAGACAAAGGATGGGAATCTCCAGAAAAGGCTCCCAGTTCAATTTTTTACATAAATGTTATTATCAGAATGTCGAGAATCTAAGCTCCACATAGATTTTACTTCTCCTAGTCCTGGAGACTTCAAAGATCATAAAGACAACTTTCCTTTAGACACCATACTCCATTCTGTGTATACTGGTTTTGTTAAACTTGATTTTGTTAAAAATGGTCTTGATAACATGATGCTCTACGAACGTTTCAAAATCAAATATTAAACAAAAATTCTACCCTGTCATCTATGCAAAGAAATATTAAGAAATTAAAGGAAATGCAAAGATCCCCTTAACAACTATGTAAAAGAACAAATTCTTTTATTCCACACTCTGGATTTCGAGTTATAGTAGGTATTTTACCCCGATATCTTTGGGTTAAACGAAATATTGGACCTGAAAAAATTCATTGAAATTAACTGAAGTCTTACCAAGTACAAGTGAAAAACCACAGATCTAGGATACCTCTTCCAATTGCATAACTAGGATACCTCTCGCACGCGTCAACAAGAGGGAAGAGAGATCAGAGGTGGGCCGCCCCTAAACGTGAAATCAACAACAAATAACAACCAGTTTGGTGAAGGCGTATGGTCGATCGAAGAGCATGAATGTGACGATGGAGCACGCTCAGCAAACGCAGAATGCTTGGTACCGAAGGATGATCGGGCTGACGAAAAACCCGATCCAGAGCGGTAAAGAGAAAACGGTGGTGGGCAGGAGGCTGGTGACTCTACAAAAGATTACCGATAGTCAACGCGTACAAATCCTCTACAAAAGCATAAAAGATACAGAGAAACAATCGAACAACATGAAAGAACATTTGAAAACCTAGGGTTCTCTGTCGTCACGAAGGATCCTTCGCCTATTACTTACTTCACATTCCCCGAGATCCTCCACCGCCAGATCGGTCCAGGGAAAGATCGAGAAGAGGAGGAGAGCGACGCAAAGCCGAGGAGAGGAGAGGCGGCGAGGCAGCGAAGAATATAGGGTTAGGGCTAACTGAGGACAGGCATAGCAAAATAAGTTCTCGGGTACGGATTGCTACACGTAAATACATATTCAATTAACGCAATAATTAATTTTATTGTATTTAACTGCATCAAGAAAATGATTTTTACTTGTCTATCCTCTCAAAAGCTTGAAAATAATAATGCATTTGCGCCAATAATTAAGATATGGTTCATACAACACCAATAAATCATGTTCTAAGAATCTCTACCATCACAACAATAAGTCGTCATAAGCTAATCTATTTCTATATAAACTTCACACCTTCATTTTTAAGATTCAAATAGTTTATAAAATTAAAATAAAATATAGAATATTTATTTTAATTAAGAATATTATTTTTTTGATAGCTCTTCGTTATTTTATTTATCCCAAAATCTTTTTTCTTTTCTTTTTTTTGCGTATTTAGCTTATGTAGCTAAATCGAAATGTGTGGTCGGTAGCGCGACGTGGCTATATAAATGGACCGGACCCGAGTCCCGATTCGTGGGTCGGATCGAAAAGCATTGAGCACGGGAAAGGATGGCGTTCTCCCCGTGCCGCCTCCTCCATCTCGTTCGCCGTCACCGGACCCTCGCCACCGCTGCTTCCTCCTCCCGGGCCGTCGCCGTGTTCTGGGACCTCGATAACAAGCCGCCCAACACCATCCCGCCCTACGACGCTGCCGTCCGCCTCCACCTCGCCGCCGCCTCCTTCGGCCCCCTACGCTTCTCCGTCGCCTACGCCAACCACCACGCCTTTCGCCACCTCCCTGCCCCCGTCCGTGCCGCTCGCGCCGAACGCCGTGCTGCCGACCACCTCGAGGCTGCGAAACCCTCCCGTGTCCCCTCCTACCTCTGCCGCGTCTGCGGCCGCCGCTTCTTCGCCCACGCCAAGCTCGTCAACCACTTCAGGCAGATCCACGAGCGCGAGCAGGAGAAGCGCCTCCGCCGCATCGACTCGGTCACCGGCGGCCGCAGGGTCCGGCTCGTGGCCGCGCTGTCGCTGAAGATGGAGAAGTACAAGAAGGCCGCGAGGGAACTGTTGACCCCCGAAGTCGGGTACGGACTCGCCGACGAGCTCCGCCGGGCTGGGGTTGTGGTCCGGACTGTCGATGACCGACCGGAGGCGGCCGACCGGGCGCTGAGAGAGCACATGGTGGAGACGATGGATCGGGGGAAGGTTGGATGCTTGGTGTTGGTCTCGGACGATTCCGGGTTTCTTGGAGTGATGAGAGAGGCCAGGATGAGGTGTTTGAAGACGGTTGTGGTGGGGGACGAGGGCGACGGGGCATTGAAGAGGTACGCAGATTCAGCGCTGTCATGGAAGGATGTAGTCTCGGGCAAGGCAAAGAAGGAGGCGGCCAGTGCAGTGGGCAGGTGGAAAGATCGGGATTTACTGAAGAAATTAGAGTGGAGGCATATGCCAGAGGAAGAGGAAGGCGAAAGTGATATTTTTGATGATGACAGTGACGCTGGGGATGAGGAAGATGGGTGCCTGGGCTTGGTGGGAGAGAGAGATAAGAAACCTTGGTGGAAGTTGAATTCAGATTCAAATGATCTACATTAATAAATCATCTTGAGAGGGGTTATCATTCATACAAGAAAAGCACTAATGTAGTGTATGAGAACTGATTTCTGTCGAGGAATATGCACTTCTCAAGTTCTCCAACAAAGAGATCATTTAGAAATACTGGATAATTGGGGTAAGGATGCAATAAGGATCATCCTGAAACGGGTTGCCATCTGTAAAGAGAAACACTGATGTAGAATGTGGGAACTTAATTGCTGTGGAGAAAGATGCAATTCTTGAGTTTTTTAGCAAAGATATATCCTTCCAGAAAGACTGGGGGGAGGTTCGGATTTCATATTTGTGAGTAGGTTGCAAATGCGGACTTCTCTGGATGTAGTTTGTTGATAATTTGTTTCAATGATGCAACTTGACCTGTTCATCGGATTACCATCTTGTGGTAAAGGGGGGAGAAAACTGCAGGTTTGATAATCTAATTCTATTGGAGGAGTTGATTTCAGCCAGCAATGTGTTCACTGGTGCTGACCAGCTTTTGCACATAAACTTCCTCTTTCTCTTCAGGTCACTTAGGTTCTTCTTGAACTATATGAGAAAATCAACCAAATGATGTGTATCTTGTCTTTATTCCGCTGTTGCATAATTAGTTTTTGGCTTCAGTCCATATAATCTCTTGGCAATGAACAGTCAGTGATTAAGAAATGGGGTGTGGCCCATATAAGACAAATGTAAAAAGGGATCAAAATAAAATACAATTTAGTGGTCATGTTATTGGCAATTGTACTATGGAACTAAACAATTGCAGGAAAGGAAAAAACTTGTTCTTTTCACATGTGCTATTCTTGGTAGTAATACTTTCTTGTTAGCATATCAGGTACTTATGGGATATGGAATGTTATCATGTCTTTATCTTATGTATTATGATAAAGTTGACCATTTTGTCAAAATGCTAATTTCATTGTACATTGAAAGCTGTGATCATAGTTTAAACATATTTTGTATCTATGTGTTAAAGTGATAAAATGCCTGCCATGTATTTAGGGATGCACTTGCCATGAAAAACTTTCAACAATTCACTGACCTCTGGTATAGAATGACACTAACTTTCCTTTTTTTTTTATGATCTCTAGTTTTTGCCAACTGTTTCCTGGCTTATGTTGATTACTCACACTAGATGTACAATAAAAGAGCTCTATCTCACTTTTGCTTTTACTAAGAGAGTACTGGCTTATTAATCTCTGACATTTGAAACAGGTACTTTTTCAAGCTGACATGCAATAAGAGGATGTAGAAGATTCAAATCGACTTCATCAGAGGAAGGAGGAATAGAACCTTCGATTAATGGACAAATTTTGCCCTAAATAATCCTCAAAGTTGGAAAATATGTGTCTGGTTGAAAATTGTGGAAATTATTCTGCTCTATTTGTTCACAAGAAAGCTAAGTTTTATATTGAATATCAGAAATATCTTTGCAGAAAAATTCAGCTTCTCGTTAAAGCAATGTTTCTCACAAAGAATCCCTCAATCAACCAGTTCATCTTCTCTCATGTCAGAAGAACTTTGTTGCTTTTTTCCTTTCCTAAACACACACTAATTGCTGGAAATACTGCCTGAGTTACAGTGACTGTTTGTGCTTTTCCCATAATTTTGAATGCTTCAACTGTTCTAGATTAAAATATTGGCTTAGTTGATTGATGTCTTGTCCTTATAATCAAATTGGCTAATTGTTACTACCAGCCTCTCTGCAAGTATATTGAGGCAAATCTTGGAAGATTTTTTGGTGCCCTGCAAAGGGAGAAGCATAAACATGTATATTGTGATTTGTCTTTTTATCATGGAACAATATTACTATTTTGGATACTGTCCCTAGCATAGACTACACGAAAAGAAATCAAGTAGGAAGTTCCACTATACTTCATTCCCATCAATTCCTAGCAGATATCTTCCTTTTGTTGTTGTCCATGACTCCATTCCACCGTATGAGCACATTACCAACCTATTCTTCTTTTCCTCTGTTCTGTTATTATGTAAATGTGTAAAGGTATGATTAGCAAAACTGATGGTTGCTTTACCGATAGCCTGTAGTAGTCATTCGTGTAGAAGTCCTCTCGATCATTGTCATTATTGACTGTACCTTCAATCTGGGATCATCTGCGATGCACACAACACTGGACACACAAATAAAAGCATTCCCATGAAATTGTTAAAGAAGGTTGATGGTAGAGTGTCCATAGAAGATTTGTGCGGTATTTCTGACCATCAACATGATGCCAGCTCCTTGAAGGACACAGACTAATAAGGAAGAGTTGGTAGGATTTATTTAATGATTTGTAATAAAGCATTACGTGAAGCATTCAGAAAATTGTATCAAGCTAATCAAGAATTTGGATAAAGGGTGAAATAGAAAACTATTTCAAAGTTACAAGCAAACTAATGGACTTAGAAATGTTGAGATCTTTTGTTGTGTTCTATAGTTGATTTACAAGTAAACTAATGACTAATATAGGATGCTTGTCTGTGTAATTGATGGTCTAGAATAGATAGGTATAACTGGTATGATATTGACTTCAGCAACTTTCCAGTTTTTTAGGAAAATAAACAGGAACTGCCAAGCTGACATTAATTGCTTTGAGAGATTGAAATGGACAAAACCAACCGCAAATAGGACTTGGTCTCTACAGTGTACAAATTCTTTGTGAACTTGCACCAATTTCTCCGATGATTGTAAGTCAGACCCAAGTATTAGCTCACTCTGATACCTTGATATCCTTTTCTTTTGTTCATTTCATATGAAAATCAATCTACAAAGCATACTTTCCTTGAGTCAGGCCCACACCAATGTGTCTGACAGATATAGCTCAAGAAATCTATTGAAGCTACTGATTGCTTCTTGCATTGCTTTTATTGAAACTGATATGAGAATATCCTGGAACAACATCTTGTATTTCTTTGTGACCTTTTTTAATGATTATATTGAACACATTCTTCAAATATACTGCTTCCATATATATTTGGTCCTTCAGAGGATCAGTTGTCAGTTATCTTCTCTCATTTTGTTGTGTGTGTGTGTTGATGGTGAATGACACGATGAAGGTGATGATTTCGCTAAGCCCAACACCACGATCTTGAGCCTCTGTTGCAAATATTTGTGTAGAAAGCCAGAAATGAAGCTGTTTTTGTGGAATTGAACCAGTGAACTCTACACGGTATGGATCTCCAGTATGACCAAGGATCTCCCAGCTCAGTTGAACTCTAAAGGCCATTCTCTCCGAAGGCAGACTTGGGTTTGTTGAGACTTGGTTGAGTTGGCATAACCTGAATTTTGATTATTCTTACATCAATTTAGGTGATAAGAGTGTTCTGCATTCTAAGAAGTGTTGATGGTGTGCTCATCTTTGCAAGGTGTCCTTTGAAAAGTCCTAAAATTTGTTCTCTTATGTGAAGCCTTGGCACTCAAGGACATATTTCAGCAGGCTCTTGATGAAGGAATCACATATATTTGGGCCAAAACTGATTCAGAAGTTCTGATTCAAATTATAGACCATACTTGTGCACCATGGCAGATTAGCCATGAAAGATATTTTTTTTTTCTTTGAATTGCTAACTAAAACTGGGATGTGTGGATCAAATCAATGGATCTGATAACATGGCACATTGTTAGTGTAGAAAGATCATAAATTTGGATCTTCTATTGGTCTTAGCACTTCCGTGAAATTCACTGCAGGAAAAAATAGTTGATTTCATGAAGTGCTTCATGGTTTGACCACAAAATCCATACTTCAATATTCCAATTTTAGGATTTGCTGTAAATACAATAATCAACCGTTATATTACTTCTAATTTCTTCCCACTGTTTGAGAGAGATTATAGAAGTGGACATGAGGAGGATTTTACACCAAGTTTAAATCACCCAATAAAGGATTTGATGCACTTGAGATTCAAATGCTTCTTGTTCATGCTTGTCTATACTTAATCTCTGATATGTGCATGACTGTGTAGTAGGCTTTTCTATAGAGAGCAAATCTACCAAAGCATCAAAAGCCTTAGCAGCATCTTTTGGTGCTCTACAGACAAGGCGTACGGAGTCCCTGGGACACTGTTGGTGGAGCCTTTCTATGATATGTTGCTTGCAATGAAGGAGGAGAAACTTCCTCGAGCTCATATAATACCAAGGTACACTCTTGATGACAGAGACCACTGTCTCAGATTCAGCCAAATTGAAGTTGGTAGTGATTGGCACTGTCTCAGATGCAAGTAAAGGTAATGCCCAGTATCATTAATTACATCTTTTGCAAGTTCTAGATCATGATGTTATGATGTGCCTCATTTTTTCTGAACTTTGCTGATCACATCATGGACTGTAGCTTTATCTTCACAATGATATTCTCTTCCATGAGATGGGTAGATCATCTCATGCTGGAAATCTGATCTTTTTTTTGTCTTGAGAACTGCACAAGATGTTCAAAAGATTTAGCTTCCAACTTCTGAGATGCTCTCCAGAGAAGGATGTCAGTGTCGGGCTTTCGCTGCCATCTGCGTGCCGCTCCTTAGCTGATCCCTGTCCTGCTATTTTACCTGCATCACCTAAAGAATAGAAAAACCATTGAGAACACCCTCAAACAGCTGACGGTATTAATTTCTCAACTCTTCTGATGCATTTTATTATATTGGCCCAATTCATTCTTACAAGTCCTACAGAAATTCTTACACAATAGATCTACCTGATCGTTTGATATATGCTGCAGGTCTTATTACTGTTTTCTTATCAGTTCATCCTGCCTCTTCTTGAGCTTCTCATACTTCTTTGCCCTCAGAGCCACCATGACCTCTGACCAAGAAAGGATCAGCAGACTTTCACTGTTAGAATACATTTGAAAGCTAAACAAGCAAGGATCGCAAATTCCATTGTGGAATCAACAGATCAGAACTTTGGGAGGTGATGAGCCAATACACTTGGCCTAGCATGAGCAATTCCTGCTGCTCCGCTGTGACACAGAGCGTGATGAGGGCAACGTGGTAGCCCAGGTTGTTCTTCATGACCTCTGCGGCACTCGTCTGCCAGTAAAGCCGCTCCACCCTCCCTCCAGGGTGCTGGATCACCACTGCCTCTGATGCTTGGCAGTTCCCCATCCTCCTTCCTCTCTGTCAATGCAGGAATGGAGAAGCTGCAGCTTCCGTTAGGTTGAAGTCTCAGAACACTTGGATATATGGTAGTGTGTGTCATGCACGGAATGTAATGCAGAGCTAGAGAGAATGCTGAGGCAAGGGAAGCATACATGGTTGGTGGCATGACGTCTCACTTGCAGCGGGATGAGGGAGTTATCATCTACTGCTTGCAGCAGCAGCGGACAAGGGCATGAGATTCTTCTTGTCATGGGTGTTTGTGGGCTGGAGAAGTCACATTACAAGGAAGAAGATAAGACACTGAATCACCAATAAAGACAACCTCGTTGCTCTTTTTCTACTCACCAGCTCATGGGATGGAACTTGGGGTGTTATGGAGTGTCAAAAGCTGTGCCCTTACTGTGATCATATTCATGGCCCACTGTTACCTAAATAGAGATCGTCTTCTTTGTTCATATTTCTTTGGTGTTGCCTTTGGGCATCAGGTAGCAGTATGTATGTGCTCTTTGTTGCTCCTCACCATCAGTGTTGCTTCAGGACATGCTTCTCGTTTCAGAGAGTCCACAAGAAACCTTAGCTCTGGGAGGTTACTTCAGCTCCATGTTCATTTTACATTATCTGCATGGTTGAATTAAGTATGATGTTTTAAGTGTTAGCTTGTTGGACTGATGAATACTGTAAGTTATAATTTGTCTAAGTTTCTTTTCCTTGGAAACAATCCTTCCTAGTTTTGAGGTCTCTTCATTTGGTCCACAATCCACATGGCCATCAAATTAATCAGAGGGCATGTGAAGTGTTGGAGTAATCACACAGTCCAACCTCATGCCCACTCTTTGTTCCAACGAAAAGCCAACATGAGTTGATGACCTAAATATGCCTCTCTTCCACAAAGTTCCTAAGCATGTTGTAGTTGTTTTGTTTAACTAGAGCATGTGGGTTCTCTTTTCAAACGCCCTTTTGTCATAATTATGTTCTTGAGAGAATAGAATCCATATCATGCTTAAGTCCACTTGGATTGGATTCACATCTTTGTTTTATTCTAAAACCATCGAGTCAAGATAATCCATGATATGTTTTCATCTCATGTGCAAGATCTTAATCTACATATTGTTTCTGAAAAATAGTAACATGGCTCTTCAAGATATCTCATCATCCATAGTTGTGACTTCTATGTATTATTGGATTAATTAGAATGAACCTTGTCCCATTATAGGACATGGATGAATTATTATGTTTGTGTGCTGTTTCTAAGCAAAGTTACAGAAGATTTAGTAGTTTATTTTGGTCTACAATGTTGTTCAGACAGAGGGACAGTAGCAAAGAAGGTAGAGAGATTGTGAGCATGAGAAGAACTGCTACAAGACACCAACACAAAGGAAATGGACAGACTTGCAGTGTCAGTAGGAAAATGCTTTCCTTGTTGATCTGCTTTGCTGGTTTAAATGCAACACAAACACAGCCTGTGCCAAGTTTCAGGTATGGTTCTTTGTGATGGTCCCTTATGGCCTTCATTTTTTGAGAGTAGCAATGCCTATCTGCAGTCTTCTTTCTCTCCTCACCTCTTTTTCCAAATTCCTTTGGCTGAGACAGGCATGACTGGGGACTCCATAATGCATTCATCTCTGCGAGTAGCTCCATTATTACTGGCTTGCAGCTGCCACCACAAAGGTCCAATTGCAGAAGAAGGATTCTTGAATATCAAAAACAATAGAATGAATTGATATTTTGATTAATGTGTTATCCAAACTGGATGCTTTGATGGGTAAAAAGACTAATTTCAGCAATTTATGTGTGTAATTTTGATGATATAATTGGATGGTTGGACTGCAGACAAGAATAACATGCAGTGTTCTAATGGATAAACAAGTTTCTTCTCTGCATCATTTTCCAACCACATCTCATATATGAACATGCCAAAAACTGAAAGAAACAAGATGTAGATTAACTTGTCAACCTTGTGAATAGATTCCACAAGCAGATGTGATTTCTTCTTCACTCTTCTTCACCACAGGGAGTTCTTCATCCTCAGCAGTAGCCTTTGTCTTCATCCTCAAAAGGTCAGAAGGAACTGCTCAGCTGAAATAACAGTCACTGACATTGTGTCCTCCAAAATGAAGGTGTGAGATTACAGCAAGGATTTTAGTGATGGAAGGATGTGAGTGACAATTCATACATAATCAGCAACTTGACTTCTGGAACGAACATCTTCAGGGAAGGGTAGAACAAGTTGATGATGTTACAAGTTGTCATGCACTCTTGTTGGATGGAAGAAACCTACATGAACGGCATAGTCGTTTATCAATCAGGTTGACTTGATATGTTTCTACTCAATTTGGTAGAATTTGACTTCACCCTTGTTAGGTCAGCTCAATGAATTATGATCGAGACATTGTCCTCTTGAGTTTCATGCTGTGTGATGATGAGAATGGTGATGTTGACTAATCCAATTTGTCATATTCTTTTGAACTCCAATTTCTTGTTTCTTAGTTTTCTCCATCCATTATTGTTTTCCTGAAACATATGTAAACTGACAATTTATCTGTCAGTAATGCAGCAAAAGCCTAATGACTGGCTAAGAACTGTAAATGTGTTCCTCAACATCAGACTAAGATCTTCATCAAAGAATCTGCAGAAACTCTACTGACCACAATGAATCCAAGAAGTTTTTTGAGCTGCTTTCAAGAGCACATCCTCATGCATCTGCTGAAACTGGTACTCCTACATAATTAGGTGTCAAATGCATGAGCAGATCCTTGACAGTGACAGACTGCAGTGTAGCTCATCTGCCTCCTCTGCTATTTTGTTCCTTCTCCTTGCCAACTTGTGGCCCAGAATCCTATCAGCGAAGATAAGAGCCTGTGGATCTCCAGAGGAAGAGAAGTGATTTACAGCAATCACTTTCAGACAAAGAAGCTTGCAATGTCATGATCAACATCACAGAATTGGAAACAGGATAAAAAATGGACTGATTTCGATATTAAATGGTCCCTAAAATAGACTGTGTAACAACCATCAAAGCCATGAACCTGTCTTCCTCTTCAATCACTTCTTCCATCGAGCTAAATGTCTTTCTTAGGAGGATTTGATGGACAATTCCAGACCTTGGGCTGCTTCTTGGAAGATCAGTAGTCACTTCGTGAATCCAAACAAAAATCTTGCTGGCAACGCCGAAAATTATACGAAACTCAAATGGTTAATGGAAAAATACCAGCTGGTGTCTTGTGCAGGGGTGACCAAAGGATGACATGAATGAGCTAAGCTAGTTCTTCAACTGTTATTTGTGCCAGGATAAGCACATCAGAGATTTCTTTTCTTTCTTTCTACCCATCTTACCTTTTCTTTTTATTAATAACATATTAACTCTTGTAGTTAGTTATTTTAAGATCCCGATCCTAGATCTATTTAAATTAACGATGTCGACTTTACTAATAAAAATATGAAAAATAAAATAACAAAAAGATAATTTTAACAACGGACGACGTTAATGTCACTCTATATCTATGTCGATGTCGAGTAGCCCTCTCTTCTCACCACCTCTCTCATCATCTACAACAATAATTTGCGATTCTCAACAACGTCATTATCATCACCGATTAAAATATTAAAATTATATTTTTATCTTTAAAATAAATGAATCTAGATGTTTCAGTTTTATAATTATAGAGATGATAATGTAACTTTTTAAAGTCCACGAGATACTAAAGATAATTACTAACTACGTAAGATAATATTAGTCTTTTGTACCATCATATATTTTTTTCGGTCAAGAATGAAATAAGTGAACAAAAATAAACTTAAGTATTGTCTTGAATCTTTTAAAAATTTCTTTAAAAAAAATCTTTCATGGGAAAGAGGCAACAAATTGAAATGACAACATAATGAAATGATTCATCATCAAGAAGTTGTGTATCTGAATACATCTATCAGTATTAAGTAGTGTTTTGTATGAAGAAGAATTATAATTGTAAATTATTTATCCTTATTAAATCAGCCAATGATTTTTATTCTTATTATGTATCTATCGATTGCAATATTGAATAACAGTGATCACTTTGTAATGTTTAAAGCAATGAAAAAAATATTATAATGGATGCCATCAACTATTATAATAGTCACAAATAAAAACAAAAATAAAAGAAAAAATGAACCAAATCCGACATAAAATATGGATCCAATAGACTTATCGAATCGGATATTAGTTTTAATTCTGCAGGTAATTCATGAGACCTAATTATGTGAGTATCATATAATATGTGTATTAGATGCTTATAACGGGAATCAAAACACCTCTTAATTACGTACTTAGCGCTTTAATCATCACCACGTCTTGATAAAACAAACCCGACCCGTTTACCCGGCGCGCAGGTTAGCTCAAGCCGTGACTTGCGCACGTTAGCTCCGTTCTCGGGCATCAACTAAACGGCACCAACCCCTATCTTTTTCCTCTCCCGTTACCCAAAGTACACCCGTCCTCTCTCTCTCTCTTCTCTCTCTCTCTCTCTCTCATCAGATCGGGGAACCCTCGACCAAAATCGCTCTCCAAATCCCTTTCATCTCCCAATCCTGGGAACTGTTCGTGTTCTTGGGGCGATTGATCGATCGATCGATCGTTCGGCGTGGTTGTCGAGCCGGAACAATTAGGGTTTGCCCTGGCGTGCTGATTGGGGGATTCATCCTGCGGATGGGCGAGGAGAAGGCGGATCTAAAGACCGGCAGGGTGTGGGGGGTTTTGTGATGTAACAATTTTGGTTTGGTGGTTCTCTTTTGTCGTTTCGTAAACGGCGGTGGTGAGAATATAGACGGGTCGGGGTGGAGGGGGATTTGATGGTTCGAGGCGGAGGGGTCGGAGACAACACAACAGGGGAGGATGAAAGGCTATGCATGGGCGGGAAGGTGAGGAGAGGAAACGGCGGCCGCACATGTGGCCGGTCCCTGCGCCCGGTACAGCTCTATCAGCATCGTCAGCAGCTCATCCTCCTCCTCCTCCTACTCTAGCTCAGCCGGACAACGCCTCCTCGGAGTCGGATTCCCCTCTGTCCTCACGCGATTCGTTCCTAAAGGTGCCTTCTTTTTATGGGTTTCATCCGTCTTTTGTATGGTGCATTAGGGGAAATTTTGGCCTACGATTGATTAAGAGGATTTAGTTATTTAGTGATATTGTTTTTGGATTTATGATGTTTTTAATTGTATTGTCTCAATTATGTAGTTTCTGTGCGGGCTTTGTTGATTTTTTTTTGTCTTTTTCCTGTGATTATCCGTTATTTTGTTTTGGTTTTGAAGCGGTATACTTCATTTTTGTTAGTTGTTTTAAGTTTTGTGGCCTTCTTTTTTCCATGTAATTCATACAAGGAGCTCATGATTTTTTGCCAAGAGAACTGCTAATCAAGCAACTATTTTTCTTCAAAAGGAGTTCTAGTATTTGTATGCTTTTATGTGTTATGACATCGACATTAAGGATGTTTTTCTGGTCAAGGACAATTCTCGGGCACAGATGGCCGTGCCTAATAAGCATGTTACCCCAGGTGGCTTCTTTTGGAACTTGATGCTCAATATGAAACTCAAACTTGTTGGTAAAAAGTATGATAAAGTTATGTGAACGTAATAAGTGTTGAGATTATTGTTTCAATAATAGATGTCTGGATTTTGGTGTTGGAAACACATTTGAAACATGATTTCTCATAGTTCTGATGATACACACATAGTTCTTGGTCTTTATGGTTATTGTTTTGTGACTTATTTGCCTATACTTCATGTAGATACCTTCCAGTCTCGTGTTAATTCTAGGAGGATTCAACCTTTTAGTTACTACTAAAATTTCACTAACAGCTTTTTTATTTAATGTTTGGTAGGTGTAGGTTTTGGAAATATTCTTTGCGTTGTTCATGTCATGTGGAAGTTGGTTGCCGATGAATTATATGCTTTTTCAGTTATTAAGTTGAGTTCATTGATGGAACAAAGCTCGCGGGTGAAATTTCTAGGTTCCACAACTTATTTTGCTCTATGAATTATTCATCCAGTTTGGGGTTGTGCTAACTTGGTTTCTTACAATTAGCTTCTTCAGTATCAGCTTCATGTGAGCCACAGGAGTTGAATTGTAGTTTTAGATTATCCTGATTCATTTGGAAAATACGACTTGTAATTGTTTATAGGCCCTTCATTAATTCCTTTATCAATGCACATCTTTGCGTTTATACTAGGTAACTAAAACTTTGCAAGAATATAGCTTCTTGATACAATTCTATATTCTTACATCTGAAATTGGTCTGCTAATAATCTCTTTTGCATTGGTAGCTGTTCTTGCCGTATTTTGACAACCATGCTTGCCGTACTTTTGACAATCATTCTTGTTGTACTTCTGGTTGTTGTGCTGCTGTTGTTCTCTTTGTGCAGAACCCCGAGATACCTGGTCGTGCATCAGCATCTTTTTCTGTGGTCAATGTTTTTATGAACTTTTAAGTTATAGTTGTAAGCACAAGGGTTGCATTATTATGGTATGAATTATTTTTCTTTATCTTTGCTTTTGGCATGATCTTCAACAGAATTTTTTGTGCTAGAACAATAACTGAGGGAAATTATTTGCATAACTAGAGTTAAATTATTTGCATGGCATTCTTCTTCTGGTATTATCTGAAATATCTTTGATTACTTAAACTTAATGATTGTTAACATCAGAAGGAACATTCTAACATTGGTACATGATCTGCATCTTTCTATTATGTTAATTTTCTTTTCATTTAAAATAATTATAAAAATGTAAACTAACCTGTTTCAATATATTATATTCTTATCTTGACCTTATTTTTTATATTAATGTTTTATGATTCGCATTAATAAAGTTAGATCACATTTTGTTAGTATAGGTGGAAGTTGCATATGAGTACCATACTTTGATGTATTAATAGCCGCTTGCTTATGAGGTGAATGAAAACATTGTTCTTCATGCTGTCTTAGTTGTCACAGTTAAAAAAATATTTGTGTTAGACAGTATCTATTTCTTTTGTGTGGGGTATCTTAGTAGTTGTTTTTTGTAATTACTCTATTCTGTCTATTCTTTTGTCCCTATGGGAACCATCTTACTTTCTTTTTTTCATCTGGAATGGCCTGTTAATTTTCTGCACTTTAGGATGGGCGTAAAATTCGAGTTGGTGATTGTGCTCTTTTTCAAGCTGGCAATGCACCACCTTTCATTGGAATAATTCGTTGGTTTACAAAAGGCAAAGAGGATTACCTAAAGTTATGTGTTAATTGGCTTTACCGACCTGCTGATGTTAAGCTTGCTAAAGATGTATTACTTGAAGCTGCTCCAAATGAAATTTTTTATTCATTTCACAAGGATGTGATACCCGCAGCTTCATTGCTTCACCCATGTAAAGTTGCGTTTCTACGAAAGGGTGTTGAGCTTCCAGCTGGGATATCTTCATTTGTTTGCAGACGAGTATATGACATTACTAACAAGTGTTTGTGGTGGTTAACTGATCAAGATTATATCAATGTGAGTTTTGTGCTGTCCTAATGGTCTGGCTCTATGTGGCATAAACTGCTTTCTTTTGGTGTTTAGCCGAGGTTAATCATTTGTTACATTTTATGGTTTACTTGTTCTCTGTAGGAACGACAGGATGAAGTAAATCAGCTTTTGGACAAAACTCGACTAGAAATGCATGCAACAATTCAATCCGGTGAGCGTTCACCTAAATCACATAATAGTCCGACAAGCACACAACAGCTAAAATCTGTTTCAGACAGTGTACATAATACCGGCTTTTCTCTCCCGTCTCAGACCAAGGGGAAAAGAAAGGATAGGAGTGATCAGGGCACTGAGCATATCAAGAGAGAGCGTTCTTTTCCTAAACCAGATGATGGTGATTCTGCTAGCTTTAAATGTGAGAACATGATAAAAGCAGAAATAGTCAAAATAACAGAAAAAGGTGGACTTGTAACCACTGAGGGGGTTGAGAAATTGTTGAACCTGATGCAACTTGATAGAACTGAGAAGAAAATAGATGTTGCTGGTAGGGTGCTGGTTGCAGATGTGATTGCAGCCACTGATCGATATGATTGCCTTGGCAGGTTTGTGCAGCTTAGGGGTGTGCCGATTCTGGATGATTGGCTTCAGGAGGTGCGCAAACCTAAGGCTGGTGATGGTAGTAGTCCCAAAGAAAGTGATAAAGCTGTTGAGGAATTACTCTTGGCTCTTCTTCGTGCACTCGCTAAACTACCTGTGAACCTTAATGCTCTACAGACTTGTAACATTGGTAAATCTGTGAATAATTTACGGAACCATAAAAACTCAGAGATCCAGAAGAAAGCCAGGAGCCTTATCGACATTTGGAAGAAACGGGTTGATGCCGAAATCACAAAGACCGATGATGCAAAATCTGTTGCGCCGAGCCAACCTGTTTGGCAAGTAAAGCCAGGATCTTCTGATATTTCTAATGCGGGAAATAGACGTGCTGGATCGACTGAGGTGGGTGTGAAGAGCCCTGCAACTCAGATTGCATCATGTAAAATTATGCCTGGTAAGCCTGGAACATCGGATGCTGTTGTGAAGTCATCTTCAGTGACACAAGGGTCTTTGAAAAAGGGATCAACTCTGACAACATCTACTGCAGTTGTCTTGAAGGACCCACTTTGCAAAGCAGCCGCTAACATTGGGAGTGCAGAGATGCCGCCAACAGCAGGCAAAGAAGAGAAGAACAGTAGTTTAAGTCAATCTCAGAACAATAGCCAGACTTGTTCTACTGATCGGGCAAAAGTTGGTACTTCGTTGAAGGAAGACACAAGGAATTCAAGTGCTGGGTCAATAAATGCTGCCAAGGCTGTCGGCTCATCTCGTCACCGAAGATCTAGCAATGGGGTCTCGGGAACCAGTAGTTCTGGAGTTCAGAAGGAAACTAATCTGGGTAAATCTGGTTCCCTCAATAAGACTACAACTTTGGAAAAATCATCACTATCAGGATTGACATGTGATAAACCAATTGATACACCTGCTGTAGATAATGGAAATAATCAGAGACTCATTCTTAGGCTTCCGAATCCTGCTCAAAGCCCTGCACAAAGTGCAAGTGGAGGTTCTTTTGAAGATCCATCAATTTCAGGCAGCAGAGCATCATCTCCTGGGGTCTCAGACAAGCATGAGTACAATGATCGTAGAACAAAACTAAAGGGTGATGTTTGTCCTAATACTGCTACAGATGCTAATGCAGAGTCTTGGCAGAGCAATGATGTCAAAGAACTGGCAGTAGGAGCTGGAGGTTTTATATCACCTGCTGTTGATGAAGAGCATGTTTTGACTACTGAAGATACCGGGAAGGCCGCAGAGGCTCCAATAGCTGCATGTTCATCATCTGGAAATTATAGGGGGGTCTTCTTGACTGAACCCAGGACAAGGGGATCTTTTAGTTCTATAAATGCCTTGATCGAAAGCTGTGTCAAATACTCTGAAGCAAATACTCCTTTGGTTGTTGATGATGATATTGGGATGAATCTACTTGCTAGTGTGGCAGCTGGAGAAATGACCACGTCTGACTTAATTTCTCCTACCAGCTCTCCTGGAACTTCGCCTGTGACAGAGGATCCGTCTACGGAGGCCAAGCCAAGGTTGCCAAGTGATGATGCAGCCCAGAGCCATTTTGAGTCAGATGAAGTTGTCGTTGCCGATTCCAATAAGCAAGAGAACAGTGTTGCTTCTATCTTAACTAAGGATGCCTCATATCAGGATGGTGCAAACTTTTCTGGAGACAATGGAATTGCTGTCCCCTTGCAGGATAACAAATTGATAAGCGGTCATGCGGAGAAATCTTTTGCTGCTCTGAGTCCTAAAACTGAAGACTATTATGCTACATCTGAGCTGAAACTTGAGGGAGAAAGAGATCGGCATTTTTCCATGTCCAAACCAGTTAAAAGGGAGAAGCAGGACACTGATAGAGCGTTTCTGCTTGAGGAACAACGGTTAACAGATGAGAAGGTTCTAGACTGTCATACAGATTGCAAGCTTAAAGAAAGAGGCTTATCAGCAGATGGAAGCATGCATGTTGAATGTGCTTATCAAACGATTGAAGATGGCAATCCATGTAACTCTGAAATTGCTTTTAAAAATGGATGTGATTTTGACCTTTCTTCTTCAGGGATTAATACAGAAAAGCTTTTTGTTGAGGAGTCTCAAATATGTACTACCGGAAAAGAAACAACCGAGGTTGTAACCTCATCTGACCAGCAGCAACTTCTGATAACAGATGATAGAAGTGGTGATGCTGTTATGTCATCTCATGATGTGCCGTGTCCTGAAAATGCTGATGAATCCAGGACTTGTGTGCCTGGTAACATAGGGGGAAGTCACTTGGAGTCAAATGATAAACAGGTAGATAACAGCCTCAATCCAAGTAACCTTGATGAATCAGCTAGACCAGCAACTGCCTCCGACACTGCTGGGGTTGAAGATTTGAAAGTAACGGAGGCTCATGAAACTTCTCCAGTGGGATCAACCAGTCAAGAACCACCATCGAGTTGTACGAACCAAGATACTGGTTATCAATCAGAGGCTGCTGGTTCTAGGTTATCAATGGGATTAGCCAGTCAAGAAACACCATTGTGTTGTATGAACCAAGATACTGAGAATCAATCAAAGCCTGCTGGTTGTAGATTATCTGGGATTGTTGGAGATGGGAGGGAGGATCTTGCGTCATCTTTAGAGGCCTCTTTATTGGCTGTTACTGCTGATTCAGATGTTGCCAGTAAGCTTGACTTTGATTTGAATGAAGGCATCCCTGGAGATGATGGAAACAATGGTGAGACTGCTGTTTCAGTTGCAACATTCTGCTCCACGGCAATTGATTTGCCCTGCCTGTCTCCTTTTGCAAATCCAATGTCAAATGTCTCACCTGCTCCAATAACAGTAGCTGCACCAGCAAAAGGGGCTTTTGTTCCACCTGAAAACTTGCTTAAGAGCAAGGATGAGCCTGGATGGAAGGGTTCAGCTGCTACTAGTGCTTTTCGGCCAGCAGAACCACGAAAAGTTCTGGAGATGCCACCAAGTAGTCCTGACATGCCACCATCTGACTCTGCTGGGAAAGAGTGTCGTGCTCCACTCAATTTTGATCTGAATGAACCCGATGAGGGAGTTCTTGAAGACATGACCATGCAGAGCTTTTCTAAGACCACAGGCTTTGAGCTGGGGACAGAAAGCAATCTTGATGTACCCCCACAGATTTCTGGAGGACTTGATCTTGATCTAAATAGAACTGATGAAGGTACAGAAAATGGCCAGTTCTTAGCAAGCAGCTCCCATAGACTGGAGGTGCCACTTTTGACTGTAGGACCAGCATTAACAGTATTACCTAGTAGGGAGGCCAATATGTTAAGGGACTTTGATTTGAATAATGGACCCATCCCTGATGAAGTTTCCGCTGAATCTGTAACCAGGAGCCAAAATATAAAAAACATTAGCAGTATGCCCTTCTTATTTCCAGTTTCCAGCATCAGAACCAACGCTGCTGAGTTAGGAAGTGTATCATCATGGTTTCCCCCTGGTAGTTCTTATCCTGCTGTTGCTATACCATCCTTGACCAACAGAGAGCAGCCTTATCCAATTGTTGCAGCTCCAGGAACCCAAAGAATTTTGGGGCCGATTACTGCTAGTGGCCCCTTCGGGGGTGATGTTCACAGGGGAGCAGTGCTTTCATCATCTCCAGCCATGGCATTTACTCCTGCTGCAGCATTTCCTTATGCTGGCTTTACTTATGGGTCCAATTTTCCTCTTGCATCAACTTCATTTTCAGGTGCACCAACAACCTTTGTCGATTCTTCATCTGGTGCTGGTTCAAGTTTCCCTGCGATTCCATCACCACTTGTTGGACCTGCTGGTACTGTTTTATCCAATTATCGAAGGCCTTACACGATGAGCTTTCCAGAGGGTAGTACTAGTGGCGGATCTGACAACACTCGGAAATGGATCACACCAAGTCTGGATCTCAATGCAGGTCCAGGAAATGCAGATATAGATGGAAGTTCCTGGGCATCGAGACAACTCTTGGTGACAACCTCCCAGGCTTTCACGGAGGAGCAGGTGAGAATGTATACAGTGCCAGGTGGGGGTTTGAAGAGGAAGGAGCCTGAAGGAGGTTGGGATGCCGACAGATCTGCCTACAAGCAACTCTCGTGGCAGTAAAGGGATCAGGAACAACAATTCGTTAGTAGCATCTCATTGCGGTGAGCTATCATCTTTATTATGCGAAGTGCGTATGTTCATGACACGTGCTATGTTCTAGATTATATCAGATTTTCAGCTTTGTTTCACAGGCACAGGTGTTCTTGGAATCCTTTATATTGCCTTCGCATCATGCTAAGTTAAACAACGCGAGCCCACATGCATCCTGTTTCCTAACGATGAGGGGAAAGTCTTTGAGGAATGCCGAAACTTGCTCTATTTCATGTAATGTTGAGACACGTGATGCCTCTCTGAAACAGATTTTCATGGATTCAGCGGTTGCTTTGGTTAGCATTTCTTTAGCACGTTCAAGCATGTTTCTTGAGGATATCGATATCAGATATCCGTCGGAGGATGGCGACATTGCCTTGTCAAGTCTTTCTTATTTACCACATCTTCCACAGGAGCCACAGCAATCAGGTCCTTTTCTTCGTTCGATGGGTCTGCGGCCGTTGATTCCCACAGCTCAAGATGCCATCTGCCTTTGTTGCTCCACACAGTAGCCGAGTACTGCTACATTCATCGATAACATAGTTTGCATGTCAGGGTACTTCCATCTTTCCTGTGTTGAATGCCAAACACATTAGCATTGAGCTGTGCAATCATATAATTCCTGTGTTAAAAGAGTTTCGCCCCATGAAACTCAGATGGATCAATTGGCAACCAACAACTGCGATGGCCCGAGTTGTGAAGCCAGAGCATGTTTCTTTCTTTGTTCCTAACCAACAAAAAAAAGGCGACTCTCCTCCTGTGTAGTTTTCCAGTGTTGTAATGCCTGCTGCTTACAAGCGTTTTGGTGCCATGTTTTTTGTTGGTGTGTTCTCATGTTGGTGATGTGCCCATCAACTCTTTTACAAGCGTGTGGTCTAAGCAAATGTTGATTGATTTATCTGATGAGCAGTTCGATGATAGCACATCTTTCTCAACAACAGAGCCTCATTAAACAAGAGGCAAAAGTGAACGAACACCCTGTAACTGTGAGGACCAATTGGCACAAAGCTTCAAAGCTGTCAGAGAAGCCATTGGCTTCTATCAATCAGATCGCTTCCGAGTTCACCTCACATGCGAGCCGCACGGATACAGCAATTACCTGACGGTACGCGTGCGTACATTTTGTCTTGTAGGATCTTTCCGAGTGAGGAGAAATCAACTACACAAATCCAACTGTCTTTTGTCGATGCACGTGAAGGCGACGGGCAGAGATTTCCATGAGAGAGAGAGAGAGAGAGAGAGAGATTGGTGTCCTTCCTTCGCTCTCGCGTGCATGCACGGGCAGCATCTGACTCCACTCCCGGCTTTGCTTTGTTCACGCGACCCACCGACGACACCGAGGCGATGACATCGCCCGAGAAAGGACGTGGTGCCCGTGACGATCATGTCCTTTCCCTTTTGCCATCAAGTGAGATGACACGGGTTCGGACCGCCACACGAAGAAGATGGGGAAAGAGAGGACGGACACCTTCTGTTGCGGTTCATATCATATTGTAGACGTAGATTTGTACCGTAAAACCTTGTTTCGGAGGAACTCCTCCTTCCTTCGGGGCATCACGGTGGTCGTTGCAGAACGTCAAACGGGAGGAGGGGATCATCGTTGCATGCCACCAAAAGCTTGTATGAGGTGGAAGAGGATGAGCATGTCCTCAAGTGAAGATAAGGATTTCTTGTCTTGATACTGCAAACACTAAGTTGATCATGGAACAGTGAGGAGACATTTAAGTGGATGATAAGAAACTGGCAGGTTGACAAGTGCTTGAAGAGCACGATATGAATTAGAGAAAGAAAGAAATATGGATTGATTGAACTCATCGCTTAGTGTTATCCCTACTATGGGTCGCACACAGTCTGATCTGGTCATATGTCCGAGTCTCGAGGCAATTTTTTTTTCTTCTTTTTTTTTTTTGTCTTGAGACAGCAAGTGCACAAGACACTTCTGATACGGAGTTTTAAATATTTAAAGAGATTCTTTTTGTGACTCCAACATCGTAAAAAAATAATCTTATATATATTATTAATAATATCCTTGGGTGAGGGTGATGGTTAGATATGTACGCTATCACCAAGTGAACACAGAAAAATAAAGTTACTTTGCATGTATGATAGGGGAATACGGAGCTAATTATATATATTATCTCATGTAGTTAGCTATATTTAATATTTCGGTCCATGCATCTTAAAAAATTATATTGACATCCTTGTAGTTATGAGAGTGAAACATCTATATCCATTTATCATAACATTATCGATTTTACTAATAGAAATATAAAAATAAAAGATAAAAAAATAATTTTAATAATGACGATGTCATTGGGAGTTATTTGTGGGATAAGGAAAGCGACGATGAGAGGTGAAGGTCGTCATGCATCTACATCAATACAATTGACAAACGACCCTTTTATCACTCTATATCTGCATCAGCGTCGACACAATTACCGAGCGACAAAAGGATCGTCGACATAAATGTCGAGTGGCGTTGCTCAGCAACTGCATTGACGTCGTCACAAATGTATCGTTCGACATATGCATTGATGGCCCTTTTGCCTTTGAGCAACTGTGTCGACGTAAACGTTGAGTGACCCTCACCTCTTATCGTCGCTCTCTTCAGCCACAATAGCCACCCACAACCTCCAATAGCTCTACCATCTGTCACCATCGATATCATCCGCTATCACAAATTGAAATATTAAAATTATCTTTTTACCTTTTATTTTTATATTTTCGTTGGTAAAACTGATTGCATTAAACTAAATGAACAAGTTTCACTTTCGTAACTATAAAGATACTAATGTAATTTTTTAAAATATAAAGATTGGGATGTTAAAAATAATTGACTACAACTCGAGACTAAAAAACAAAAGTGCAAGAGCAAGAAGAGCGAAAAATGCAATGGTCAATCCCTAACCACCTACAATTAAAAAAAAATTCTCAAATAAAAAAACATTTAAGAAATATACTTCGTTATGATTTGCAAAGACAGGGCAAACTTAATTGCATCTATCACTTATTGGTAGCTTGTAAAGACATGATTGCTATGAACAAAAACATCAGATGAACAACATCAATGTACAGATTTAATCAAGGAGAGTTCCAATGGGTGGTGTTGAACTCCAGCTGTGCCACCCACCATTGTGACAAAATAATGGAATCTAATTAAGAGATCAATGTGGGATATATATATATATACATGCATCATTATCTCATCTCTAGAAAAGACAGATTGGCAATGGAACAAGTGAAACATAAATCTAAAATGGATTTCTTTTGCCAGTATACTGAAACATCTTCATAAATGAAAAGACAAAAAGGTTAAGATTCCAGTCCACAGAAAACCTAGCTAAGACTAGCAGTTCATACTTCCAGAAGCAGAAACAAATAATAATCTGTAATATCTTGCTTCAAAACTCCAAGAACATTACACACACATACATCTCTTTTCATGGCCTTGAACAAATAGAAGTCAGTATCGCTGAAAAAACCGCGCCATATTAAACAGCGAATTTGATATCCTTTCAGCACTTCCATGACAAATAGTTGACGCCATCGAAATGAGAAACCTGCCAATAACAACTAGTCAGACAAAATTATTGTACCTACACTTCCAATTCACTTGACCTAATGAACAGATATTAATGCTTAGTGACATCATCAGTCATGAACAAATTACAAACCACATCCATTCTACTTCAGAGGTAGAGATGTCTTTTATCTTACGAAGATGCAAGGAATGTTGGAAGTGTGTTACACATAAGAACTTTAAAGCTTCACAAATTAAGGGACCAAAACCACAACAAGGGATAGAAAGAGAAGTACCTTTTTTTTTCTATATGATACCTAGGGTGCCAACTCAGAGAAAGACTATCCCATTAACTGAATACAAGAATCTTATTCTACAAAATTGACTATCGTGAAATCTGAATGAATTTGCAGTGATATAATAAGACTATGACAAAGTTGTTCCAGCCACACTTTCCATTTCACTACAAAAAATTATTGGTGATATCTGAGCCAAATTGAGGACACAAATTGGGTGGATTTCTGATCTTGAAGCATGGATGAGGAGCACATCAATGTAAGAATAAAAAAAGAAGAAGCTGATTGTGGAATTACAATTTATCTCCTGGAGTAGCAGAAGTACCAATCCTTTTCTTTTTTTTTTTTCAGTGATGGAAAGAAGATACATTAAAGGAGAGAACAAATTGGTCAAAAATTCAGAAAAAGAAGATTTAGCAGATAGATAAATTGATGGGAAAGTATATGCTTTAAATCCAAATTAATCATCTCCGAGATCAATTTATTATGATTCCATGCAATCTAATTGAGAAAATTCAAAGTAATTCCAGTGTCCAACAAACGTGGTGGTTATCATGTTACAATTATTCCTCGCCAACATTTATCTGTCATGTACTCGGATACTTCATGAGACATGCCAAAGTTCTTAAGACAAGATCTGAATAGCATTTGTCAAGTGGTCAGGGTTTCCAAACCGATTGGATGGAATGAGGGGATTGAGTTCAAATTCAACTTAATAATATTAAAATAAAAAGTGTGAGGGGCCGTACATGAGGCTCCCACAAATGCGGGGTCCAAGGAGGATCAATGTGTGTAGCTTAATAACTCAAACCTGGCTTCCCAAATAACAAAAGAGCAATGCTACTGTTGTATCAAGGTCCATCCTCGTTAAAATAAAAAAATAAAAAAAATGCCAAAAGATTACTTTTTAAATGTACAAAAGTGTAGAAGGTATGAATTTTTAAATAGATAAGAAAAATGGACGTAAAAGGTAAAACCCTGTTGCCTACAATCAGACCAGCCAGCATGAATGGTGTCTTGCAGCAGTGTGATGACATCCAATATTAGGTTTCCCTTAATCCTTTGCTCGTCCTCTTCCTCAATCCTATCCCTCTTCTCCTTACACTTTCTGTTTCCTCTTTTCCTCCTCCCATTCCTTTCCTTCTTCTTCCTCTGTATATCTTATTGCAAGCGATCAGGATCCAGTTGCAATGGGTCTTACAGGCTGGTCTCAGTCAGAAACGTATGATTCAGGCCAACTCTTATCAACACCACATCCATGGTGGGTGGAAATGAGAAATCAATTGATATCAAACTGGAATCCTCATATCAAATTTCGATGGACTGGTTCCGGTGCGACATGTGATGGATTAGACCCAATTATCTAATGTTGCAAATCATGAAAATATTTGTCTTTTAGGTGCCAAAGTCAGGATACTTTGCTGGGAAGCCTAATCGTTCATATAAGGAGACAGGGAATATATATGTTTATAGAATTATTTTTCACGATACAATGTTGATCAAGCTAGCCAATTGTATTAAATAATCATCAATATTACAGAACACTGTTAGGTTCCAATTTTTAAATGATTGACTCATAAAATCACAAGGGAGGAATAAGATCACTTAATGCAATAAAACTATCTTTCTTTCTAAGATAAGCCAATGGAGATCAATCTTGCAACAGGATCAAATTTCTTTTCAAGCAATCAAGTGCAGAGGCCACTAAAAGTCAAAAACCATATCATTCATAATCAATTCAGCACTTGATTTTTTGAGATCTAATTGATTTTGTCCAATGTAAGAATCGATGTGGTTACCTTTTGAAACACATTCTTGCACATAATCTCAAAATTTTGAACAAACACACCTGAAATTACATAGTTCAAATATTTATGCGTTTGAAGTATAATTCCACAAATTAGGCCAAAATTCCATTTGAGATTCAAAATCAAGTCAACACAATGGAAACAACATTGTGCTACTCATAAGTGAAATTGAAGGTTATACACAAAACTCTAACTGAGAACTTACTTGTAACCATGATTAACAACTAGAGGAGAGGAGGGTAATGAGAAAACAAATTAAGAAGGATGAGAACAATAAAAAGTTCATTTTATACTAGAAAGATGAATTCACTATGGAAGATACCATGTTCATAGTGATTAATGTTTAAGAGCAAAAAAAGCTTGACTTAGATATGTATATGGTATAGAAAATCAAGCACATATACGAAATAAAACCTACATTCCATTTCTTTCACATAAATACAGTGTAGCGTTTCCACTACACTATGCATAGTGCAGTAAAATGTAGTGTTTCTACTATAGATGATCTCAAGTAGTTCTTTTCCATCATCTCCAATTTTGCTAACAGCCGAAAATATCTAATCTTTTAACGTAAGTGGGACATTTTGGTCATGTGGTGCATAGTATTATCTTAATCAAGATTAAAATGTCAACAATAAAGAAAATCAAGCCCATTAGGCTCTAAAAGCTGATGGTTGCAAGATAATTATGATTATGATATTTTGTAATGCACATAAAGTAAATTCCCAAAAGCTTTTGCATCGGAACAAGTTTAATTTCTTTATATACCTCGAAATAAGGTTTAAGAATATTACCATCATGGTCTCTTCATGCTCTTGTTTATGTTGCTGAGTGTGGCTTATTAATGATTTGCATTAACAACTTAACCTGTTGACATGATGTAAGACTATAATCAAGAACTTAAGTTGTAGACTATGATTGCACAATATGCACCATGTCCTCAAGCCAGTCATTAAGGATACATTGTCCTTTACCAACTAAGACAACAAAAATTTATTCCATAGACAAATGATACGAGCACAACCCAAAAGAGAACGATCATTAAGATGAAATTCTGCAAAGTTTGAAGTGCAATAAGATGAAGACAGAAATCAAATCAATGTTAAGTTTGAGAATCATTCAAGAATTCCAGCCTACACATCTATCTGTGATCTTAACAAGCTCAACACAGCACTGTGCTATTGCATCGACCAAAAGGTCCTAGATCAATTAAAAAGGTGAAAGTACCAAGAAGACTTTAACTTGAATACCATCAACGCATAGAAGGATTTCCAATATAAATTCTGAGAGATAAAATGCAAAGCCCAGAAAAGATTATTACGGTACTTGTATAAAGAGATTAAATTACCCATCACTGATCTACTTTTGTCTTCCAGTTCAACACTAACCAAGATAGGATTTTGATTATTGTTAAAAGTTGGAAATATAATACAAAATTCAAACAACTATACCATACTATTCGTAACAAGAGCGCGATCACTGATCTGTTATAGGCTTGAAGATCAACAATTATAATCTCTATCACATCAAGATAGGATTTTGGCTCCACAATGCAATCACAGACAAGCAACTACGAAGGGGAAGTGGGATTATGGGGGGGAAAGAAGAAGTGATGTACCTCATGCTTCCGAACCACTCCCGAGGGGGAAGGAGACGATCTCCTGCACGGGCGAGAACTCCACAAGGCCGATGTCCATGACGTACCCTGACACGGGCAGCTTGAGATCCCGGAGAATGCAGAAGGCGTCGGCGATCCTGCTCCGGGGAACGTCCTGGGCGACGGAGCAATGAGGCACCCAGGAATCGGGGCGGAACTCCTCCGGAGCCTCAACGCCTTCCTTGCGGAGGGTCTCGCAGAGCTGGGAGTGGAGGTGCAGGAGGGCAGCCGAGGGAGTGGGGGCGAGGAAGAGAACGCCTGCGTCAGAGGAGGAAGAGGAGGAGGAGGAAGGGAAGGCACCGACGGAGGAGAGGGTGAGGGGGAGGGGATCGAGGCGGGCGGCGAGGGAGCGGAGGGCGGCGTGGAGGCGAAGGGGATCGAGGGTGGGGACAGAGAGGAGGGTGAGGTGGGGGCGGGCGGCCATCTCGATGAGCTGCGTGCTGATCTGCCGGCGGGCGAGCACGTTCCACGCCTTCAGCACTTGGTTCTCCAGCGCCGGGTCGAAGTACAACTCCACCGCGTAACCCTGCTGCTGCCGCCCCACAGCCGCAGGTGGGACATCCGCCTGCGGCGGATTCGTCGCCGGAGTCGGTGACGGCGTCGGCATCGCACCCTGTCCCTGCGCCATCGATTCCTGACCTCACCCACCGCGACCGCTGCTTCGCCTCCTCTTCTTTCTCCCCCCTTCTTTTTTCCTGTCTCTAAAACTCACCTACCGCAACGCTACCCGCGTCAACGAACCGAGACGACAGCGGAGATCTCATGTGACCCCACTAGCATCAACCAATAACTAGTAGGGTAAGCGCGGGTTCTTTGGCAGCAGGGATGGAGAAGATGGGGTTTTGGACCAGTACAAGGGTTTCTGACATTGGAGATGCGCATTAGATTTGTAATTTAAATATGTCCAGTTCTCACTTACTGGCAGTTTTGCAAATTTACTGTTTTGCCTTTAATTTGTTTGTGATAAATATTTTGAATCTCCTAAAATTGCGTCTGAATATTTTAATTCTCCAATTCTTGTTATTTATATGAAATCCCTCTGACTCGTTCATATTCCTACGGATATTAGCTAACATTAACATCTTGCTTTTCTGACATTGGTGGCTAAGCAGCGTACAGCTAATAATGCGGAAACATGTGGTTACGGAACGAAAAAGCAACATCGAACCATCAAAATACAATGGTTTCGGAAGCTCGTGCATCAACGTCGGCCGGGAGCCCGTGAACGTGATCAGCTCCATATAGTATGCAGATCGATAGCCAATTCAGCAATAGCACACGTCGATGGATTAATGAAGCTATAATATAATTGTATCGACGTTCATGCAAAAGGAAGAAGAAGATAAATCGTTTATGATTTCACGACTTGTACAGCTACTTCTCGCAATCAGTTGATACGACCAAGCAACCGCTGATTAATATCAATCGATATACCAAAACGATATTTTATAATGTCACACACATTTATATGTGTGTGTGTATATATATATATATATATATATATTTATTTATATTTATATACTTTCAGTTGAGAAAAGGCAAATAGAGACCGTCACTAACGTGCGCACACCAACCTGTCCCCGGAAACTCCTCCGTAGGCCGGCGAGGGGCGGAGTGTAGGAGATCGATGGGCGACTAGGCCGATGCCGGCGGGGAGGCGAACCGGGTGGAGAAGTCGCGGTAGCCCATGTACTCCTCCTCGGGGCACTCCCCGTGGCCCTCGTCGAAGTTGAGAGCGTAGCTTAAGGGGTCGTACTGGAACCTCGCCGACGCTACCCTCCATCCGCCGCCGTGCCGGTGGCGCCTGAAGTGGCGGATGAAGGCATTCCACCGCGGCCTGGCCACCAGCTCCGACCACTCACGCACCCTCGTCAGCGCCGCGCCAAACACCCGGCTCCACCACCGGCCTTCGTGCCGGCCGCCGACATCGTGGATTTGCTTCCACGACTCAGCGGAGGAGGAGCCGGGGGCGGACCAAGGGGTCCAAAGGCAGTCGAAGTAGCGGCGACGGCGGGGGGCGAAACTCTCGTCGACGATGGGCTCCAGGCGTATCTCCTTGGCCTCCATGGATGACCCGATCCGATCGGAGTAAAAAGATCGATGGACTAGGTTCGGTCGGGGGAATCAGGGATCCGATTGAGAGGGGATGAGAGGAAGAGGAAAGGGAATGGAGGAGAGAGGGCGAGGTTGGTTTTGTCGAGAGGGAAACCGTAACCATTCGCTTCTCTTCTCCTCCGTCTTCGTCGAGACACACGAACGGTGGGCTGTGGTGCTTCCTTCATTAGGTGGGTATTTTAAGTTCTTGTACTTGTACTAATAGTAACAATAACAACTATAACAACATCAACAATAAACCGTTTATCTAATTAGAACGAAGGGCGGGGCCATTTAGTCTTTTCATTATTTTATTTATATTTATTAATTTTATTGTATTTTTGGGCTTTAGGCGTCCGTTAATCGCCCGTATTGGGCTGTCTAATAACAAAGCTAAAATTGGGATCGACATGCTAACTCACACTTGAAAAATCCACGTCACCCCTGATATATTTTTGCCACCTAAACATCACATCTCCGACCGACATATCAGTGTAGGAATTACAGGAAAGGACACATACGGACCCACCATCACGTCGGACCTCGCGAGCGACCACGACGCCCGAAAGACTTGTTTATTTTGTTTCCTGTCTTGGCATTTTGTTTCCCGCTGCAATGCGGGATTTCCGTCGCTCAAGAGGAGTAGATGGCCAGAAGCCGCCTTGATCTGAGATCCGAGCGATCAGTGGCCAGATCTGGACAGTCAGGTATGTACACCTATATAGAAACCGAAAGGGGATTGGTGGATCGGCTTAGAAGAAGATGATGAAGGCGAGGATGGAGATGGTCTTTCGGCGGAAGAGATGCTGCTCCAGAGGAGACGCGTCGACGTCTTCATTGGGAAGAGGGGGAAACTCGATCATGCATATTGGGGTTCCAGAGGCTCGCCGGAGATCGTCCCAGAACCCGGCGACGGAGGAGACGCGAATTAGGGCCTCAACGGGGTCAATCGCGAGGTATTCTTCTCTTGGAGGGCTTTTTCGTAAATATATATTCTCTGTCGTAATTTGAAAAAGGAAATTGCTATTGGCAACCCTTATTTCCTACGAATCATCTTAAAAAATAATAAAATATAATTTTACTGAATACAATTTCTCGATTACTGATCATATCCTTATTTTTCACAACCTCAATTATCATTACGACAGAGTGAAAGAAAAATATAATTGTCGTTATTTCGTAACTTTAGTTATGCTCAAGAGATATACTGGAAGACGCTGAAAGCAGATGCAAGTATGTTGAAGTAGATTGGGCCTCGTTGGGCTATAAATGTACAACTGCATCTTCCCGGCCTGTAAAATTAACAGCATTAGATCATGTATGAAATTGATGATCACATTCACATGTATGAAATCGATGATCACATCGACTTTGCTTTTCGATGTTGAAAAGTCGGAACCGTGTCAATTCCGGAAGCATGACTATGACTAGGCCTTGATGTATTTCTTTGTGGTGACCTCATCTTTTGGCTAGAAAGTCTTAGGTGCTATACCACAGGATCAAAGCCTAAATAAGCGTTTGTGCTGCTTCCTTGCGTGTGCAAGTGTAGTGCTCCACAATGGCAGCTCTTCACATCTCTCTCCTTCTCCTCCTCCCTCTGCTCACATTACTTCTCTTCTCAGGTAGGAGGAGGAAAGGCAACGCAGCATGGAAGCTCCCACCAGGGCCAAACACGCTCCCCATCATCGGCAACCTCCACCAGTTGGGCCACAGCCGCCTGCACCAGTCCCTGTGGGAACTCTCCAAGGAACACGGCCCTGTCATGCGCTTGAAGCTTGGCCATGTACCCGCCGTGGTCGTCTCTTCCGCGGGGTCGGCCGAGCAAGTCCTCAGAACCCACGACCTCGAGTGCTGCAGCCGGCCTCGCACCATCTCCAACGCGAAAGTCTCCTTCGGCGGCTCCGACGTGACCTTTGCCCCGTACGGAAGCCATTGGAGGGATCTGCGGAAGGTTTGCGTGGTGGAGCTCTTCACCACCAAGAAGACCACGTCCTTTAGACCAGTGAGAGAGGACGAGGTCCAGAGAACCGTGGAATCGATCCGTTCTCGTGCTCCCAACTCGGTCGTCGTCAACCTGAGTGAGGAGCTGCTCTCTCTTGCTGCCAATATCACTTGCAGGACCGCCTTTGGCGGTCGCTGCCACGACGGTTTCCACCGCATCACCAAAGAGTGTCAAGAAATCCTTGCCACCTTCTTCGTAGCAGACTACTTCGCCATGCTCGGGTGGGTGGACGTGATCAGAGGAACGCAAGCCAGGCTTCAAGATGTCTTTCTTAAGCTCGATGTTTTTTGCCGACGACTCATAGATGACCATCTCGATCCAAGGAGGCAGCAATCCGACGATGGTGAAGACACCTTGGATGCTCTGCTCCGCCTCCAAAAGGACGACAACAATATTACAGACGCTCACATCAAAGGAGTACTCGTGGTGCCGTTTGCCGCCCTCATCAGCATCACCTGTACTTTCAGCATCGCATATAGTCAGTCATACACCAAGCTAGCTCAGTTCTTGATGATTCTGTAGGACATCTTCGTTGCCGGGTCCGACACATCGGCGTCGGGGCTGGAGTGGGCGATGACGGAGCTCATGAGGCACCCGGAGAAGCTGAGACGGGCACGAGATGAGGTGAGAGGCTGCGTCGGGAGGAAAGGGAAGGTGGAAGAGAGTGACGTCCACCAGCTCGCGTACCTCAAGTGCGTTGTGAAGGAGACACTGAGGCTGCACCCTCCCGCTCCACTGCTTGTTCCGAGAGAGACGATGGAGCACGTTAAGGTGGATGGATATGATGTTCCTCCCAAGACAACGATCTATGTGAACGCATGGGCGATAGGGAGGGATCCCAACTCATGGGAGCGGCCGGAGGCGTTCGAGCCTGAGAGATTCATGCGGAGCTCTGTAGACACGAATGGGCAAGACTTCAAGTTCATACCATTTGGGGAAGGTCGAAGGATTTGTCCTGCTAAGAACGTTGGCATGGCAACGATGGAGCTTGCGCTGGCCAACCTCTTGTATTCTTTTGATTGGGATTTACCAGATGGGATGAAGAAGGAAGACATCAGCATGGATGAAGCGCCTGGC